GAACCTGCTCCTGCACCTGCTCCTGCTCCTGCTCCTGCTCCTGCTCCTGCACCTGCTCCTGCACCTGCTCCTGCACCTGCTCCTGTACCTGCTCCTGCACCTGCACATGAACCTGTGCTCGTACGTATTCCTCGCCAAGCTCGACGTGCCCCCCAACCTGCTCTAGTGATTGATGATGATACCCCTGCGTCACCCCCTCTCAAGTTCAGAAGGAGTGAGGAGAACATATATGATGATTATGATATGGATCCATTGGCAGAGGTCACCCAATCAATTGCCTCTCTCACCATCCACCCCTTCCACCATCTTTCTGGAGTGACTGGTTGCCCTGGTATTGTCAAGATCCATTATTGTTTTCCCTATGCCAACTTTAAGGTGGTCCAAGCTGTCCTTGGTGATAAGAAGGATACTGTAGAGGTGAGCCTGTCAACTAACAATGTTACCAGGGACTGTTTGGAAGGCATAGTTGACCAACATGAGATGGATCATATTGCCATCCCCAAGTCTAACCAACACATACTTGTGATCCCAATTGATCCGAGATACAAGGGCATAAGAGCAGTGACCAAAGACAACCATGGTCGTCGTTGGTGGGGAGTGATAATTGTGGCTGCTTCAAAGTCACTTAACAATGACAAATTGCAAGAGTATTTGCTTGAAAACAAAATTTAATAATAAATAGAATAATTTGAAACAAATGACATCTACCTGGGGTCCACTACTTTACACACAAGCACACACATCGACGAACGAATGATTAATCAGTCAATCAAACAAATTCAATCTGCATATTTATACATCTTGTTTAGTACTTTCTTGAAAGTGCTATCAGTCTCTGCTTGACAAGATCTATGGTTGGTCGCTGATCAGGGTCTGGTTCCGAGCATTCGACAAGTAGTTGTTGGTACTCTTCTGGCACACCCTTCATTGGTGCAACAGGCAGCACAGACTTGAACGCCTCGATGTTGGCTCGTTGGAACGTTGGCTTTGGCAACAACTCAAATAGCAAACCACTGAGTGAATAGATATCCACCTTCTCCGTGTACATCATGCCCCTCTTGACCTCGGGCGCTGCATAGAGTACGGTGCCAACGACTGTTGTCGCAATGCTTGTAAAGGTGATGGTGCCATAGTCACCCAGCGCAATGTGAGTGATCTCCTCGGTCTGTTTGTTGTAGTTGATGAAGATGTTCTCCAGTTTGAGATCACGGTGAATGATTTTGTTGCGATGAAGCAGTTCGATGCAGGACGCCACGTCGATGGCGATGTTCAGTGACTGCTTAAAGCTGAGATGCGGAATACTGCGCTTGATGTAGGTGAACAGGTCACAGTCGTAGAGTGGGTAGACGATCTGCCATTCCTTCCTGACCTCGTCCTTGAAGACGCCCAGCAGTGGAAGCAGGTACTTGAGGTTGGTGATGTTGGCTGTGAGATGATGGCTGTTGTTCACCTCCTCAAAGAACATCGACTCTGCCATCTCAAAGGCCTCGCCATTGGGATCGGCGTAGGACAGGGTCTTGATGGCCACCGGTTTTCCCATGAGCGTACCCTTGTAGACGCGACCGGTTGCCCCGCCGCCAATGTCTTCGAGCGAGATCACCGGCTTGTATGATGGGTTCATCAGACTGGTGAGCGCGGACAGTGCCTCGGCCTCCACCTTGCCAAACTTTGTACGTGTAGTCGCCATCTCACGCATATTGTCCAGCTTTTGTGCCATCTTGAGTAGTTGGATTTGGCGCACAATCAGGTTGCCCTTGAGTGATTCGATGACCTTCTGTGTGCTGACGACTTGCTCCACGAAAAGATTCCTTGGCAGGTCTTTCACCTGGCTCTTGATCTCAACAAACAGACGCTTGGTCAACTTCTCCTTGAAGTCATCGTCGATCTTTCGGAAAGAGTCAATGATTGGCGCGGCGATCATCAGGGTAAACAACGTGGCAATGACGCCCACGCCCATGACCAAAGACAGCGCTGACAGCAAGGGATGGTCGGAGGCAGTCATCAACAAGTTGGACACGATGGTCGGTGTGATCCTGTTGTAGAGGACCTTGTCGTTGGAGATCTTGGACCTGAAGCCGGCAACAAAGTTCTGCTTCAGCACATCGTTGAGCAGCTCGTTCTCAAACACGTCGTCCCTGCCAAAGATGTTGCTAAGTGTCTGTTGCACTGCCGATTCAATAACTCCTTGGAGGTAATTGGAAAAGGCCTCCAGAACATTCTTGTTGAACCATGGTGAGAAGGCCTCCTTGAAGGCACCAGAAGCCTCACCAGCGCACAACCTTGATCGTCCATCGTACTCTTGGATCTTGATCGACTTGGCCTTCTTGAGTGCCTCGTTGTATAGATTGTTCCTGTCCATGAACACTTGGAAGTGATCATCGACGCTAAGGAGAAAGTGCGTAAGCTGTGCATGGAGAGTTCCACCCAGCTTGTCCAGAAACTTGTTGCCTTCGACCAACCATGTCTCCTTGAGAATTTTGTCGATGGTATTTGAGCGGATGGTATTGTAGCTGCTGAAGAATGAACTGCTGGCTTGGGCAATGCGCATGTAGGCTGTGGCGTATCGACGTTGTTGCTGGCCAACAATCCAAGTTGACAATCGTTCCAGGAATCGATGGAAGATCAGCTGGCCACCACCCTCAAGGTACTCAACTGAATTGACCAGCGCGTATGTGTATCCTTCGAGTGCAACGTTCTTGTTCTCCTCGGAGAGGTGTTGACTCCTCTTGGGAAGGTTCTCGGATCTCTTCTTCTCCTCCTCCTGCACCTTGTCTGGCTGATCCTCAAGCTCCTCAAGCGTAAAGCCTTGGTCGTAAGCGAATGAGAACATCTCGAATTTGGTGTTGGCAAAGAATGTCCTCGATGTGGTCCTCAGCTCGACGTCGGTGCCCATTCCTTTGAGCAGGTCATCATATGCGTTGATCTCCTCTGTGGAGAAGGCTGGGTTTGGGAAACAGAAGATCAGTCCGTGTGGATTGACATGCTTCAAGAATGACTGGCGCAGCTCTCTGAGGCAATCCTTGTCCTCTGAACTGTAGCCTGGGATATCGTAGATCTCGACTCCACCCTTGAGCAGTTTGATTGGATACTGGATGAGGACGATCTGAGTGACGATCTCCTCGAACTTCTCATTTGGGAAGTTCTCTCGGCGCAAGAACTTGTCGAGGACGGGCTTCAGCTCTCTGGTTGTCTTGTACTGAGCCAACGAGGCAGCCTCTCCATTGGGAATGGGCTCCAACTTGGAAGTGGCCTGGTTGAGACGACACAGACTGATCTTGGCATCCTTCAACTCTGCATAGCGAATGATACAGATGCGGGCTGTGGTGTGGCCTTTGCCACTGGGCAATGGCAACCTGTCCAAGAGAAGACTGAGCAATGTGGACTTGCCTTTGTGTCGAGTAGTTAGTATGAATGAATGATTGGCATACCATCATCATCATCGCCATTACTTACCAGCACAAGTCGCACCACACAAGGCAATCTTGACGAATGAATCATCGGTGATTCTGCTGATCAGTTCTCTGCTCTCCTTGAACATTAATTGATCTTTGGAGTCAATGACCTTGAGATATTCAGCCTCAAGTTTGTAGAAGTCATTGGCACATTGTTTTATCTTGTCTTGGTTGTCTTTCAACTTTGCAAGACATGTGGCCAACAACTCCTCAGGTTTTGTTGATGCCGTAACATGCGTTATGAATGGTTCTGGACCAAGTTCAGTGATTGATTCATAGAATGATGGTCCTTTCCATTCAGAATTGTTTGGTATCATTGTTATTTATGTTGAATATATATTTGTTGGATGATTGATTGAAAGATTGAATGATAAGATCTAGATGTTGGAGCTGACTGATAGACAGACCAATGTGTCAATGAATGAGTGCTTATTCTTAATTTACAACTCAGACTCTTGAGTGCGCATACAAGATATTGGTGATTGTATCTTGCCTCATTTTGCTTGCTCAGTAGAAAGACCCGCGGGATGGGCAAAGAAGAGATATTATTCATTTCTGTTCTGATGGGTCGCTGATTCATTCATTGGTTGTGTGTCTTTGTTACACTTTGAAAGTTTAAACTCTTTATCAAGAGTTGTGTGCAAGAAACTGGAATTCCAAGTTTAGGCAACTTGAATGAGAGTGTATGTGGGTGATTAACAAGGCCTCAACCAACACTGCAAGGCCAGCGAGATCCCTTCTAATGCTTGCCCCAACAACATAACACTTCACTAGATGTACAAAGAATCAACCTTGTAATTAAATGTACATAGTAATATTTAGTTAGATAGATACATACTACAAACAAAGACACAGACAGTCAATCATTCATTCGATCAAACAAACAAACAATCAATTAGTCGATCACCAGCAATGAACACAATCGATCAAACAATCAAACAATCAAAGTTGTACATTAAACAGTTTGATTATGACTCCTTTATCAACTCACCAACAATATATCATGATGATAAGGCCACTCATTGGTCAAATGCTCATGTGGCCTTAACTAAACTGACACAGCAGATGTCTGTCTTTCAACATCTCGATACAACATTCAATGCCATTCGCACCGATGTCAACTTCAAAGATGAGAAACCTCTGGATATAATGGATACACTGTTGTCAGATGAACGATCGAATAGAGTGCTATCATTTGCTGAGGGTGCTGCAACAATGAAGTTGGCATTCCTCGGTGCTCTGGGCGCGGGCAAGACAACGCTGATCAACACGTTACTGGGTACGCTACTGCCAACTGGGGCGGGCTTTTCAATGTCTCGTATCACCATACTTCGCTATGCACCACTGGCCGACGCCAACATCACCATGCACAGGATCTCGGTGAATGGACTGCTACCAATACACGAGCCCCCCATCAAACTTGCAGACGCGCCCAATCAAAAGGAAGCGACCAAACTAGCTCATAAACTATGTCGTATGTCAAAGGAGAACGGAGCAAGCGAGAGCGTTGACGCCGAGTACATCGAGGAATGGGTCCAGAAGGTTGTGGTGATCAGGTACCCATTCCCAATGCTCGGGGGCGGACTCGAGGTGTATGACATCCCAGGCTTTGAAAAAGACGAGCATCCATCTCTGTCCATTGTCCGAGCCAACTTCTTCACTATGCTCCAGCCCCACGCCGTTGTCTTTTGCTACGCCAATCCAGCATTCTCTGACCACGAGGTGTTCTCCTATGAGGAGCTCAGAGCGCTGGCATCGTTGGTTGTTAAGTTTAACCTGAATGAGCATGTCTTCTTTGCTAACACCAAGTTCAATGTGGCCGCGATCAAGAGCAACTACAATATGGAGGACATCAACGACGTGACCGACGAGCTACTTCTGAGCGAGGAGAGAACTATCTTCAAACAGCTGAGGCAACGATCATTATTGCAAACTACACATGACACTCGGTTCTCAATTGTCAACTCCATGGACTACCTGCGCGTTGTGTCAAAGCAATGCAGCAAGGTACTCTTTTCAAGATTCATCGAGCGACTCACCAAATGGACCATCACCGTCAGACATGCGCGCGTCAACTTTGTGCTGGACGAACTCATCTCACTGTGTGTGACCTTCTACTCAAGGTTTATGAACAACAAGAACGACATGCCACCCCCTGGTTGGGACCTTGCCGAAAAACTTCAGGATCTACTCAAGGACATCCAAGCATACTTTGAGGATTCAATCAAGTGGTTGCCCGATCTATTCGAGAAGCAATGCAGAGCAGTCAATGACGAGGCCATGATCTACGCTGGCAACACAGTCTTGGAGCAGTACGATGGCGCATACCAGGTCAACAGTGCCAAGCTTGAGGCGATCGGCGCATTCAAGGCCAAAGTTGCACCTTGGTTCGTCAATCACATTACCATTCCAGTCCTGGATGAGCTGTGCAAGGAACTTTCTACCGTTTGCTACTCCGCCATCAATTCAACAAACAGCCTGTACCTGAAGGAGTTGTTCAATGAGTGGACATTGGAAGGTGTGATCAATGAACTCAAGAGCAAACTGTATGATTCACTCTCCAAGTCTATGAGGCTTCAGCACAAAGGTATTGAGAACAAGAAGAACATGCTAGCAAAGGTGTTCACCGACAAGAAGCCAATTGATATACTGTTCAAAATGCGGACAATGGGGAAGATACTCAAATTGTTTGGCCAATCGCCCGACACCAAGACACTTGCTACGATAGCAAATCAAACGTTCGACGACTACAAGCGCAATCTGAATGTACGTGCCTCAGTCTGGAACCTATTCCTAAACAAGTTGCGCGCACTGAATGCCCGAACTCACTTTGCCGTTCTCCAACTCAACGTCGGACGGCTGCACGTGGAGGTGATGGCCAACATGTTCAAACTGAACAACCCATTCGATGAACTGGCCGGCGTGTCGGACAACATTATAGCTTATGGACCATCGGGTATGACATACACTGGTGTGTTTGGTGGCGATCCAGTCTTTATCAAGCGATGCTCCCACCTACCAGTGATCTCTGGCATCTCTCAATCTCACTTGGCCTTCTTTGAGGAGGCCTACTACACACCACAGCTAGTGGCCAGGAGTGTCAACCTTTTGCCCCTAATTGCCGTGCAGTGGAACACTGAACACATTCAACTGATCTACAAAAGAATTGGAGTGCCACTCAAGGAATTCATTGGATCAGTTGGCACCATTTCCGACATGCAGGTCTTGGTACTGTGGCGCCAGATCGCCATAGCCATCAAGGGCATCACCGACTATGGTTTCTCGCACAACGATGTGAGTGTGGAGAACGTCTTTGTGGTAGTTGGCGAGCAGGTGGCCACAACCAGGCTTGGAAACATTGGATCTACATTGAAGAATCAAAGCACTAGACCTGATCTACGCGGCTATGCACATATATTGAAGTACATATCGGAGATAGTGTTACAGTCCTACGATAGCTTCGACAATCTGTACAACAGGGTGGACGATATGACAATGAACATTGACCAGATCATTGACGAACTGACCCTAAGAATCAAAAAAGACACAACAATGTTACCAAATCCCAATCAATAATAAATCATATTATCAATGATCTAGTTAGTCTACCTTCAAAGAAGTACATTGGAATGAATAGATTGATTGGTGAGTGATTGAGAGAGTGAGTGGTAGGACCGACAGAAGATTGATCAATTCAAAAGATTAAGTTATCAAGTGACCAAAACTTGCTTTGAGAGGGTAACCCAACCCTGGAAGTTGCCTCACTTCGAAACTCAAACTAGTTGATCAAAGTTGAAACAACCAATCATATCAATCCATCCCATTACTTCATCAATCAATCACAATCAACAAATAATAAGATGAATACATCATGGATGTTCGACTATGATTGCTACATTAAGAGTATGCCTAATGAGATTGAGGATGTTAAGGACCCACTGAAGAGATTGTCAGAGTCTCTAAAGATATTTAGTGTACATAAGAAGGAGTGTAACAAGAAGATCAAGGCATTGTCCAAGTGCCACTCACTCGTCAGTGATGTGGCCAAGTCTCAATCACTCACAAGTGATCTAGCCAAATCTACAACAAAATCATCATTGGACACACTCACCAAAGACAACTCAAACATCAAGCTGGCACTCTACGGACCAACTCATTCTGGAAAGGTATGTATGATGAACGATTGACTTCCGATCGGCTTGGATCGTTCACTTACTCACTCATTCAATCAATCAATCATATGATAGTCAACATTGATCAATACAATGTTAGCATATCAGCTGATGCCTTCGGGTGGCGGCCACACGAGTGGAAGGATATGCATCTTGGCTCACTCACATTTGATTAGGATCAGGTTCTTCACAATCATACCTGCAAAGCACAAGCAACCAAGCATGCTAGAATGTATACACAGCCAGACAGTGACAATCGAGTCGAAAGAGTTCAACTTGGAGACAAAGAAGGAGTTGCAGGCCTTGATGAGGAAACACCTGGCGCGACCAGAGGGCATCGATAAAGACCCAGTCGCATTCGAGGAGTGGGCCAGCAAGATTGTGAGAGTCGAGTTCCCCTCAACACTGCTCGAGACTGGCTTGGAGATCATTGATCTGCCAGGCTTCAGCGTGGCCGACGACTCGTCACTCTTCACCATTCGCAATAAGTTCTTCAATGTCTGCCACCCCACTGGCGTCCTCTTCTGCTATGCCAACGCCTTCTCGGACGCAGAGGTGATGGCCGTGAAGGATCTACACAAGTCATTGCCTTCTATCTGGACGCCGACCAAGGAGTTCATTTTCTTTGTAAACACCAAGACTTCAAAGAGTGAGGTGGCACTCAACAACAGCATTGACCCAAGCGATGAGGTTCCACTCGAGTTGATACACAGCCACACAAACGAAAGCTACGACAAGCTCAAGTCGTCTAGTCTCAAGGATTCATCGATGTCCATTGACGCACGTCGGTTCACTATTGTCAACGCCACTGACTACCTCAGGCCATCAAAGTCTGGAGAGAACAAGTACATATTCAATCAGTTTGTCGATCGATTGATCAGATGGCTGGCCAGGCTTTACCAGCTGCAAGGCGAGCTGTTGCTCAAGTTCGTAGAGCTCGAGTGCCACTCAATGTTCCTAAAGGTGGACACTCTTCATCTGTACATTGGCAAGGACATGAAGCTTGAGGTTCTATTCGAGACCACTGATATCTTGCTCGACAAACTTTATCACGTACTACTTCACAATGGTATGAAGGAGGTGATCGAGAGGATACCAGAGGATATCAAGGTAGCTATGACCGAGACAGCCAACTATGATCGCATCCTAGAGATTGAACAGACGATCGACAAGGTCAGCATCGTCAATGACAAGTCACAAAAATTCAAGATGGCCATGCGACAGTTCTTTGAGGATGTGATGGAGAAGTTGATCAAACAGGTAGGCGAGCGTGTCTCCAATGTGGTGGACACAGCCACCAACTCATTGCTGTTGGGCCACGATCAAGACTTCTCGGTCAAGCTGATCAAGGACACACTCGATCAAATTGAATGGTACTACTCGGCACCATTCAAATCGATCCTGTCCAAGGCCTTCATGGGCATCATCAGCTCAAACATATACAAAAGCTACATTCGCCACTTCAAGGTCCCAGTGCTCCTGCGAGACCTCAAGGGCCAGGTGGCCAAGTATCCCAAGCCGTCACTCGTAGTCAAGCTGGCTGAACAAGTGAACAGTGACATGTCCGATCAGATAGAAATGGTCAAGAACATACGCAACACTGTATACACTCGACTGCGACAGCGGTTGACCATTTCCTCAGACTCTCTTCATAACATTGACAACACAAAGGAACAGTACCGATCACTTTATTATGATACATTGGCTAGCACAACCAGGTTACACTTCCCATTCGACAGCATTGAAGTGGATCGCTCCAAAGTCATGGGATACAGCGACCTCGGCCCAGTGTACAATGGTACATTCCGCGACCAATCATTCTATGTCCAAGTCATACAGCCCACTCTGGACGTCCAACAAAACTTGTCCAAGGTAACATGGTTCCTTCAACTTGGCAAGGGTGCCAACACCGAAGTCCCAATGTTGCCACTACTCGCTGTCTTCCACGAGGATGGCGATGGAGCCAATTCGAACCGGTTGTTAGTGTATAAGAAGTGTGAACCATTGAAGCCCTACCTCATGAAGAACATATCAAAGTTGACATTGGTCCAATCATTGGCGATGATCACTCGTCTGGTCAAAGCATTGGAATTCCTGCACAGTGGCGTTTTCGTCTTTAGATTCATCATCCATGAGTTTTTCAGTCTGGAATTCATGTACATAGACACTGAGACAAACGACATCTACCTATCAATGTTTGGTAATCATTGTGAGCAGTTAGTGAATGGTGACCCAACGAAGCTGTCAAAGTCAACAGACTTGGAGGATCTGGGTATTGTAATATTAGAGTTGTTGCCAAAGGAGAACCTGCAGAGATACAAGGTCGGTGAGGTGCATTGTAAGGAGATGGGCATGCGTGATATCAAGGACAACATGATGATACCAACATTGTTAAGAGAGCCATTGATAGAGTTGATCATACTATGTTTCAACCATGACATGACGATCAAAGACGTCTTCTCCAAACTTGAAGACATTAACAAACTTATATCAGAATGGACAACAAGTATCAATAAAACTTAGTTTGTTTGATTGGGAATCCTAAGAAGTGTATGTCCCTCCTTTATTTACATTCCAAGACAGTTGGAACAGTAGCTCCAGAGGCTATCATAATTGATTGATTAAATGAATGAATGAATGGTTGTACAACGAAGGACTACAGATGTTTGATGAGTTCCTCCAACTTTGATGTGATGTCCTTGATAGTGGCTTGTTTGTTGAAGCAATGTTGAACAAACGTCGCCAGCGCAACATGATGCTTCATTGGTACCAGCTTATCGATTGTGCTGTTGGGATTGGCGGATACCTGATCAACTGTGAATCTCTTAAGTGTTGGCTTTGGCAACAACTCGCATATGACCACACCCAGTGCCTCCAAGTCGAGCGATGCCTTTGGATAGTTCGTTGTCCTAACTTGGTCTATTCCACTCACATCTCCAAACATCGAGAGGTACACATCCTTGGTTTCTGGATTGATGTAGATGAACTCCAACTTGACATTCTCGTGTGTGATACCTTCGTCATGTATATACGCCAGTGCTTTGACCAACTGAGTGATCATCGTCAACGACTGGAGCGGAGTTAGCATGGAGATGTGCTCCTTGAGGTAAGGTACCATTGGGCTGTACTCCTTGAACGCCAGCAGCCATTCCACATCGTCGTCAGCGCCATCATCTCTCTGTACACGTTGTTGAAAGACTGCTTGTAGAGGCACCATCGGTACCTCCTTGGGCACATGATTTGACAGTTTGGCCTGCCACAACAACTTGCGATGTATCGTGTCGCTCTTCTTGGGCTCGACGACTTGGACCAGGAATGAATTTGTTTTGAGTGATCCAGAGTACAACGATCCAATATCACCAATAGCCACAACCTTGGATCGATCAACATGCAGACCTTTAAAGGGGAAGTGCACGTTGCAGTTGAGGGCGAGCACCTCCAGGTAGAGTGTGTGGTAGCTGTTGAGGCAGGTGGTGATGTGCGCCGGTAATAGGTTGGATGACTTGATCAACAGTCGCAGTCGGTCGTGCTGCAGCATTTGGAAGGTTTTGAACATCTTGAACTGAGTGATCACAGCCTGGACGATGTCCTTCTCCAGTGTTTTCGTACTGATCGACTCGGGATACTTCTCGACCAGTGTCTTGAGGTCCATCTTGCTCTCGGCCTTGGCCTTGCCTGTGGGTACTGTGAAGTAGAGCAGGAAGCCTTCGAATATCGATGAGCTGATGGCCCCAGAGAGAGCGGTTGACAGAAGGGTGGGGAAGGACGACTTGAGAGCACTCTCCATGTCCTCCATCGTACCTCGCATGATCAGGTTGACAAAGTCACCCTTCTCAAAGTATTTCTTGGTAAGCCCGCTGATGGCCGTGGCTGTGACTTCCTCGATCAGCTTGATCACCTTCTTAATCACCTGCTCAAAGAGGAACTCGACGGCGAGCAGACGGAACGAGATGTCGTTCTGTGCCAGCTTGTTGACGGTCTGCTGGAAGTCCTTGATACGCTCCTGGTTGTGGTCAAAGGCCCTCTTCACCAGGGCGGGAATGGTCTCGATCACCTTGATCATTGTGACGATGACGACGGCCGCAAAGTCAATGGACAACTGGTCGGACTCTTTGAGCAAGGTGTTAAAGTCCACGATGTTGCTGATGTATGACTGGACCGACTCGATCTTGATGGTCATGAACAGACACTCTAGCTCGAGCAGCGTCAGGACCATGTCGCACTGTCTCTGGATCAATCCGCCCATCCATCTGACGAGCCGATTGATGAAATGCTGGAAGATGAATCTGTTCTCGACGGACTTTGGGGATTTTGCGAACTCCATTGCATTGACCATTGCGAATCGCCGCTCGTGAATGCACATGCGGTTGGTGGCGTCATTGAAACTCGAGCCTTTGAGCTTGTTAAGGCTGTCTGCCATGTGGGTGTGTATGTACTCGAGGGGAACCTCATCTAGAGGGTCCATGCCGTTGTTGACAGCCACCTCGCTCTTTGACGTTTTGGTGTTGGCAAAGAAGACCGACTCCTTGGCGGTCCAGTCCTTGGGCAGTGATTTCATCAGGTCAGGGAGAGCCAACACCTCACCATCCGAGACGGCCGTGTTGTTGTAGCAAAAGATAACTCCGTTGGGATTGTACACCTTGAAGAAGTCCGTACGTATAGGGAGCAGTGATGAACTGTCCGACACACTGAAGCCTGGCACATCGACGATCTCAATGCCAGTCTCGAGCAGTGGTGACGGGAACTTGACCTTCACAATCTTTCTGGCCCACCTCTCGAACTTCTCTGGGTCGTTGTCGATCTCCGCTGTTCGTCCAAGTGACTCTTTCATCAGCAACAATAGTTTCTTCTTTGTCTCTGCATTGAACTCCTTCGATTCCAATGTGATGGTCTCATTGTCGATGCGTTTCAACATGCCGGGCTCCTTGTCATAAGGAAGTATGATTGTATAGAACTTGATTCTGATCTTTTTCGAGTAAGCCATAATGCATATCCTTCCACTCGTGTGACCAGCACCTGATGGCATCAGTTGACATCCTAGCAATGTGTTCGTCAATGTTGACTAAATGTTTGTTGATTGATTTATTGATCGATTGATTGTGATTGAATGATTGGAGTCAATGTTAGTGTCTTGATCGATCACCTCACTACATGTCGACAACATAATAACATAACATACCTTTCCAGAATGAGTTGGACCAGAGAGAACTATTCTAATCTTTGAACAGTTCTCTTTGGCGAATGATATACATGATGATTTGGTATCGACTACATCACTGAGTTGAGAGTGACATGCTGTCAATTCATTTGCCTTCTCATGACACTTCTTCCTATACACATCAAACAACTTTAATGTCTCTACCATCTTTTGAAGTGGTTCATCAATGTTCTCCACCTCCACCGGTAGGTTATCAACATAATAATCTTTGTTTATATATGAGTTTACATTCATTCTATCTTTCTATCTGTTATATGTTATATGTTGTTGTTATAATTAATAAGTAGTAGGTTGATTGAATGATTGAGTGAGGGAGTGATGGTGAGTGCGAAAGTATGAGGTCCAACTTTGCCTCATTGAGTTGTTGTTTCAACTCAACTCTTCAACTCAAACAATATCATCCATCCTGCCCTTTCTCTTCTCACTTGTGTGAGAATGAATGAATGAATGTTGGAGATTGAGAAACACTCTTGCCCTCACAAATTAAACTCTGTTGCTGTTGTTTGATGGTTAGACACACACGGATATCTTTGATTCCAACTTGGCAAAAGATGTTTGTCAACTCGAAAAAGTAAGTGGACAAGCATCTGATCAATTTTTTGCTTGTGGGCTTGATCAAAACACACTCACACACAATCAATCACTCCTGAGCTTTAACTCCGATGCACCAGTACAGCATTGACTTTGTGTCGAAGTCCAACCAATCACTTCAGCACCAGTGATCAATCAATCAATCAAACATTATCAAGATTTACTTGGTTAACAAGTTGATCCAACTTTGGATATACTTGATCAGTCTTTTGATCAAAACATACTTGGATTAGTTCAACGATAGCATCTTGATGCTCCACTGGTATCTTCTTGTCAAGTGTACCATGTGGCTTCTTTGGGAAATCAAATCTGACGATCTTGAATCGTCGAATAAAGTCTCGTGGCAGCAACTCCCATATCACCTTGCCCAGACATTTGATGTCGTAGGGATCAGGGTCCACCGACTTGGCCTTGTTCTTGTCGACTTCGCCAAACATCGCCACATACAACTTGGTCGTACTGGTATCGATGTAGATGTACTCCAATCTGAGATGGACATGCTTCATCGCGAGGGATTGGGTGTTGGCCACGGCCTTGACGACCTGGGTCATCATTTCCACAGACTCGTTGAGTGTGATCATATTGATGCTCTCCTTGAGGTACTTGAGCATGGGACTGAACTGTTTGTACACGAGCCACCACTCGTCGTGAGCGCCATCCTTGCGTTGGAAGATGGCTTGCAATGGCAGCACACCCATCTTTGACACGTTGGTGGCCTTTACCTGCTTGAGAAACTCGGTCTGCATCTCCTTGTCGTTCTTGGGCGTCACGATCTGGAAGAAGAATGATTGTTTCCTAAAGTTGCCATAGTGTACCGGTCCCATCATGCCCTGTGCGTATGACTTATTCCTGTCCACTTTGATTTCGTCGAATGGGAACCGCAGCTTGCAGTGCAGGGTTAGTGTCTCGAGGTAGAGTGTGTTGTATCGATCGACACTAGTGTTGATCAACGACACGAATGTGTTGGCAGAGTTGGACCTGAGGTCCTCGTGTTGCATTGTGTGGTAGCTCTTTAAGAGATTGAAGTAGCCCTTGTTGACACGGTCAATCTCCTTCTCAATGTCGGCAGAGTTGCCAATGATTGAGTCGGCATACTGATCAATCAATGTCTTGTAATCCTCGGCACAAGATGGTGATGACTTGGCATTGACAAAGTACTTTGACAATCCTTTGTTTAGGTTGTTGGTGATGGCCTCGATGATGTCGAACGAGAGCAGTCTGATGAACTTGATCTTCATGGTCTTTTCAAAGACCTTAATAGTGTACTTCAACGTCATGTTGACTGGATCATCCTCACCGAGCAAAGTAATCGGGATGATGCTGATTGCTGAGTCGACCAACTCCTGCTGTAACGCCAAACACTTAGTAATGATTGATTGATCGATGAACTTGACAATCTGTGCCTGCACCTCCTTCTCCTTCTTGTAGTCCAGTGTCGCCAAGAACGTTGTGATGACCTCTTGATTGGAGATGATGTCTCGCTTGATGAGATTGGGGATGGTCCTGATCAGCTTGTTTAACGAGACCGAGATGATTGAGACAAAGTGGTCCAACAACTCATCGGACTCTCTCATGACCTTGTTGATGTTATCAATCTTGTTGATGATTAGTTGCACCTTTTGTATCTTTGAAGACATGTCCCAACACTCCTCGGCGAGATGTCCGAGTATGTAGTCGGTCTGTCGTGTGTAGAGGAAGGCAATCCTTTGTATCATCCCCCACTGTTGTTGTAGTTGTTGGTGATGGTGGAGTACATCTATAATCTGTATTACAATGTATAAATGATTTTGTATTCATTTTAATTAAGATCAGATAGATTATTATTATTTAATGGATGTTTGTTGTTGAAGAAGAATGATGGCTATGGATAGGACACACACAAACATAACCCTACACCTCAAACTCAAACAACAACGGAAAGAAGAAGTTTAAACCTATCTCCTACATATCTTCCCTCATTCGGCCACTCACACCACACATCCTCTAATCATTCAACTTGGGAACTCAGATTGCTTTGACTAATCCTAATTGATCGAAGTTCATTATTAATATCCAAATAAAGAGATATTTATTTGTTTAAGAAATTGCTTAAACCCTGGATAGCGAGGAATGATCAGATACTTGTTCTGGGGGGTTATAAAAGTGATCAAGACCCGGATAAAGGAGTTTTGTAAACTTGGATTTCCAGTTTCATTGGTGGCGTGTTGTAAAATTATCTTTGCAAGTTGCCTTTGTTGTGTGTGAGTGAGGCAAAGTGTATTAGTAGACTAACTGTCTGTTGGATGAATGAATGAATAATCTGCTCTTATTCATTCTGCCCATTTGTATCATTCATTTACTTGTATAACTACAACATATACTACTACATAACATCATTAAAATCAATCAAAAATGATACCTGACCACAACAACAACAACAACAACGACAACAATAATAATAACAATAATATCAACGATGACAATAACAATAACAAAAACAATAATAATGAATTTGTATCATTCTATGATTCAATCACAGAGGTTGGACCTCAAGAGTTCATCAAACATTTGTTTGATGGTAATGCACAGGCGGGCCATATGGAGTTGTTGCAGAGATGTCTTTCAACTTTGAGGTTGGACCAAGATCGTGTAAGGACATGTTCCACTGATTTTACCAATCTCGAACTTGAATACATCAGGTCATTGGACAGCGAAGAACTAGAAACACTGTTGTTCAAAGAGAGTAAAGACCTGATCAGAAGGATCACCAAAGGTCCAAATGTAAAGATTGGCTTCTGTGGTGCAACCAATGCTGGTATGTATTAGTCTCATTCAACTCTATCAATCATTCAATCAATCATGTACTAACTAATTACTCAATCTCTCATGTTGTAGGCAAGTCAACTCTGATCAGGACACTTCTGGGTGGCTTACCATTGCCCAATTCATCTGGACACACAACAGCTAGGATCTGTGTCATTCGTTATGCCAGGTTGGTTGAAGCCAAGCTTTACTTCTGTCGTCTCAACACAGAGACATCCAGTTTGGATCCGATTCAAGATGGACAGATCTCGCTTTCACAATATCTAACACCACAGTCATTGAGGAATATACTGAACCAGCACCTTAGCCGTACCCAAATGCCACAGGGTGGGGCTCAGCTAGAGGAGGCCGTACAACAGATAGTTGTCATCGAGTATCCAATCCCATTGCTTGAGGGTGGAGTGGAGATATATGACATACCAGGCCAAAGTAGAACAGACTTGGAGTGCATAAAGAGGCTGCGCCAGTCCTTCCTCAGACATATCAACCCGCATGGTATGGTCTTCTGTTTCCCAAATCCAGCATTCTCGACTGAGGAGATCAATGCCTATGACGACATGCTTCAAAGTTTGGTCACCGATATTGGGCTGGGGAACACATCCAGGACATTCTTTGCAAACACCAAGTTCGAGTCATTCTCGTTGATATATGACCATGGAATCAGCATTGATGAGTTGTTGGCCGATACTATCCCAAAAGAGGAGAAGGCGCGGTCGGGAAACCTGCCCAAAAGAACTCAACATCTGAACGATGCGAACAAGGAGATTGCCTTCAAAGACTATACATACTCGCTGGTCAACACATTGGAGTTTCTTGAAGGAGGCAGCGATGATGCGGTCTTGATCTTCAACCGCTTCATCGAGCGACTGGCCACTTGGATCGTGTCACAGCAGCAACGTCGATATGCCACGGCCTACAAGCGAATTGCTGATGCGTGCAACTCATTCTTCCGCAGCTACAGCACCATTCGATCAAAGACAATTGTCAACGTTGTCAATAATACCTGGCTCAACAATGGCAATGAGGCACTAGAGATCCTTAGAGTTAACCTCTTAACTTTGATGGACACAATCTTGTTGAGCATGGAGCAGAATTTCGAAGATTTCTTGGTCGAGCACGACCTCTACAACCAGTCACTCGCCAAGGCCAGATCAATAGTGCACCCAGACTTCGAAGGACTCTCAAGGAGCAATTCCAAAAATTATACCGAGTTGTTCATGAAAGAGTTCTCGCCATGGTTCCAATTGAATGTCCTGGATCCCTTCACTAACATTCTCCAGTCGCTCATCAACAACGCGGTGGAGAAGTCGATGAACCTGGTCTTTGACCGGCCCGATATGTTTAAGAATGAGTTGCTCCTGGACGTCCTCCAACAGTCATTCGTGGCCGGCTTCAATCACAGGACCTCTAGCAAATCAATAGTGTACAAGAACATCACACCGACAAACTTGTCCAACCTCTTGAAGACTGCCACAAAGCATCCCGTCATCCTGGTACTTGTCTGCCTGTCAGTGGTTGGAATCATCCCTTCAGTGATCTCAGTGATCGTTGCATCGATTGTTGATGTCATTCGAAAGATTGATGATGGCTTCAAGGTAGAGCTGACCAACAAAATATTCAACGAGATGCGAGTGCAGGTCAGGAGCATGCCAAAGGAGATGAGCGCCAAACTGGCCGAGACAATCAACAACAAGATCAACTCTATCCAGGGGGATCTTGCTGCACGACAGGAGCAACTTAGGTTGATGTACGAGAAGCTGGATTCATTGAGCAACATGTCAGAGATGAGGACCAGGTTTGGAAGGGTCGAGGCTGAGGCCTTGTCCGCGCTCACCAAACTGATGGACCCATCATACATACCAGTGATCGACGAGGACATTGGAGGTGGTGCAACAGGCCGCGTGTACAAGGGCACACTCAAGGATGAGCCAGTGGCCATCAAGACCATGTCCTATCGTAATCCAGTAGGACAAGCATACGAGATTGCGGAGTGCATGTTCTTTGAGGAAGTGAGCAACAGCTACCACCTCACCAACAAGATCGGATCATAAGTACCTGCTCCCAATGCTTGGTGTCTTCAAAGATGAGACCAGGATGGAGTGGCAGATTGTTTATCCACTCTACGACTGTGACCTGTTCAACTACTTGCATCGCAGGATCACTAATGGCAACATCATCACATGGAAAGACACACTGTCCATCGCCATCGACGTGGTATCATGCGTGGAACTACTGCACAATAACAACATCATTCACCGCGACCTTAAGTTGGAGAATATCTTCATTAACTACAACAAGGATACCGAGGAGATAACTCACATCGCACTTGGCGACTATGGCACCATCACCTTTTCCAATGTCGCAATGACCTGTATTGGAACAGAACGTTACATGTCCCCTGAGGTCAAGAACGTTTGCGACGATCCCCGTGCCGTCTACACCGAATCGGTCGATATCTATTCTCTCAGTGGCATACTCTACGAGTTGATTCCAAAGTCAACGCTACAGAGAGCCAATATTGCCGACTTCAGGACCGATCTACACTTCAATGATGCGCCCGAGAAGTATCGCCAACTGATCATGGATTGCGCGAACAAGGCCAAACCAGACTTACGGCCCAAGATCAGTGATGTTAAGGCAATACTATCATCCATTAAAATATAGGACACCAACAACATATATTAATAAAAGTTATACAATCATGAACGAATCAATCATGATTAATCATACAATTCGCTGGGTCAAATGAGAATATCATTGTGATGTACATATATTTATTGATCGTTGGATATTATAGTTGGAAGTACATTGATTAGATAGAGCCTATATGACTCTGGTATAATACTTTGATCAAGTTCACTGCGCTTTGCTCTTTCAGCAAACGCTTTGAATGTATATTTGCCAAGGTGTTCAATTATACTGGTCAATCGCGTCGTGTGCAGCCCAATGCCAGCAAGCCATTCGCGTAGCTGATCATTTCGCCATTCACGTTCATTGTGTCGAGTGATCGCTTTTATGAATGATGGTGGATTATCTCTAAAGTGCTGGAGTGCATCGCTGAAAGTTGTCTTGGTACCAATAGGTATGTTGTTCTCGCCCATCATGGACCACATCCTGTCTGGCGATATGTTCAATGCGATTGCCAACGTATCAATGTTCGACTCCTTTAGCACTACAAAGAGTTTTGATTGAGGCACTTCAATCAAATCAGTCAGAGCATCGTTGCTTTTGATTGAATGGCTGGATTGAGTAGAATTATTCCCATCATTCTCCTCTGGTTGGCTAACCTGCTCTTCTTCCTTTGATATGGTGGAGGACGATCCATCATTGGCAGTAGTCGAGCCAGTGTTGTTTTCGTTGGTGTTGCTATCGTCAGTGTTGCCATTGACGGAGTTGTTATCTTCGGTGTTGCCAATGTCAGTGTTGCCTTTGTCGGTGTTGTTATCTTCGGTGTTGCCATGGTCGGTGTTGTAATCTTTGGTAGTGTTGTTGTTGTTGTTGATGTTGTTGTTGATAGGGTCGTTGTTGCCTTGATCTTGAATGAACAAAAGTAACCATTCAGATTGACCATTCAATGCATCATATTGATAGAATACTGATGATAGGGCCATTGGAAGCGATGAGGTTGTACTCATCATTCTCACTTGCTGTGCCAATGAACGTTTGATATCATGATCCTCATTGTTACTGTTGACCATCTTGACAAAGAATGCTTTATCATTGATTGTACCATGGTAGAATCCCGTGCTGTCCTCTGTCATCACCTTGGACTTGTCGACCAGTGGATAGTCGAATGGATAGAACAATCTACTGTGGAGTATGTATGTGTCCAAGTAAAGAGCATTGTATCTCTCCAGACAGGTGCTCATCAGATTAGGCAACATGTTTGGTGATCTAGTCTCCAATCCCTTGATCTGCAAGATGTTGTAGCACTTGAATATGTTGAACTTGCGGATGACTATCTGTTCGATCTCCATCTCTAACTTCTTGATATTGATTGATTCTGGATAGAGATCGACGAATGTCATGAGGTCGGCTGCTCCGTTATGCTCCACGGCGGGGGTTGGCGTTGTTGTAAAGAAGGTCAGGAATCCTTCCAAGAGATAGGTGTAGATGGCTGATGATATATCTTTTGATAGGAGTGTGGCAATGGGTGTCCTCATCGTGTGCTCCAACACCTTCTTGGTGTACTTCATCAAAATGCTCACAATAGAGTCACCTTGCTCAAGGATTGTGTTGGGAAATGTTCCAATTGAACTGGCCACATCGGCCTCCAACTGATTGATTGCAAAGTGTAGCACCTCGTCTTTGATGTACTCCACTGTTTCAAGTGATACCGATTCGTTGATCAAAGTCATTAGCTTGGTTGCAAAGACTTGTTTGATCAATGTAGGAATGGTTTCAATGACCGAGCACAATGATCCACTGATCTCCGATTCAATGCTGGCCAATGTGTGGGCAGAGTCTTCAATCACCTTGCTGTAGTCCTCAATGTTGGTGAGGATAGACTGAGTCGTTTGAATTTTTGTGGCCATGCGATTACACTCCTTCTCAACCAAGCTCAGGTTGATGTCTCCCCTTGTCCGATAGAGCCTGGCAATCCATTTGATAAGTTTGTTGATGAACTGCTGGAAGATGTACCTGGTCTCATTTGTCTTTGGTTGCATGACAAAGTCCAATGAGTTGACAAGAGCAAAGGTCTGCGGGCTGCCGCCATGTGTCGAGTTGTCCTGTTTCAAGTAGCATTGGTGTGAATGTCTATCGATCCACTCGAGCGATACACCCTCGCCAGGCTGTATATTGTTCATCGTCTGTACCTCATGCCATGATACCATGGTGTGTGCAATGAATATCGACTTCCTGGCCGTGCAGTCCGTTGGCAATGAGCTTATCAAGTCTGTGAGTCCATCCATCCTTGATGAGTTGGGGTAGCAGTACATGATACCAGTTGGCTGGTATGCTTGGAAGAAGTCCTTGTAGATAGGGGAGATTGTTGTATTGTTGGTAGGGCTGAAGCCAGGTAGATCGATGATCTCCAGGCCAGTCTCGAGCAGGGGCGAAGGGAACTCCAACATCACAACCTTGTTGGTCCACTCTTTGAATGACGCTGTACTATCTGCAGTGGTCCATTTCCAGACCAAATGCATGTCCAAGCAGGTCCTCAACTGCATTCTTATTGGCTCCAGATTCAAATCGCTCGACTCAAAGGTGATTGTCTCATCGTCCAAGCATTCCAAGTAGCTGGTCCCATTGTCTTGTTGAGTAACTACCCTGAATAACTTGATACAAATCGTTGGCGAGTTTCTTAATATGCATATCCTTGATGTTACATTCTCTGTTCCTGTTGGCAAGATATGCATAGAGAGAAGTACATTGATCAACATAGACTATGTATATATGATTGAATGATTGAATGATTGATTGTTAGTTGTTGTTGTTGTTGTTATGATTGATTGATTGAATGAATGAATGAATCAATGATTGATGTTTACCTTTCCAGATTGGGTCGGACCCGCCAACACAACCTTGACGTTTGAATCATCCTTCTCCTTGAGCAGTGAATCGTAGGAGGGAGAAGATGAATCAACAACACCATCCAATAGATTGGAACATGATGATAGGTCATCTATCTTTGATATACACATCTCCTTTAGTTCATTATATTTGCTAAGTGCTGCTTTCAATCTGTTCAAAGGATCATCAATATCCTTTACATCTTGTGGTATATATGTAATGTTATGATCATCACCAATGTCATTATTATTATTATTATATATATTATTATCTGTTACACTCATATTTGTTATTGTAATTGTAGTTGTACATGTCTTTGTATTTGATGAACTATGTAAGTAAGATACTTAGGTGACTCATCGATCTCTAGACACTCAAGCGATCGAGTTGATGTCTTTGTCAACACTCGTCTAAAAACCCCCAACTTTCAAAGAATCTAACAACTTTGATCATCACGTTACACTCCTTGAATCAATCTATCAACTAATCAATAAGTTCAATCAATTGTAATATTACCAAGATTTATTATTTCATCAACATACTTGTATCCATTTAATTATTAATGGATCGTTTGTAGCTACTTTGGAACGAATAATGATTGGAACAATTGAGTGACCAAGAACTTGGTTTGTGATGATATCTGGTCTTTGAGTAATGGTTCAAATGATTTGAGTTGATTGTATAATAATATCCACTCGACATCATCATTGGCACCATCAGTATGTTTGAAAATTGCTTGTAATGTCATTGGAATGAAGTTGGCATTGTTGGACATTCTGACCTGTTTGATCAACTTGTCCATCACTTCCTTGTCCTCCATGGGCTTCACTATTTGTACCAAGTATGTTTGACCCTTCATTGTTCCAGTGTATATTGATCCAACATAGCCATCACCTACAACCTTTGTTCTATCCACCTTTAGGAGATCGAATGGGAGGCGTAGCTTGCATTGGTGAGCAAGTACCTCAAGGTACAACAGGTTGTACAGGCTCAATGACTGGTTAAACAAGTCATTGAGCATATTTGGTGTCTGTAAATATACCTGACTGATCAGATATGAGAGGGAGGGTTTGAGTGTGAGTAGCTTGCGCTTGATGACTGGTTCTACCTGTTGCTTCAAAAGCCAAGTGTCGATGACATTGGTATATGAAGAGGTAGTATTCAAGTTGAGGTAATTGAAGTAAGTGTCGTCCAAGTATGAGTTGATCATTCCAGCCACCTCTTTGAACAAGATTGATCCAAACTCTGTATCAGTGCCTCTCCTGAACTTATTGATTGCAAACCTGACCAGCAAGTAATCAAGCGAACTTTCCACCAATGGTTTTGGAATGATATGATTGTAAATGTTTGCTGGAGCAGACTCATTGATGAGTTTGTGTACCTTGGGCATTGACTTTGCCATTATTTGGTCGATGAGTGGAATAGCTTTAGGTTCATCGTTGGACTCGAAGTTCTCCATAAAGATAGGCTTGATCAGAGATGGAATGGATTCAATGAACTTCTTGAGAGACTCTGACACCAGTAAAGTATAACTGGCCATCATCTTTTCAGACTCCTTTGCCATTTTGTCGCGTTCATCCTTGCTAGCCATTAGATTGGCCATGTTGACTAATGATTCAATCTTGTTTGACATTGTTATGCACTCTTGCTCGACACTTTTGAGGTAGGTGTCTCCAACTCGACAAATGAGTTTGGCAATCCAGTTGGTCAAACGATCAGTGAACTGCTGGAAGATGAATCTGTTCTCCACTTGTCTTGGATATCTTATAAAATCCAAGGCGTTGACTATTGCAAAGTTCTGTTCGTCCCATAGAGTGTTGAGATCAAAGGACTTTAGCTGAGAGAGAGAGTCACCAATGTATCCCTTCATCATCTCCACAGGCACAGTATCCAGTGGACCAAGGCCATTAGAACAAGCGATTTCACTCTTGGAAGCCTTAGTGTTGACAAAGAATATTGATTGCCTCTCCACATCACTTGGCATTGAGTTGACCAAGTCAGGGAATGCAAAATCCAGAATCCCATTGTATGAATAGCAAAAGAGGACGCCGTTTGGAGTGTAGGCTTCGAAGAAGTCTTTGCGGATGGTGAACAATGATGCTTGATCTGATACACTGTAACCTGGAACATCGATGATCTCCAATCCAGTCTCGAGCAAAGGTGACGGGAGCTCAACCATCACAATCTTGCTGGCCCACACTTCGAACAGAGCTTCGTCGTCTTCAATGTCATCAGGTCGTTGTAGATGTGTCTTCATCTCCTTATTAAAATTCCTCCTCGTCTCCAAATTGAGTTCATTCCCTATTGTGATTGTTTCATGGTGGATACAATCCAATATGCTTGGGAGGTTGCCTCCTTCTTGAGGTGCCACTCTGAAGAACTTGATACTAATCGTTGGAGAATAACGCAGTATGCATATCCTTCCTGATGCATGTCCTGCACCTGATGGCATCAAGTTGGGTATCGACAGTATAGAGTTGATCAATGTTGACTGTGCCCGTTGTTTAAGAATGTAAGTTCAATCAATCATACAATCAATCAATCATTCAATCATTCGTTAGCATACCTACCTTTCCAGAATGAGTTGGACCACATAAGGCTATCTTGACCTTTGGGACAGCCATAGGTTCGCTTGGTTGTACTAGACCATCCAATGGTGCGATACAAGATGACTGATCTTTAGTGATTATGTCATTGACCTCACCAATGATCTTTAGTGTTGCAATCATCTTCTTTAAAGGGTCTTCGATATCCTGAACATCCTTTGGTATATCAATACATTTACTGTCATATGTAGAGTTAACTATCAATGAGTTGGAATTCATCTTGTTACTTTATATGAATAGTTAGTTATGGTAGTAGTTGTAATAATGTTTGTTGGTGGAATAGTAGTTGATTGTAACAGTTGTTGGTTTGGTTGTAGTTTTGATCATTCTTTTTAAGCACAAACAGATATTTTCCCCCATCCTTCCCCGATCACTAAAGTGAGTATCCAAGTTTGGGTGTTGATGGTCCTTGACCAACCCCGAGACTATAATGGGCCATCAATCAATAATAAAAATTTTAAATATATTTTATTATATTGACATATCCAAGGATATGAATGAACGATGCTCTTGGATCGTCCTGATGAAATACATCCTACCATCCTGGAAATAATGATTGGAACATTTGAGTGACCAGGAATATGGTCTTTGATGAAATTTGATCTTTGAGTAATTGTTCAAATGAATTGAGTTGATTGTATAATAATATCCACTCAACATCGTCATTTGCTCCATCATTCTGTTTGAATATGGCTTGTAGTGTCATTGGAATGAAGTTGACATCGTTGGACATTCTGACCTGTTTAAGCAAATTACTCATCACAGCCTTGTCCTTTCCTGGCTTGACTATCTGTACCAAGAATGATCGGTTCATCATTGTTCCTGTGTATAATGATCCTACACTAACCTTACCAACTACCTTGGATCGATCCACCTGAAGACTTTCAAATGGGAGGTGTAGCTTGCAATGAAGTGCTAGGACATTAAGGTACAGAGCGTTGAGTTGGTCTAAAGACTTGGTCAACAGGTCATTCAGCATGTTGGGACTTGATTTGGACTCGATGACCTTGATTTGTAGGGCAACCATGGACCTGAGCATCATGAACTTGCGATTGATGGCTTGCTCCACCTGTTTCTCGATGTCTTTGGTTTTGATTGAGTCTGGATACTTGGATATCAAACCTTTGAGTCCATTGTTGTCCATTGTAGTAGGTGCGATGAAGTATGCTAGGAAGCCCTCCTCCAGTGTGTTGTTGATCATTCCAGATAGTCCTTTTGACAAAGCTGTCACAAACTGATTGTTGACTATACTCTGGAAGGTCTTCATTCCAAACCTGATCATCAAGTTTACAGGAGTAACTTCTTCAAACAGTGACATGACTATAGTGACAATTGATGACGTGACCATCTCCTCAATGAGACAGTTTACCTTGAGGATGATCTCTGCTCTGAGGAAGTCGACTACTTGGATACGCATCGCTACATCGTTACTGGCATGCTTGTCAACAAAGTCGAGTACTGAGCTGATCGTACGTCTGACAATGGTTGGAATGTTTCCAATAAGCTTGTTTAGGGATATTGTAACCATAGATGCAAAGTTGGTGAGCATCAGTTCAGACTCTCTCATCAGCTTGTTGTGATCGGAAATGTTGCTGATGACCGACTGTACCAATTCAATCTTAGTTGACATGGTTCGGCACTCCTGCTCGACTTCCCCAAAAGGGTAGACAACCATCTGGGGATGGAGACTTGCAATCCACTTGGTCAGACGATCAATGAACTGATGGAACATGTACCTGGGATTGGGAGATTTTGGAAATCTGACGAAGTCAAGACAGTCGATAATGGCGAAGCGAGTATCATCGATGGTAGTTTTGGGATGAGATACCATTAACTTCGAGAGTAGACCAATTCTGTGATTGATGATTAAGTCCAGTGGAACTTCTGTTCCAAGCTCGATGTTGTTGGAAAGGCCAATGTCCTTCTCTGAAACTTTGGTGTTTACAAAGAATATTGAATCCTTGGCAGTTGAATCACTGGGAAGTGATTTCAAGATACTATCCAGAGACTTAACTTCTGCATCAGTGAACACTGAATTGGGGTAGCAAAAGATGACTCCAGATGGTTGGTATAGATTGAAGAAGTCCTTTCGGATGGCGAACTGAATCCTGTTTTCCCATCCACTGAAGCCTGGAGTATCGATAATTTCCAAACCTGGCTTTAGAAGTGGGGATGGAAACTCGATACTGACAATCTTGCTGGCCCATTCATTGTATATGTCGTAATCATTCTCGATGCCATCTGGTCGCTCTAAGTTTTGTTTGATTAACAATTTTAGATTCCTCTTGGCTTCAATGTTAAATACATTCGACTCCATTGTTATGGTCTCGTTGTCTAAACATTGTAACCTGTCAACTTTGAGTGTGTAGAACTTTATACAGATCGTTGGCGAATATCTAATAATGCATATCCTTCCAGTTGTATGTCCAGGACCTGTTGGTAGAAGCTGTGGAATGTCGAGTAATGTATTGATCATTGCTGACTATCATAGTTGATTGAGAATGTCAGTTCTTGTAATCACTCAAACATTCAATCAATCAGTCAATCAAACAATAATATCTTACCTTTCCAGAGTGTGATGGACCACAGAATGCAATGCGCTTGGTCTTTGGGAAGTCCTCTCTCCTAGGATGCTCAACAGGTTTGTTTGGTAGCTCTACCAAACCATCCAACGACTTTGTACATAATGACAGATCATCCATCAATGTCAAGTACTTCACATTGCATTCCTTATGTAACTCTAGTGAGTTAATAATCTTCTTTACATGATCTGTTGTAACATCCACATCAACGAATGATGATAAGTTACTAATCAGGGAGTTTGAATTCATCAATAATCTTTGTTATAAGTATTGTATATCTCTATGGAATAGATAGATGAAGTAATGAGTGATGTAGATGTTGAGGCCAGACTGCATTCATTCATTCATTTTAAACAAATGGAGATATTTATGTTGTTGGCAGACTTTGCAAAGTGAATTTCCAAGTTGGACTTTAGCCATCACTTCTCCAACAACACCAACATCACTTCTCCAACAACACCAACATCATTCATTCCCTACATCTAATCAATCATTTAATTTAAATACTTACTCTCTACACATGTAATAATACAAATACTAATAATAATAACAATATATGATAATGATATGATGATCAACAATATATTTGATTTAAATACTATTGTACCTACTCCAAATACACCTAATGAAGATGAGAGTAGACAAAGATATATGAATGATGCTCATTCAACCTTTACAAGTCTTATACAACAGATGACAGTGTTGTCACACATCACAGAGACATTCAATGATATAGCTACAGACCCTTGTTTCACCTCTGATTCTATCAATAATACAATCATCCCACCTCAATCACCTCCATTGAACAACAACAACAACAACAATAACATCAACAACAATGTAAACATACTTGAGATAATGCTCTCAAAGGAGAGATTGAAAAAGATAAAGAGTATGGTTGAGAAGACGTCTAAGTTCAAGTTGGCCTTTGTTGGTCCTGTTTGCTCGGGCAAGACTACATTGATCAACACTCTCTTTGGTGTTTCATTGCCCATCGTAACAACAACTCGAATCACTATACTACGCTATAGTACACTGGCAGAATCATCAGTCAGTTTCCACAAGTTGGTACCTAGTGGTACTGAGATCATCGCCGATGAACCTGTGATCAGTCTGGCAACAGTTGCCGACCCAAGGCAAGCGACTAAGATAGCTTGGCCTCTGCTCCGTCGCCCTGCAGAGGAAGATGACAACTCCATTGATGAGTGGACGCAGAAGATAGTGGTGATCAGTTACCCTATCCCGATGCTTGAGGGCGGTCTAGAGGTGTACGACATCCCAGGTACAAGAAATGACGAGCATGTTTACACAACAGCGATGCGGTCCAACTTCTTCTCTCATGTCAGTCCCAACGCTGCTGTCTTTTGCTATGTCAACCCTGCATTCTCAGACACAGAGGTTCAATCATACAAGGACTTCAAAAGTCAAACAAAGATTGTCGATGGCTTTGATTTGGACTCACATGTCTTCTTTGCCAACACAAAGTTCAACGTGGCAGCATTCAAGAACAGTCAAAACCTTGACAACCTACATGATGTTACCGATGAACATCTGCTACAGGAGGAGATTTCAATCTTTCAACAGTTGAGTGTTCGAAAGGTGTTGAATGGGCGAGCCAAGCCATCACAGTTCTCCTTGGTCAACTCGATGGACTTCTTGGCGGCCAAGCATGGCAGCAAGCGATTGTTTGGACGGTTCGTTGAGCGACTGACGAGGTGGATGATCTCAATCAGACACTCAATCATAAAGTTCGTTCTCGATGAGCTGATTGAGCTGTGCCAGAGGTTCTACACCTTTGTCCTTCCAAACAGAGGTGTGAGTGAATCCCCAGCAACGTCGTCATCCGACTTTCCAAAGCAGGTGGACCAGTTCCTCAACAACCTTTGGCTGCAATATAAGGAATCAATCATGGAGCTCCCCAAACTACTCACCCAACAATGTGAGGTGTCCAAAGATGTGGCAATGGAGATGGCAGGTGACATTGAGCTCCAGCAGTACGATGGCAAGGAAGGAAACTCTTCATTCAAACTGGAGGCCATTGGAGCATTCAAGGCAAAGATATCGCGTTGGTTCTTTGACAATATTACAAGTCCGGTGGTCATGACACTTCGCGGACGTCTAGAGATCAAATGTAATGAAGCCATTCAATCACAACAAAACAACCAATATATATTGGAACTACTCAAAGACAAAGAGTATTCATTGGATAGTCTAACATGGGACATTGGCAAGAAGCTGTTTGACTCTTTGTCTCAATCATTGAGACTACAACACAGGGTACAGAAGCCCAGGACCAGCCTCACACCCAACAAAAAGGTGATCAACAAACAGTTTAAGAGGAGGATCATGGAGAAGATACTCTCATTGTGTGGATACTATCTCTACATGCCCGACATGGTATTGGGCATTGAAAAGGTCTTTCAGGATTATATGAAGGAGATGAAAGCGCCCATCTCAATATATACACGATTCCTGGCCAAGTTGGAGAGTCTAAGGACGCGCATCGAAGACCTGTCCAGCCTACATCACAAGATTGGCATGCTACACATGGAGACAATGGCCAATCAATTCAAACTCAACAACCCATTTCACACAATCACTGGCATGGCCAACATTGTTGGATACGGACCGTCTGGAGTCACCTTTGCTGGCGTACTTGGTGGCAGGACAGTCTATGTCAAACAGATGGCACACATTGCCAATCAACCATCGCCTACTATCACACCTTCACACTTGGCCTTCTTCGAGGAGGCATACTACACACTTTTGATCACTGACAAGGATGGCGACCTTCTACCACTTCTCGCCGTGTTTCATGACACAACCTGTACACAACTTGTATACCCAAGTCACGGTGTAGACCTAATGACTTACTTGGACAACAACCCAGTGACATACTATCAAGGCCTGGTAATAGCAGAGTCAGTTGCCAGGGCCATCGAAGAGATACATACCCTTGGATTCAATCATCATGATATTAGATTGGAGAATATATTTATTAATGCAACAGTATTTAACTTGGACATCAAGCTTGGCAACATTGGCTGTCCCAACAAGACACTGGCGAGCCAACTGCCAAGACGAGACGTTGCTGAATTTGCAAATGTGTTGGTCAACATCTCAAACAAGGTCAACATGCTGAAGGACGTCCACAAGTTAAGTCAATCAATGGGCAACAGAGTGTTGGAATGGAACTTGAACAACCTGAAATTCATTCAAGATATCCGAGACTGTGAGGAACGGCTGTCCCAGCTCAGTGTCAACGAACTGACACAAAGTGTCAACCATCAGTTGGTGATTGGCGAAGCACTCAAGGCTAGTTGGGGTGTACCAAGCTCCCCTCCACCAATCAATCCTTTAACCAACTCAATGATCACCATCAAGCTTAGCGATATCATACGTGACCTAGAAGAGCGAATAGCAATGTTCCAGGCGGTAGACAGTCAACCTTTGCAACTTGATCAATAAATGAATGAACACATTCAAATGCTATACATGTATTTTTGTTATATCTTCCAACTTTGATGCTATGTCCTTGATTGTAGATTGTTTGTTGAAGCACATCTGTATCAGTTCCAAAAGATGAATATGTATATGTACTGGTACTAGGTTTTCTGTTGTTATCTTGGCCTTGGACGCCACCTCCTCCACACTGAAACGCCTCATCATTCGCTTGGGCAACAACTCGCAGATGACCACGCCCAAACCATCCATGTACCTATTGATGATTGGGTGCATGACAGGTTGTCGATGGTTATCCAGAACGACCGTGCCGAATGACGAGAGGAATAGTGCCTTGGTGTTGAGGTCTATGAACAAGTACTCCAGTCTTATGTTCTCATGAGCTGTGCCCTGGGCCAGATGGTAGCTCAGCGCCCTGACCAACTGAGTGATCATCGTCAGTGATTGCTCCATCGTAAGCGTCGAAATGTTGTCCTTGAGGTACGGCAGCAGCGGGCTGTACTTTTTGAAGACCAGGCGCCACTCCACCTCATTGACCACGCCAAGGGATGCCTCACGAGGCACGTGCTGCTGGAAGATAGCATGCAGAGGCACCAGACCGTTGTCCTTGCTCAGGACACTGTTGGCCAGCATGGCCTGCATCGTTAACTTGTTTTGGGTGACCTTGTCTCCACGCTTGGGCCGAACGATCTGTACGTAGTATGATTGCTCCTTGAACGTTCCATTGTACACTGGTCCAATGTCGCCCATTGCCACCATCCTGGTCTCATCGACCTGTACGGCATTGTCGAATGAGTTGTAGTGCACCTTGCAGTGCAGCGCGATCACCTCGAGGTAGAGCGCGTGGTATCGGTCCAAACACACAGTCATCAGTGTCGGCAGCAGGCTGGACGACGTGACCAGTTGGAGCAGACGACTGTGCTGCAGCTTGAGGTACTTCTTGAACATGAAATACTTCTCAATCAAGGCCTTGAGCATCTCGCCCTGTATTGTGACTACGTTGATCGATTTGGGGTATCGATCGATCAGTGTCTTGAGGTCCAACTTGTGAACCTGGCTCTTGGTCTTGGCCGGCGCCGTAAAGTATGTGAGGAAGCTGCCAAACAGTGCCGAGCCAATCGTGCCCGCTAGATCCTTGGTGAGGAGCGTGGCGTATGGAGAGCGCGCCGTGCTCTCAATGTCCTCCATCGCGAACTTGATCAGGAAGTTGGCCGGGTTCTTCTCCAGCAGGGTCTTGATGAGCGCGCCCACGATCCTTGACACGTGCTCCTCGATCATCTTGAACAACTTGAGTATGATGCGTTCAAAGAGGAACTCGACGCCCATGAACTGGAGCGTGTGGTCGATCTTGGTCAGCTTCCTCAAATTCTCGAGGTAGTCATTAATCGAATCCTTGCTGGCCACGAACATCTCCTTGACCATATGCGGCAATGTGTCTATCAGTGAGTTCACGTCCTTTGTGACCTTGGCTACCAGATCGGTCACCAGTGCATCAGAGTCTGTGAGCAGTTGGTTAAAGTCCGCGACGTTGTTGCTGCTGCTGTTGATGTACGGACGAATCGATTGAATCTTGAACGTCATGAAGTTGCAGTCCAGTTCGATCAGGGTGAGCACCGTGTCGCACTGTCGCTGGCTCAGTCGCCCAATCCACCTGATGAGATGGTCGACGAAATGCGTGAAGATGTACCTGTTCTCCTCAGAGTTGGGCAACCTGATAAAGTCTAACGAGTTGACCATTGCGAAGCGTCGCTCATCGATGTTCATTGTGACGTTGAGGCTGGAGCCCTTGAGCTTGGAGTAGCAGGCCGCCTGGTGCGAGTGGATGAGCTCGAGAGGCACCTCGTCGTACTGGCCAATGCCATTGTTGATGGCCACCTCGCTCTTTGACGTCTTGGTGTTGGCAAAGAAGATCGACTCCTTGGAGTCCCAGTCCTTGGGCAGCGAGTTCATTAAGTCGGGGATGGCCAGCACCTCTGCGTCCGAGACGGCCGAGTTGGCGTAACAAAAGACCACTCCAGTCGGGCTGTAGGCTGTAAAGAAGTCCTTGCGGATGCCAAACAATGACGCGTCGTCCGTCTTGCTGTAGCCTGGCACATCGATGATCTCCAGACCAGTCTCGAGCAGGGCCGATGGGAACTCGACCATCACAATCTTGCTGGCCCACTCCTTGAACACCTCGGGTTTGTCATCAATGCCATCGGGTCGCGCCAAATGCTTATTCATCGACTCCTGGAGTCGTTTCCTCGAGCTCATTGTGATCTCTGTGGCAAAGGGTTCGATCACCTCTGTCTCATTGTCAAGGCATTTCAAACATGCTGGCGCATCACCAAGCGCAGGCACTACCACAAAGAACTTAACTCTGATCGATTGTGAATGACCAAGTATACATATCCTTCCACTAGTGTGGCCGCCACCTGATGGCATCAAATGTCGACATGACAACAATGTGTTGATCAATGTTGACTACGTGATTGAGTGTCATGTGATTGATTGAGTGATTGAGTCCAAGGTTAGTACCATGGTCGAGAACACAACACACAGTGATCGTGATCATGACATACCTTGCCAGAGTGAGTTGGACCGGATATGATCAGTTTGATTTTGGAGTAGTTGTCTTTGGTGAATGACTTTAGTGATGAGTTGTCCTCAAAGACATTGTTTAGTAATGCTTGACATGATGATAGATCATTTATCTTTGCATGACACCTTGTCTTTATATCACCAAATGTCTTTAAGGCCGCTATCAACTTTGTCAAAGGGTCCTTAATATCTTCAATCTCTGATGATAGTCTAATTATATCACTATTATTATTGTTGATAATCTTAATGTTATTGTTGTTGTTAATGTTATTGTTGTTGTTGTTATTGTTGTTGTTGTTGTAGTTGTTGGAGACATTGATGTTGACTAGATTGGAGGTGATGGTGGCCGAGATGATATTGGAGTGGGACTTGTTTCCGCCGCCAAAGTTGTTGCCAACAACAACATTGTTATTGATAACATGCGACTTTACTGTCGCAGTTTGTTGAGGTTTTTGTTGTAATGTAAAACGATGTGATGAGATTGCTGGTGACGTCATTCAATCATTATTCTTTATCTTTATCCATTGAATATATACTATTAATAAATAAATAATAAATATATATAATTTTGTGATGTATTAAACCAATGTGCACGCATGGCGTAACCTGACCTGACCCTTCATCTTTCATTCCTTCATCATTCTCCTCCGAGACCCTATTAGTGTTGTTGGGTCTATGAGTGTTGTTGAAATGTTGGGAATGATGAGGGAGAGATCAATCATTGGCTGGCTGGATGATCGTGTGATCAATGGTTTGTGGGTGGGGTCGTGTGGTTGTGTTGGACCAACTCGAACTTTTGAGTTTGTTGTGTGACTCAACTTGCAAACCACAACTAACACTAACTCATAGATACACAAATGTTTGAATGAGTCATTGATGTAGTTGAGTTGTAGTTGTAAAGTATATATGTGTTATGGGTATGACCAATAGTGGATGGAGGAGCGATGTGATTGTTTTTAACTCTACTACTACTAGTTTTGGTTGTCAAAACATTAGTGATCATTTTCATTGCCAAAATTGGTTAAATATTTTCAAAATTTGAATTCTCGCGCCTTAATTTGAATTGAGTTCCACATGATAACGGATTGTGGTAATTGGTTGTGTTACAATGAATGTATTAATGAATGACAAAGACATCTTGATGTGGTTATTCAATTAGAATTAGACATAGATAGACATCAATAACATAAATGGATGATAAAGATAAGATTAAAGTATCGATCAGAGTTAGGCCCTTTAACAAGGACCCAATCGATCAATCAAACAAAGCAAGTCCATGGATCATCACCAATGATTCAATCACACATATTAAAGGAACACAACCATTCTCCTATGGTATGTAGCACCTCGATCAATCACTGGAATCATTCCACTGACCTCCCACCAACACTCAATCAATCACTCAGACTCCATATTTGGAATGTCCTCGACTACCTTGAACTTGTTCAATATGGTTGCAAAGGACATTGTTGATAGTGCACTCAATGGTATCAATGGTACCATATTCACATACGGACAGACATCGTCCGGCAAGACACATACAATGAAGGGAACAGATACACATCCAGGTATCATCCCACTATCCATACAACATATATTCAATCACATTCAAAATACATCCAATCAACATGAATACAGCACACGTGTCTCTTATATGGAGATATACAATGAGGAGTTGAAAGACTTACTCGTCTCTGGCAACAACAACAACAACAAGAAGACCAAGCTCAAGATACACGAAGATGGTGATCGTAGCATATACGTTGGTGGACTGCGCGAGGAGCAAGTCACCTCAGTCGAACAAGTGACCAACATCTTAAAGAGTGGTGAGGGTATGTATCCATTCATTCATGAGTCTGGAATCATTCCACTGACCCCCACCCCACACTCAATCATTCAATCAAACAAACAAAGAGAAAAGACATGTTGGAACAACAAATATGAATGAGAGTAGCAGTCGCTCTCACACAATATTCAGACTGCATATTGAGCGACATGAGAAGGGTGATGACTCTTCCAATCAAACTCAATCTGGAATAGTTCCAGGACAAGGTCGCGCGCCTCACTCAACATCCAAGCGCGCCAAACTTATATCCGTGCTCACTTTGGTCGATTTGGCTGGATCTGAGCGAGCATCTTCAACTGGAGCAGAGGGTATGCGACTCAAGGAAGGCAATCACATCAACAAGAGTCTTTCGACCTTGTGCACGGTCGTGTCCAAGTTGTCAGAGGGCAAGGACGGCCAGCACATACCCTATCGCGACAGCAAGCTCACGCGTATTCTCCAGTCGTCGCTGGGTGGAAACTCAAAGACCGCCATCATCTGTACTATTACGCCGTCTGCGCATCATGTCGACGAATCGCTGTCCACGCTCAACTTTGCCAAGCGCGCCAAGAACATCAAGACCAACTACCGCATCAACCAAGTGCAGGACAATGCCGCTCTGTATCAAAAGGTGGTCAAGGAGAACCAGGAGCTAAAGAACAAGCTCAAGCAGCAACAGGCGCGACTGGATCCCTCCACCGCGTCATCAACGTTTGGCCGCGGACTAGGCCTTGGCTTCCTCCAGAGCATATTTGGGTCGGGCGCCAGCTCGAACGCATCCAGCGTGCTGACCAACGACACGAGTGCAATCGTTTGGGACGAGGACCAGATGTCCTCCACACCAAGCGTGGCACAGATGCCCACCAAGAAGCGTCGCGAGACATGGGCGCCCGAGTCCGATCAGTCACGCATCAAGAAGCTGCGAGTGGGAGCCGCGCCAATCAATCAATCAAACGTCAACTTGGACGTCAGCGCGACGACACCCAGCACATCCACATCATTGGCCACGACGCCAATCAATCCAAACAAGTCGACATCATCCGCAGTCACAAACATCCAGCATCAGCTCAAGATCACAAATGATGAGAAGCTGGAGCTGGCTGCCCAGTTGGAAGACGAGCGCACCAACTTCCAGGACACATACCAGAGCATGAATGAGTACATTGAGATGCTGGAGGCTGAGCATGCGCGTGTCCAATGTCTGCAGGAGGAGAACACAATGCTACAAGAGGAGCTTCAGGGCTGCGAGCAGTTGATTGACGACTGCGACGAGCAGATCGTCACACTCAATCAACGCAACGAACAGATGAACATAGACCTGGAGCGAATGCATACTGAAGCCGTCCAGCTCGAGGAGGCAGCCCGTGCCGAGCGCGATTGTCTGAGCGCACAGCTGCTCACCCTGGGCGAGAACTATGCCCTACTCGAACAAGATCGTGGGTCATTGCACAGCGACAACCAGCTGCTCAAGTCAAGGATCGAGTCCTTGAGTGCCAGTCTCGACCAGTTCACCCTGATGTTTGATCCCATTCGCGAGCAGATCAACGTCTACCTTGAGCAACACAATCAACTACGCGCAGAGGTCACCTACCTCAGTGAGCAGAATGAGCTCATGGACGCCCAGCACACCGAGGTCGCAGCGCACAACGCTGACCTGGCGCGCAACAACGAGGACTTGGCGCGCGAGAATCAAGAGCTGCGTGCCACCCACAATGAGCAAGGATCACGAGAGAGTGACTTGGCCGCAAGATTGATAGAGGCCAACAAGCATGCCGAGGCTCTTCAGGGCCAGCTCACAGAACATCAAGGTATCATCGATGGGCTGAGGCGCGTCAAGTCGCAGTATGATCAAGAGATGGAGCACATTGGCCACCAGCTTAAGGCCCAGCGCAACACGATTCAAGTGCTCGAGCAACAGATCGCCGACAAGAACAAGCCGATTGAGGAGCAGCTGGCCCTGGTCCATCAGATGGAGTCGCGTCTGAACGCGGCCTTTGCCAACCACGAGTCCTCAGTGGACGCACTCAATCGCGAGATCAATCAGAAGGACGACAGGAATCGCCAACTGACAGGCGACATTGAGCGACTGGAACAGGCTTCGCGGCGCCAGGAGCAGACGCTGGCCAACGAGAAGTTTGAGTTGGCTCAGCAGCTGCAGCAACTGGAGCAGCATCATCAAGCTTCGCACGAGACGTCCAGGATGCAGCTCGAGATGCAGACCGCGGACAACCTGGAGCTCAAGGCGCGACTCTCCCAGCTGGAGACCATGTACCAGGGACGTCTTGAAGAGTCCAAGCTCATGCTCGAGGCCAAGCGAGCAGAGGTAGCACAGCTCGCCGACCAGCTAGCCGACGCTAGCAGCAAGAGCTCGACCCTGGCCAAGCTCGTCGACGAACTAACCGCACAAAAGAGTGATGTGGACGCGAGATTCAAAGAGGTCGTTGCCGAGAAGGACGCTGCGCAGTCCAAGATGGGCGTCGAGGTGGCCCTGCTCAAGGACCAGGTGGCAAAACTAAAGAAGGCCAAGCCAGGCGAGATCGTCGCGAACAAGGCGATTGAGCGCGAGAAGGATCTATTGCGCACGGACAATGAGAAGCAGAAAGAGAAGATCGCGACGCTCGAGGCCAAGGTCAAGCAGGTGACGATGGAGAAGTCGGCGATCCAGTCTGAGAAGGCCACCGCTGAGCGAGAGCTCAACATCCTCAAGAAGTCCAAGGCCGACGTGGAGAAGGAGCTGGACAAGATACGAACGACCAAGAAGACCGAGACGGATCGCACCAAGGAATACACGACGGCAATCAAGACCCTGACCAAGGCCAACGAGACATTGACCAAGTCCAACGAGTCCTTGACCAAGGCCAGCGACAGGTATCGAGTTCAGGTTACAGATTTGGAGGACCAGCATGCCAAGCGCGCCGAGCAGTTAGAGGCAGTGGCGGAGGAGGTGGCCAAGCTCAAAGATGAGAAGTCGGCACTTGATGAGACCATCGCCAGTCTCGAGATGGACAAGGCCCAGTATGAGATCAAGCTCAACACACACGAGGCCGAGATCACCAGGTTACATCAAGAGTCCGACAAGGCCAAGGCTCAGTATGAGGCCAAGATCAACACACATGAGGCCCATATCAACAAGTTACAACAGGACTCTGAGATGGCCATGACCGAGCACCGCGCCAGTCTGACCGCCCTTCAATCACAAGTAGACAACAAGTCAAGCGAGCTCGAGACCATGACCCGCGCATTGGAGGAGGCGAAGGATAGTGCCTCGCGAGTTGTAAAGGAGCTGGCTGAGAAGGAGACTGAGAAGGACAATCTTTGTACCCAGCTGGCCGAGTTCAACTTCCAGATCGAGGAGATCAAGGCTGAGTTAGCCTTGGTCACATCACAGTTGGACACACAGCTTAAAGAGCGCGCGAAGCTGGAGGAGCAGATGGCTGCTTTAAGGACCGAGTTGGAGGGCGCGACCAAAGAGCGTGAAGGACTGAAGAATCAGCTGGAGAATGAGCGACAGGAACATGTACTGGCTAGCGCGAAGGCACTGGCGTCCAGCGAGGGCGATGTCAAGACGTACCAGGACAAGATCAAGAGTCTGGAGCAGGAGACCATCGAACTGAAGGAGTGCCTGGAGGAGGAGATCGCCGAGTTGGAGGAGGACTGCACCAAGTTGAGACAGGAGAACGATGCCAAGCAGGCCGAGCTGGACCGATTGAACGCGGCTATCCTTGAGCAGACCAGTCGCCACACCGAGCTGACCAAGGTGAACACAGATGTCGTCATGCAACTGGATGATAAGACCAAGATGTGCGACGAGCTTGAGCATCGTGTGACTGAACTTATGGACACATCTGGACAAGCTGTAGCAGGCTTGGCCAACGCCCAACAAGACAATATTGCACTGGAGTCTCAGACACAGACATTGCACGAGAAGTTGGAGGGTGTCCAGCGCGAGCGTGAGGCACTGGCTGCACAAAACTCAAAGTTGGCCGCGACCATCACCGAGCAAGACACCAAGATGGACATTCTTGAGCAGTCAATGGAACAGCTTCGCAACTCATTGGCCACCGAACAGGCGAACGTCAGTCGTATGGCTTCTCAGATAGAGTCGATCGAGGACGAGCGCAGGCAGACTGTCAACGAGGCGGAGGCCAAGCAAGCCAAGCAGGAGGACACCATTCGCCGACTCAACCTGGCGATAGAGTACGCGCGATTTGAAAAGGATCGGGATGTTGAGGAGTTGAAGAATCAGTTCGCCGCATACATCAAGGCCGAGCGCCAGAGAACGGATGCGGGACAGACCGACCTGGAAACACTGCGCAAGACACTGGCTGCCAAGGAACACGAACTGGAGCTAAAGAACAAGGAGATGGAGGATCTCGAGGAGGAGCACTACAAAAAGTTGGAGAACAAAATCAACGAGTGCAAGTCACTGGAGAAAGAGTTGGCGCAGCATCGTCTGGCCAAGCATCAATATGAGATGCAGGCCTCACTTGGGGCATCTGTCAACAATGGTACCAGACCAAATATTGATCTACCGGTATCATCATCAATTCTAAAGAACAACACAGGTGTGATCAATCATCATGCATCTCCCACAAAGAACACGTCTTTGTCTGCCTCATTGGCCACACCATCCATCTCTCAGGGACTGTCGCACAAGCAATCATACGTTCCACCACTCAAGCCATTGCTCAAACCAAAGGCAACAACGACTACCAAGCGTGCCAGCAACGCCAACACTCAATCAACCTCCACTTGTAAATAAAGTTATTGTATTCATTCATTCATTATTATCTCATATTTCCACCAGTTGTTGAATCTCATCCAACTTTGAAATGACATTCTTGATGGTCGATGGTCTCGCAAAGCAGTGTTGGACCAACTCAATGAGGTGTCCTCTTAGCCAAGTTGGTGTTTGAGGCATTGTATCCTCGAAGATGTTGATAAAGGTTTGTTCAGAGACATTATCGATGGTATATCTTTGTAACAATGGCTTGGGCAACAACTCAAGAATGACCACGCCAAGTGACTCCATATCCAGTGATGATGTTGTGGATGTTAGGGCTGTATGTCTTGTTTTAAATTGGCTCCATTCAACATGTCCGAACGTCGAGAGGTAAGTATTCTTCGTGTCCAAATCGATGTAGATGAACTCCAGTTTGATATTCTCGTGAGGCCATTGCTCCAACACTTTAACCAACCTTGTGATCATTGTTAATGATTGAGTTATTGTTAACTTTGATATGTGTTCCAGGAGATATGGAACAATTGGACTTAAATTCCTATACATCAATATCCACTCATCGACAGGTTGATGTTGTCGTTGTTGTTTGAATATTGCAAAAGGCGACAGTAGTGGAAAGTCATTATTGTTTTGGTTCCATAGTAGTTTGTTCAACCTAAGGTACATGGCCAGTGTGCCCTTGTTGGTTAGCTTTAGAACACCTGTGATGAATACGAGGTCGTCAAAGGCCTGAACCATGAACTGTTGGTCGTTGTAAGTGCATTGGTACACTGGTCCAAGCTCGCCTTGAGCAACTGGATTGTGGATATCGTATTTCCCTGTGATGTTTGGATGGTTAAACGACTTGCTGTGGAGTGCCAGCACATCGAGGTAGTGTGAATGGTACCGATCAAGCACTTTCTGGATATTGCGAGGTATTTGTGATGTCTTAGCTCTGTAAAGATATATTTGGTGTCTAGATATTATTGCATTCTTGATAGCTTTGATTTGTTGAATCACTATGATATTGATAATGCTTTCTAATGATCTGATTTTGATTGAGTTTGAAAACAGCTGAAGTTTCTCTTGGATATCTGTATCTTTGATTGAGGTATCTTTATCCACTTTGAAGTGTGACACGATGTTCTCCATGATGAGTGATCCAATCTCGCGGGAAATCTCAAGATTTAAAAGGTTGACTAATATATTATTGTTCTCTCGTACAATGTCCACAACCATCTTCTTGATGTATCTCTTTGATGAGGAAACACTATCCTCTCTTGTGAAGTTTGAGAAGCAATGTCCAATCTCTTTTGCCACTCGATCATCGATATCTGTGAGCATTTGATCCAGCAGGTCAACTCTCATGAACGTGATGTTGCCATTTGTATGATCAATGTGCAATGAGTCTTGCTGGCTGGTGGAACTTATCAATTTCTTCAAGAGTTTAGGAACGGATGCAAGAATGCCAAATATAGAAAGCGTGATATTCTCGCAAACATCATACATCTGACTATCAAGATCAGCAAGGAAGTTATCCAACTTGGCGAAAAGGTATTTCTTCCTCGATGACATGACATCCAAATCACTCCCAATCTTTGCCAATGACCAAACATTCTTTGAAAGTTGGTCTTTGATGATCCACTTGGTGAGCCGATCGATGAACTGAGTGAAGATGTACCTGTTCTCGGGGGACTTGGGTTGCTTGATGAATGCAAGTGAGTTGGCAACAGCAAATCGTCTCTGATCAATAAACCTGGAGATGTTCTTCTTCTTTTGATTGGAGGCCACGAGCTTCTCGAAACAGTGGGCAGTGTGATTGTTGATCAAATGGAATGGCACCTCATCGCCAGGGTCAATATTGTTAATGATCGCAATCTGGCTCTTGGAGACCTTGGTGTTGACAAAGAATATTGAATCACTCTCAAGGTTCCATCCCTTGGGCAACGAGTTGATGAGGTCGGGAATTGCCATCATCTCGCCATCAGAGAAGGCTGAGTTTGCATAGCAGAAGAGTGTTCCTGAGGGCTGGTAGACATTGAAGAACTGCTTGCGGATTGTGATGAGTGATGCATGGTCAGCGATGCTGAAGCCTGGCACATCGATGAGCTCCAATCCAGTCCCCAGCAGTGGTGATGGGAACTCTGCCTTGACAATCTTGCTGGCCCACTCTTTGAATGCATCTGAGTTGCTTTCGACGTTGGCGGGTCGTCGCAAGTGAGCAGAAAGGTGTTGTCTCAAGTCCTTCATTGACACGATATTATCAATCGTCTCATCTTCAATGGATTTCAGTATGCTTGGCTCAGATGTGACCTCGAAGAACTTGATACGAATAGTTGTCGAGTGAGACAGAATGCATATCCTGCCAGAGGTGTGTCCAGGACCCGATGGCATCAGATCTTGTCCAACATTAAGTGATAGTAATGTGTTGATCAATGTCGACTGTTGATGATGATGATGTCATTGTGAGTGATCCACATGTCTACTTCCCAGCCTGCATGCCTGCTTACCTTTCCCGAGTGAGATGCACCTGATAAGACCAACTTGAATGAGACTCTACATTGTGGTACGACTTCACTCGTCAATGATTGACTTTGGTGTTGTGCATCATCAATACTATCATAATGATCGGTACACTCTTTCTTGAATTGATAATCTTGAGTGACTCTATCATTCTCTTCATTGGGTCATCTATTGACTCTGCCCCCAATGGCAGCTTGTCAAAGTCGTTCGTCCAACACATGTTGTTGGCATTCATCTTGTTATCTGTTTATGAGTGTTGTTGGAGAGCCAGAACATATCAAATGAGATGTCATATGCAACTCAAAGGAGATAAAAATTTGATTGGCTTTGAGGACAACAATAAATCTAGATTTTTTATTTCTGAAGTTCTAAGTCGTGAAGAAGGTTCGGTGTCAACGAAAAGGTAATATACAAGAACACGATGTTTATGTAGTAATAGTACCCAACCCAATAATAATACGTTCGATCACCTTTGGAAGGACAAGGTGGTCATTTTACAACTTTATTTTTGGATATGTTTCCAAACTATATTTGATATTATATAATATAAGAAAATCTATCATCGATACATTTGAAAATAGTTAGTTTTAATATATATATATATAATTTAGTTTGGAATTAATTATTTACGATGAATCAAAATAATAATCAAGTTGAAGATCAAACATCTTTAAAAGTCGCCCAATTCAACTCAGCTGACACAACACCACAAGCTGTTGGCGAGCCACAAGCAAAGGCAGTGCTGAATGGAGGTGAGATAAGACCGGTCCTAGCATCTGTAAATTGACACTTAAACTAACTTTGCATCTATTAACGAACAGATGTACTTGGTATCAATTTCTCGGCTGCCCTTTCTCAAGGAAATGATGGAGAACAGTCAGTGAAGTTCAATAAGCCATGAGGGCCAAAGGCGAACAGGAAGAAGATTTATGATCAGTATAGCTAATGATGTATGAAGGGGATGAATAAACGTTGGTTGACGCATTCGATTAATGACAGTAGGGGAGTTTATTTTTGAAGCTCAACGTAGTTTGATGGGAACTGATGGCAGCGAAGATGCAGTTAGTACTTGTGAACACCAGTTAAGTCTCAATCAATCAATCAATCAAATAACATACCATTCCAGAGTTTCCATTGGTCTCTCCCTGCCACCAATCATTGTCAACCTTCTTGATCAGTGTGATGATGTCATTCTCCTTGAATGTGAGCTCGTCTGATTGTTGAGCATCATAATCGTACAAAGCAATATATTTAGGTGCTACTGGTGCTGCAGCTGTTTATAATCAACATATTAGTACTCATGACCTGCTCAATCAATCAATCAATCAATGTTAACTTACGTTTGGGAGCAGCTGGCTTGGGAGCGCCTGGTGTTGGAAGTGGCATGCCGCGTCCGGCAGGCTTGGATGGGGCACCACCTGGAGCTGGAAGTGGCATACCGCGACCACCGGCAGGCTTGGCCATGCCTGGTGCTGGAGATGGTGCGGCAGCCTGTTTGGGTGCGCCAGGTGATGGGAGAGGTGTACCTCTTCCGCCAGCAGGCGATGGCATAGGTGTACCTCTACCTCCTGCGGGCTTGACTGCGCCTGGAGCTGGGGCTGATGGTGCGGCCTGCTTTGGAGCACCTGGCGATGGCAAAGGCATACCACGTCCTCCAGCTGGAGCTGCTGGCTTGGGTCCACCGGCCATTGGAGATGGCTTGGACATTCCTCCAGCAGGTGGTTTGTTACCGGCTGGGCTGGGCATTGGTGCCATCTTCTTGGCACCGCCTGGCGCGGGCATGGGCATACCCATTCCACGTCCAGCGCCACCGGCAGCTGGCTTGGGACCTCCAGCTGTTGGAGTAGCTACGCGCTTTGGTGCTGCGCTCGATCCAGATGACGACGACACGAATGTCTTGCTTGGGTTCTTGCGTGGCTTGTTGATGGTTGACGAGGCGGGCATGCCAGAAGCGATGTGCACAGTGTTCTTCTTGTAGAATGCCTCCTTGTGCATCTCGTCCTTGACAAACTTGCAAGTGTTGTTGCTGTTCTTCTTCTTGTGATACTCTACGTCCTGCTGGAAGACGACGGGTAGCTGTGTGCCCTTCTGCTTGTTGATCTGTGCCATCAGCTCGGTCTTGAAGTCGCAGACCAGCGCAATGTCGCCCTCGTTGGGCGCGCGCACAAAGATGTAGTTGTCGCCAAGTGTCGACATTGCGAATGAAGCCACCTCCTGCAAGGGCAGACGGCGGTCGAGCAGATACTGTGCAAGGTTCTTCTTCTGCTTGAGCTTTATCAGGTAGATGGCCTGACGTGTGACGATGAGGAAGCGCGGGCTCATCTTGTTGGCCGAGAGCAGTGGATGCATGATGATCTGGCACTTGGCCGACAGGATCACCTCTTCATTGCGACCCTCTGCCATGGCGTCCAGCAGGTAGTTCTGCGAGCGCACGTCCAGGTAGTCTCCATAGTACTTGCGCACACTGATCATCGAGAAACGCTGACGCTCCTTACGGCCAGTGATGAGCTGCTCGGTCTGCTGGCGCAAGTCAAAGAAGGGTGAGGCCTGCTTGAGAGCGCGGTAGTAGCCCTGGATGGTCTGGGCGCAGCGGTGGCGGTACATCTTGTAGTTCTTGAAGGCGTTCTTGATGCGGTTGGAGCACTCAAACTGGAAGGCCTTGTAGTTGCGGTAGGCGTTCTTGATACGCGACGCCATGTCGTGCCAGTAGCGCTCGCGTGTCTCCTCGAGGGCAAACAACATCTCGGGGTGGCGAATGAACACCTTGCTCTTTCCAATCTGGAACTGGCTGTTGTCGACGTTTTGTGATTGGAGGATGGCGCGGCAGCCGCCGAGCGCGTCGCCCTTCCAGATGTTGTTGGCGGCGTAACAGGTCTTGTCCGAGAGCAGGTAGTAGCGCTCGAGGAACTTCTGGAAGAAGGTACGGTAGGCAAAACCGGCACGACGCACCTTGATGTTGTCGAGAAGACCCAGGTACTTGATCTGATGGAGCACACGTGGACCGTCAAAGACGTCGGCGCGCTTCACATCGTTGGACTTGAGACAACGGATGTAATGTGGCGTGGCCTTCATGAGTGTGGCGACGAGATCGTTGGCCTGCGACTTGATCTTGAAGCCGGCTGTGGTGGGCAGCTTCTTTGAGTCGGGGTCGATGACGTCGGGGAAGAGCGCGACGAGGAAGTTGTTGGTGGAGATCTGCAGCAGCTCCAGATGGTCCTTGAGCAGCGTGTCCTTGTTCTTCTCGATCATGCCGGCGCCCTCGTAAGTGACGTCTCCGGCGTAATGCTTCACGCAAAAGGCATTGCCACGCGTGTCAAAGTGAGCGTTGGACTTGCACACGGCAATACGTTGCAGCAACGACTTGTCAGCGCCGTCGGTCTGCGAGTGGACCGCGCGGCACACGTCGTCTAGGATCAAGAAGATGCCGGGCGGGTTCTTGCCCTCGATCAGCTCGCACACAATCTTGTTGTCAAAGAACTGGATGGGCTCCCACTTGATGCCCTCGCGCACGTACTCCTCCTGCTCCATCTTGAGCGTGAACTCGATGAAGATCTGCTGCAGCTTCTCGTTGACGTAGTTGATGCAGAACTGCTCGAATCCATTGCGATCAAACACTTCGAATCCATAGATGTCCAGCACACCAATCATGAGGCCGGTGGTCGGGTTCTCCATGGCCTTGTTGATGCGGTCCACCAGCCAGTTGAACAGACGGTCGTAGATGGCCTTGGCCAGCGCGTCACGGCCCGAGATGGCCTGCGCCTTGTTCAGTGGCACATTGTATTGGGTGCCGCGCTGGTTGCCGCGCTTGGTCTCAAGCTGGCGGAACTCGAGCGCCGTCTTGAGCAGGTTGGCGGGAACGCTCAGCAGCTGCGCGCAAAAGTCCAGCACAGACTGGTCAGACACGACACACTTGTCTCCCGCCTGCTCGGTAAAGTCCACGTTGCCAAGCCACAGGATACCAGAGATCAGCTTGAATATGTTGTACTGCTCCTGTGCGTTGATGCCAATGACGTTCATGGCGTGGCGTGTGGCCTCAAACTCCTCGACGTCGTCCACGCCGTCAATGTCAAGCGTGTTGCCCTTGGTGAGGTAGGCAAAGTTCTCTGGGCCGTAGATGCCAAACTCCTCCTGCTCCTTGGCGGTGGCGCCGCGGCAGAACTGGTAGAAGATGTGGAAGTTACGCTCGCCGTTCAGCTGGAAGACGACACGCGACTTCTCCAGCAAGTAGTTGGTGATCTTGCCGCCCTCTGGCTCGTTCTTGGCGTTGAACTGGATCTCAAAGTACTTGCCGAAACGCGACGAGTTGTTGTTGCGCAGTGTCTTGGCGTTACCAAACGCCTCGAGCAGTGGGTTGGTCTCGAGGATGATCGACTTGACGTGCTCGACCTTCTTGTTGCCCGTACTGCCCGCCTCGCCACTGACGGCGGCGATGTACTGCATGATCTTCTTGGCGGCCTCGGTCTTGCCGGCGCCCGACTCACCCGAGATGATGACACACTGGTTCTCCTTCTCGTTGATCATCGAGCGGTAGGTCTGCTCGGCCACACCATAGACGTGTGGTGGCAGCTCGATACGCGACTTGCCCTCGTACTCGTGCAGGATCTCGTCGGTGTAGATGGGTATTGGCTTGAATGGATTGACCGAGATCAACACATCACCGATACTCGTGTAGATGATGTCCTTCTCGAAACGCTTCTTCAAATTCTCGAGGATCTGGTCATTGGTCACCTTTGACAACAATGTCATGTCGTCCAGACCCTCATTCTTCATGGCGTTATTCCAATCTGGTTTCTTGTTGGCCATGATTGTTGTTGATGTTGTTGTTTGATTGATCTATTGTATATCTGCACCATAGTTGATTGATTATATGTATGTGTATGATTGATGTTCATGAACATGTTAGTAAAGTGTTCTAGAACATCAACTTGTGAAGAATGAGCAGGGGAGTGTGGGGGAGTCGAAGAAGTTCAAACACTTGAGGTCTTGAAGAACTCCCACTTGTCTCGTGGACTTGTCCACTCCTCGAATCATGATCGGACTTAAAGATGTACACATACCTGATGATGATGGACTTGTCAATCTAGTACAAATAATAATAATGTTACAAATATAAATATGATATGTTACAAATACAAATAAATGTTATTAGTAACAATGAAAAATAAATAAATAATGTATAATAAGAAGTATATATGTATAAATAATATATATCTATGTTCTTTGTTTGTTGTTTAGTACATTCATATGCAAGGATGCCCAAAGACATTCGAGTGTCGTGTTGGGGTGATCAATGACCACCCACAACCCAATGTTTTGTCCAGATGTTGTGATTGGGATAGATCAAACTTTTGCAAGTTTAATCAAAATCACCCACTTTTTTGTGTCTTGATCAATGGGATGGGTTCATGAATCTAATTCTGGGTGGACCCGCTTTCAATGAATCATGGGCTGGGCTTATACCATCAATTTATGGGACTCAGTGTATTCGTGAATAGTTCATTTATCATTGCTATTTCCACCTTTTACCAATCATCTAGTAGTAGTAGTTATTGTCTTCAATCTTTGAATAGATAAATGAAGAGATAAAAGTGTGGAGTTAGAATGAGATGTCAAATTCTTGTTCAAAGTGTTGATTTTACAACTAGACGACCTTCGGTGAACTTCACCAAAGTGGATCAAAGAACAAAAGTGGTTCAAAAGTTTGCTAACTTTCATTCATTGATTCATTCATTCATTTATTTATTCATTCATATACATGTATATATTAAACAGATAGAAATATGTCCAACAGGTCGAGAGTTTATAGCAACCCTCACGGTGAACCAGAGGGTGACTCATTTAAGATCACTGATGAGGAGGAGTTGCAGGATCTAAAGATCATGGCCAAGAAAGCATTTTCTGTACTCAAGCCGTATAATCTTGATGAGTTTGGCTTTAAAGACATTAACGGCGATGTACATACCAACAGCAAAACACTCTTGACAAGTCTTCCAACAACAAAAGACGACATACTCACGCTCTACTTGCACATTCCCAGTAAGTACAAACACTTTACTATGTTCATGTAACATACATGTTACATTTAATACTTACATACACTCAATCAAAACTCTGCTACAGGAGTTGATGACCAAGCTACTCGTAAGTTCAAAAGATGAGCGCGCATGATGAGTGAATGTAGTCAAGTTACTTACAATTGGCTCATCCTTTGTCACAATAGCAAAGAGGTACTTTGAAGAAGAGTTAGTCGCTGAGTATGATGATCGACTAAAGAAAGTCAAGTTTGATCATTCTATTGTCACCTTGCCCGCATCGCCATCCTCCCTCCACACTGATCGCACTCGGTTTGATTTCCAGGACAAACTGGTCAAGGTGGTCAAAAGGGCGATAACAGATAGACTCATGACCTTCATCACCAATAATCATGGCATTAACCGTGGAGTCTATGTGCAGGGTCCTCAAGGTGTGGGCAAGTCACACTCAATCTTCCAGATCGCCTCGGCTCTCAAGCAGGACACTACTAACAGAGTGTTGTACATCAGTGACTGTGGAGGCTGGGTTGGAGCCTCAAATCCCTTTCAATTCTTTATGGAGTGTCTGGACAATGCATTTATGTACGCTGGTGACAAATTTGTTCAAGACCACCCCAGTCGCCACAAATATGACGATGACAGCTTCCTTCGCCTCATGGATGATGTGGCCCGCCACTGCTCAAAGAATGATCTGCAAGCATATTTCTTCTTTGACCAACACAATGGCTTGTCAGACCAAGACCGCATGAAAAAACCCTTCTCTATTGCCGAGGTATATTTGGTCCGCAGTATTTTGTGGATCAAACAGTTGGTCATCGTCTCGGGCTCGGCCAACAACAGATACTACCTAAAGGTTGCAAAGGATGCAAATTGGCCAGTATTTCAGTACAACGAGGGCTACACCGACGATGAGTTCAAACAGTGGCAGAGCATCGAGACCACCAAGAAGTTCGCCACTCTGAGCCCTGACGACATTGAGTTGATCAAGGTCCTTACCAACTTCATCCCGTATGTTACCTTAACACCATCTCAGGCTGTTTGTTACTTTACTAACAATGTGTGCATGAACGGCAGAATGGAGCTCACCCATATTTCCAAGGTTTGGAGAGACAACAACTCACTCACTCTGGCTGATGTGGTCAAGTCGTACAAAGATATACGCTCTCCACAAATTAATGAACAGGACCAACACTTCTACGATGAATTCATCACTAACGCACCCATAGCGGCGGATTACAACCGCGCAATATCCTTGGTCTTTCTTGGTATTCCCTCCACAGGTCTTTCAACAAAGCTCAACCAACAGCTCATGTATAGAGACTCTGACGCGCGCATTGTCCCCATCTTTCCACTAATTCAACAAATACTTTCGAATCGCTATCTCAATACTCAGACTTACATTGAACATTCATTGGAAATATACCGCTCAATCTTTACAAGATCAATCAACATGACGAGCGATGTATTGGGGCGATGTGTCGAGAAGTACCTGGTCGAAACGCTTCAGAGGGAGAATAATACAACACTGACCTGGAACATCTCTCAGATTAATTGCACAAGTAGAGATGATCCAACGAACAGAGGCAAGCTCATTATCAGCGCCAGTCGTACCGATATTATATTCAAGGCACAACCAGTCAAGACTCAATTCATTTATGATACTCGCTTCAATGGCGTCGACTGGACAATCGATTCCTTGCTGGTGCCAACATCTCCAAGCTTCCCAATTGTAGATTGGTTCTTCTGGAACTCAAAGAACAAGCTGCTCACTGCATGCCAAGTCACCGTCGGAAAGTCTCACTCGAACAAGTGGCAGGGATCCACACTTCAGACGAAGGCCAAGGCAGCGTCGAAATACCTTCAAGATCAGTTCATGTGGTTCGCCACCAAAGATTTAGATTATAAAGACATGAGCTTCAACAACCAGCTGATTGTCTTCCTCGACAACACCAGTGTCCATAATTCTTTTCCGCTTCTGGCTCAACTGAAAGTTGACTAGACTTGTACCATATTCAATCAATCTCAAATAAACCAGATGATCATCGTTTTAGAGAGATATGATATTGTATGATACATTTTCGATCCTGAGACTTAAGCCACTGTATAAGGATTCCAACAGATACGACGATCACAGTTGAGGCCGTCAAGTGCTAACATGTCTTGGTCCGAGATGACAAAGTCAAAGATGTTGGCATTCTCCTTTATCCTCTCTTCCTTGATTGACTTTGGAATGACAATAACATTCTTTTGAATGGCCCATCGCAACAATACCTGTGCTGGTGTCTTGTTCAATGTCGTAGCAATGCCTGTCAACACCTTGTCCTGGAACTGTGTAGTGCAATGGGTAAGTGTTAGGGTTAAGGACGTGGGCGAGGGCAAGGGTTGGGTGATCCAGAAGACACATACCGAATCCTTATCAGCACGAACTAATGATGAGTATGCTTCCAAGGCAATACCATTGCCTTGACAAAAGGCCAACAAGTCTTTGTTGTAGAGGAATGGATGGAACTCAACTTGGTTGACATGTGGCTTGACCTTGCAATGTTTGAACAACTCCTCGAGATGTGCCACGGTGTAGTTGCTCACACCAATCGATCGGCACTTCTTCTGCTCGTAGAGTGTCTCGAATGCACGCCATGTCTCTGCGCGGATTGTAGAGTTGATCGGTGCAGATGGCTGATTGCCCGCCACACCAGGCCAGTGAATCAAGTAGAGGTCCAGATAGTCCAGTCCCAAACGTTTGAGTGAGCCCTCACATCCTGCCATAGCCTTCTCATAGCCATGCTCTGAAGTCGATGCCTTTGTCGTGATGAACAGATCCTCACGCTTTACACGGCCAGAACTAAACAACTCCTTGAGTACATTACCAATGGCCTCTTCATTTCTATAACTTGATGCTGTATCAATTGCAATATAACCTGTATCCAATGCACTTAACAATGTCTTCTTGATGTCTGCGACCATCACCTGGTATGTGCCCACTGTACAGTATATGCTTGTTTGTTAGCACTCACTCCTCATTCAATCAATGTGATGTTGTGACATACATCCAAAGAGGGGCATGGCTACACCATTGCTAAGTGCTATAGTTGATCTTATTGTTAGATGTGACATGTGTATATATATGTGTATGTATTTATCTGTTTGTTATTTGTATGATTGATGAATGAATGAACGAAAGAGTGATGTTCAAGTTGATAAAGTGAACCAAAGTCCCATTTTTCATTCATTTCTTCAAAATCCTTCACAGAGATAGATACAGATAATTGATACAGATAATACTACTACACTGGGATATTTATGTACATTGATGTTGACTATGTTGATGGGAATAGGTAGTTGTTGAGCTCAACCAACTTTGATACAACATGCTTGATGGTCGCATCATCCATGAAGCATAGCTCTACCAACTCTATGAATGTATCGCGATACTTTGCTGGTATACTATTGCTGCTTTCAATCATTCGTTTGGGATCAGACAATATCTCTTCGATTGTGTATCTACGTAGCATTGGTTTGGGCAACAACTCGACGATCGCCACGCCCAGTAAGGACAGGTCGGATATCTGCGACAGTAAGCTTGGATCTTCACAGGTGACCTGTCCCTCCTTCACATCGCCAAACATCGATAGGTATACATCCTTGGTGTCCATGTCGGTGTACATGAACTCCAGTTTGACGTTCTCATGCACGATCCCACGGAACAGGTACACGCCAGTATGCAGGTGTTGAACAGCCATGGCCACTCGCGTGATCATTGACAGCGACTGGGCTAGCGTCATCTTTGATATGTTCTCCTTGAGGTATGGTATAAGCGGGCGACACTGTTTGTACAACAATAGCCATTCCACTTGATCATTGTTGTTGGCGCCGTCATTGTTGGGCGCCGATGAGATTGGTCGTTTGAAGATAGCGTGCATTGGCAACATTGTTGTGTCATTCGTAGTGCTCTTGCCCAGCCTCGCGTACATGGCCACCTTGTTGGAGTTGTGTTGGATGACATACTTGGGCGGCGCGACCTGGACCATGTAAGTCTGATTCCTGAACGTCCCACTGTACACTGTACCACAATCACTCTGCGCCACGACGTTGGCTGGCACCGCGCTCACCTTTAGGCTGTCCATCTCAAAGGGGAAGTGCAGACGACAGTTCAGCTCCAAAGTTTCGATGTAGAGTGCTTGGTACTTGGCTTTGGAGAGATCGACATTCTGTGGCGACATGCTGGCCAACTTGACGTGGCGCACCAGGCGGCCCAGTCGACTCGATAGCAAGGCCCTGAACACGGCCACCTGTTTTCTGATCTCATAGCCAACGTCCTCTTGTAGCGAGACGTAATCGACTGTGTCTGGATAGATCGCTACCAGTGACTTGAAGTCCTTGTTCCTTTGTGCCTTGGCCGTGAAGTGTCGCAGGAACCCTTCAAACATCTTTGATCTAATATCGCCGGCGATGGTCGAGGACAGGAGCCTGGCGAATGGCGACGAGAAGTTGGTCTCAAAGTCGTCAAACGTAAGCTTGAACTGCATCACGATGATGTCCTCGTCGTCACCATGCTCGTGCGTCAGGAACTTGTTCAATCCAATCTCTTTGACAAATCTAGCCTCGAACTCATTGATCACATTCTTAATGCGGCCATCAAAGAAGAGTCGCGTGGCCAGGCCCAGCTGAAAGGCCTTGTCCCTCTGTGCTGCTTTGTAGATGTTGGCTTGATATTGATCAATCTCCAGCCCCGCCTCGTCAGAGAAGAGGGCAGTCCTGATGTCCTGGACCAGCTTCTCAAAGATCTTGATGGCGACGGCCACGATGTGCATGACGTAGTACTCGAGCAGGGTGTCGGCCTCCTTATGAAGGTTGGCCATGTCGTCGAGCTTGTCGCCAACGTAGCTCTGAATGGACCTGACCTTGATCGACATTGAGTGCGACTCGAGCTCGACCATCCTCAGCACGAGATCGCAATGGCGCTGTGTCAGGCGGGCCATCCACTTGATCAATCGATTGACAAACTGTTTGAATATGTGTCTGTTCTCCATCGACTTTGGCTTGCTTACAAAGTCCAGCGCATTGACAATGGCGAATCGTCTGTCAACAATATCCATTGATGCGCTCAGACTGGATGACTTGAGCTTCGAGAAGCAATCTGTTGAGTGGCTGTCGATCAACTCGAGTGGCACCTCCTCGTCTAGTTCGATAAAATTGTTGACGGCCACCTCCTTCTTGGACGTCTTGGTGTTGGCAAAGAAGATGAACTCATCATCAATGTTGGAGCCAGGCTTGCACGACTTGTTGTTGCTCCAGTCGTTGTTGGGCAGCGAGTTCAACAAGTCGGACACTGCCTGGACTTCAGCATCAGAGATGGTGTTGGGATAACAAAACATGACGCCAGTGGGATAGTAGGCACTGAAGAACTGCTTGCGGATACTGAACAATGATGCGTCGTCCGAGACGCTGAAGCCTGGCACATCGATGATCTCGAGACCAGTCTCGAGCAATGCTGATGGGAACTCGACCATCACAATCTTGCTGGCCCACTCTGGGAATGCCAATGGGTCTATATCATTGTCGTTGTCTGCATTGGAATCATCAGCGTCGCCTTTCTTCTTGGGTCGTACGAGGTGTTTGGTCATGCATTCTTGTAGCTGTCTCCTCGTATCCAATGTTATCGTCTCACTGTCTATACACTTTAGCTTGCTAGGCTCCACCCCTTGTTGAGGTATGACCTTGAAGAACCTAACGCGTATCGTTGTCGAGTGAGCCAATACACATATCCTGCCAGAGGTATGTCCGCCACCTGATGGCATTAGCTGACACCCAAGTAATGTGTTGATCAATGTTGACTGTTTGTTTGATTGATTGAGTGATCATGTTAGAGAGTGCTCTTTGATTGAATGATGCCATCGACATCATCTCAACATACCTTTCCAGAATGTGTTGGGCCTGCTAATACCAACTTGACGTTGTTGAATGGTTTGATTGAGTGATTGATGTCTTTGGTGATGACGTTACCAACGAGTGAATGACATGTTGACAATTGGTTGATCTTATCATTGCACTCTGTCTTGAGCTCTTTAAATTTCTTTAGTGATTCGATCAACCTCTTCAAAGGATCATCGATGGCCTCGACCTCTGTTGGTAGATTGTTAATGTGACAATCATAGTCGAACAACCAAGTTGAGTTCATCTTATTGTTTTATTGGTACAAAAAGTAATAATAAAGATTCATTTTTTATTATTGAATTGTTTGTTTTGGGCTTGAGTTTCAAAGTTCAAAGATGGAACACATGTTATCAAATAAATTAAATTAATAATAATAAATTAATTTGAGTACTGGATGTTTATGAATATTACTTTAGCTGATCTAACCTTAATAAAATGTCACTGAACATCGTTGGGTAGTAGAATATTAAACACAATAACTCATAAATAGGACGACAATACCCTAATGGTATCCTGTCATTGTCCCAGTCCAAATAATTTAGAAATTGTTTCACTTCATCGATCCTATATCTTTGCAGTTTTGGCAACAGCTCCATGATGACAATGCCAATTGACTCCATGGTAGTGTACCAATATGAATAATCTAAGTCATTGGATTGAGTGGACAGACTCGCTTCATCTTTCCTCCAAAGAGAAGAATACCTCTTTGGTTTCGATATCTATAAATATGCACTCCAGGTTCACCTTAATCTTTTTGATTGAGTTATCATCAACATTCCGATCTTTCAAAGCATTTACAATACTATTGATAATGACCAATGATTGTTTGATTGTCATTGAAGAGATGTGCTCTTCGAGGTATGCCAACAATGGATCGCACTTCTTATACACAAACAACCACTCCGTACAATCTGAACGATGATCTTGGAAGATGCCATGAAGTGGTAACATAGGTGAAGCCTGTACTTCATTGGAAACAATGCCAAACACTGAGCTGTTGTTGGTGGTAGACTGGACCCAGTATGGTTGATTCCTGAGTGTTGCAATGTAAACTGGTCCATTTCCCCAGTCTACACGGAGGTTGTCGAATGGGAAGTGCAACTTGGTGTCGAGTACCAGTACATTACAATAGAGTGTTTGGTATTGTACATTCGAAAGATGGATACTCTCTTGTGTCATGCTGGCTGCTTTGATACTCCTGCCTACAAGAGCCATTTGTGTCTGAAGGTAGTTCGCCAATATAACGAATTGTCGAGCTTGGACCCAATAAATCGCATATAGCAAATTTAAATGATCAATTAGATCTGGATACTTCTTGACTTGGGACTTGAGACTATTCATTAGGTTGGGTACCTTGACGTGATTGATGAATGTCTCATACAGCGTAGATCTGATCTTGTCCACTATTGCCCTTGAAAGGAGGTCACCAAATGCTGTAGAAAATGTGTCCTTGAAGCAGCCCATCGAGTCACTAATCATCATAATTGAGAATAGTTCTTCTTTAAAGCTCACATTGGTGAATGAGTTAATCTCTACAGTCAAAGTCCTCCCTAGCTGATCGATAACCTTCTCGATGATGCTATCGAAAAGGTGTTTCATTTCTTGTTGGAATCTGGTTGAATTGTCTTTAACATCCAAATTCTTAATGGATAGCTGAGTCGATTTGATACAATTCTTGGTGGACTTCAGACCCAACACCTCCATGAAACGAACAGGGATCGTGTCAACTATCCTATTAACTGAGACTGAAACGTCGTTTGCATATTGGTTCAGCACATCAAATGTGTCCCTCTTTAGAGTGTCAATGTCACAGTCATGGCCAAGTTTGAATTTCAATGAATCTCCAACTTTCCACATTGATTTGCATTCGAGTTCGATCATCCTTAGTAATGTGTGACCTTGTTGTTGGAATATCTTTGCAATCCACTTGATCAGTTGGTCGATGAATTGATTGAACATATATCTCGTTCCAACAGACTTGGGTTGTTTGATGAAATCCAGTGCATTGACAATTGAGAATCGTCTCTTGGATGCATTGGGAATCGATTTCTCAACTTTTGAGAAGCAGATGTCTGTGTAGGAGTTGATCAACTCGAGTGGGATCTCATCACCTTGATCAATGTTGTTGTTGAGTGCCACCTCACTCTTGGACCTCTTGGTGTTGACAAAGAGCATTGAATCATTGTGATCGCTCGGTAATGAGTGAATGAGATCAGGCATGGCCAACACTTCACCATCAGAGAACGCCGTGTTGGAGTAACAAAACATGATGCCTGTGGGTTGGTAGACATTGAAGAACTGCTTGCGGATGCTGAACAATGATGCATGATCAGAGATGCTGAAGCCTGGAACATCGATGATCTCCAATCCAGTCCGGAGCAATGGTGATGGGAACTCGACTCTCACAATCTTGCTGGCCCATTCTTTGAATGTCAATGGGTCTGCTTCATTGTCGATACCTGCTGGTCTTGATAGATGTTGTTTCAATGTGGTCTGTAGTTGTCTTTGATTCTCGATTGTGATGGTCTCATCATCGATACACTCTAACCTGCTGGGATGATCCTGATCTTGGTGTGGTATCACTTTGAAGAACTTGATTCTGATCGTTGTCGAGTGAGCCAGAATGCATATCCTTCCTGATGTGTGACCGCCACTTGATGGCATCAGTTGACATGACAGTAATGTGTTGATCAATGTTGACTGTTTGATTGTTTGAGTGAGTAAGATTGATTGAGTGTCCCACTCATGATGACATACCTTTCCAGAGTGAGTTGGACCAGCCAATACAATCTTGATGTTTGAGTTATCTTTGATGTACCAATCGAATGATTTCGATGTGCCAACTACATCACCAAATGCTTTGTGACAATCTGATAGCTTGTTGGTCATGTCATAACACTCTGTCCTGAGAGCATTGAATGTGTTGAGTGATTCAATCAATCTCTTTGAAGGATCATCGATTGCCTCCAACTCTGTTGATAGTCTCTCAATGTGGCATTCATTGTTGAACAACCAATGAGGATTGTTTGATCCCATAATAATAATATTGTTGTTGTATTTGTAGTTGTACTTGTTATTGTTGTGAGGTCGAATGAATAGTCTGTTTGATCATTGACAGAGAGGTGACCATCACGGAGTTGCCTTTGATTTTTCAAGTCTTCTTTTGATCATTTCTACAGATACATCAATGATATTTATTATTTTGTAGGTCTTCTTCTTCTTGGAAGATTTACTCAACAATACAGGTGTTTTGAATGACTTGTTTGTTCGTTGCAATCATTCCAATAGAGCATTGTTATACTTGTATGCAACAACACTCTTACTGTCGAATTGGAAGTGCCAACAGCCTGGTGCCTGAACAATCGACATACATCTTAACTTATCAGCACACAAGCATAGATGTGACTTCCAACTCTGATATGATATCCTTGATGTTCGACTTGTTGTTGAAGCACATGTTGATCAAGTCGACTCAACATATCCAAACTTTGCTAAGTATATATCCTTTGTGCTAGGATTAATGTAAATGGACTCTAACCTAAACCTATAATGAGTTGGATCACTCTCGTCTTGTAAATACTCCAATGCTTTGGCCAATTGATTGATCATTGTCATTGATTGAGTGATACTCATCGTTGAGATATTCTTCTCGAGGTATGGCAACAAAGGGCTCTGTTTCTTGTACACCAAGAGCCACTCCTCAATGTCACCTACACCATTTTGTTGTTGTTGCTGTTGTTGATGACAATGTTGTTTGAACATTGAGTGAAGTGGTATAATTGGTATACCCTTGGCGACGTTGTATCCTGACATAACCTGTTTTGTCAATTCGAATTGGTAACTTAGAGGTAGCTCTGCAAAGTTGACCACCTGTACCATGAATGACTTGTTCCTGAACGACCCCTTGTACACTGGCCCGATGGTTCCGCGGGCAACCACCTTGGATCGATCGACTTTGAGATCGAACGGGAGCAGTAAATGACTCCTGAGTGCATACATATCATTGAATAGTGATATGTATTTGGGCAATGATGTATCGATGTTGTTGTTTAGCGTGGTGGATGCCCGGACAATGTGTCCCAAAATATCGTGATGTCGCTTGATATGTACTTTGAATCTTGATATGTTGCCCTGTACCACCTGTACAGCATTCCTCTTCATTGTTCGAATGCTAATCGTTTCGGGATACTTCCTGATCTGTGTGTTGAACTCGCTCCATACCATCTTGGGCTCCTTGAAGTGTCGCATGATGCCTTCATACGGACTGATTGCGCTCTTGATTGATCCAAAGAGATGATGGACAACATCTTTCTTGTGTACACTATCGCTGGTGTTGGCCTCCATGGCGTTGTTGAGCAGCTCCTGAACAATGTCCGAATTTTTGTAAAGCAAGATGTCTGTGAGTGAGTGAATCTCATTGTTGATGAGCCTATCGATTGGATTGAGTGCCAACTTGATGATGTCCTCAATGATGTACTTCATGGGCTTTGGATCATTCACATTATTTGAAGTGTTGGTGATGTTGTCATGAGCGCTTTGGATGATCAACTGGTTGGACTCCTGGGCGAATGCTGACTTGATGACTGATGGGATAGTATCGATGATCTTGGACACGGCATCACCTAGGTTCTTTGAATAAGTGTCAACCAACACATTGGCTTCCTGGAGCATCCTTCCAAAGTCTTTATCATTGCCAATGTACTTTGAGAAAGATATAACCTTGATTGTCATAAAGTGACACTCTTGAAAGATTATTTTTGAAATGATAATCGACTGACATTGGAACAACCTGATCATCCATCTTATGAGTCGATTGATGAATTGCTTGAATATATATCTGTTCTCAACTGATCGAGGTTGTTTGATAAAGTCCAATGCATTGACAATTCCAAATCGTCTCTGATCAACACACATGGGCGTGCTGATGCTTGATGACTTCACCTTGGAGAAGCAGTTGACAGAGTGGCTGTCGATCAACTCGAGTGGCACGTCCTCACCCTGGCCGATGTTATTGTTGGTTGCCACCTCACTCTTGGATGTCTTGGTGTTGGCAAAGAAGAAGTATTCACTGGTCTTGCTCCAGTTTCCAGGGAGTGATTCATTCAGGTCCTTGACAGCCAACACCTCGGCGTCAGAAAATGTGTTTGGGTAACAGAAGAGGATGCCAGTGGGCTTATATACATTGAAGAACTGCTTGCGGATGCTGAACAATGATGCTTGATCAGACTTGCTGAAGCCTGGAACATCGATGATCTCAATGCCTGTCTCGAGTAGTGGAGATGGGAACTCGACTCTCACAATCTTGCTGGCCCACTCTTCGAATGCATCTGAATCATCATCGATGCCAACAGGTCGAATGAGATGAGTATGCAGCTGCTTTCTCGTCTCCAAGTTGAATGTGTTACACTCAAACTTGATCGTCTCATCCTCTTGACACTGTAGTGTGTTGGGCATCTTCTGATTGTATGACCTTGAAGAACTTGATGTTGATCGTTGTCGAGTGAGCCAGAACGCATATTCTTCCAGATGTATGTCCTGCACCTGATGGCATCAAATTGGGAGTCGACAGTAATGTGTTGATCAATGTTGACTGTTTGTTTGATTGATTGAGTGGGAATGCTCCTGTATGAGTGATTGATTGATTGATTGATTGAGTGTGCTCACCTCCAAACCTCATCGCATCACAGAGGACATACCTTGCCTGAATGAGTTGGTCCAGCCAAGACCAACTTGACATCCGTGTTGTCTTTGGTGAACTCTTTGAGGAGATGCGTTGAGTCAACAACATCACTCAACAGTGCATGACACCTTGATAGATCATTGATCTTGTCATTGCACTTCATCTTTAGCGCACTGAATATCTTGGCAGTCTCCACCATCTTCTTGAGTGGATCATCGATGTCCTCCACCTCTGATGGCAGATCATCAATATGATACTTTGATTCAACAAGCCAATTGGCACTCATCCTAGCAAATATTGAAATAGATAGTTATTTGTAGTTGTGTTGTTGCAAAGTAACAGTCATAGAAGTGTAGAATGATATGATTGAGCGACAGAGTTTGGTCATCTGATCAAACGAAACATGTTTAAAGTGGGGAATTACTTTATCTATTTCACACCCCGTGTCATTAATGTTATCTTCATTATTAACATCTCTCTTATAACTATATTACTCATTGCATATACACCTTTATCTCACAGTACATATTACTCTTACACCTTATTCCTATGGCTAAATTGATCATTACGGCCACCTATAATGGTGACACCAAGAAACGGTATGCCCCACTTTACGCACTCGTCCAGTTGACACCATCTCTAACATTGAATCATTAAGCACCTTCAAACAGGATGGAGATGAACTCAAACTACTACACATTAGATGATCTGTGGAGTATATTGACAGAGCTCTTTACCCTCGAACCCAGAACAAATATAGACTCACTTATTATGAGGACCCAAACAACAAGTCGTCTCAATGGATATCCATTACAGACAATGATGATCTACAAGAGGCCTATATTCCTGTATATGATGAGAAACCAACCTCCTGGACATTCAGACTGGCTGTACAGAAGAAGACAAGTACGTACAACATCATCTTTCATTACTAACATACACACAAGTCGCAGCGAATGTACAACAAGGTGTTCAATCAATCAGTCAATCAATCAATTAAACATACAGATACATTTATTGTCTAATGATAGCGGCGTTGAGCTCATCCAACTGTGCAATGACATGTTTGATCGTCGCATCTTTGTTGAAACAAATAAACAACAACTCCAACAGAGCATTGTTATACTTGTTTGGCAACAACATCTTGACAACTTTGGTGATCGTGATCTTTGTATACTTCATCAATCTTATACCTTTGTAGTATTGGTTTGGGCAACAGCTCCACGATCATCACACCGAGCAACGCCAGGTCTGTTGAACAGGTGACGTTGCCCGGACCTTTTGATACAACCTGCTGGGACACCGCACCAAACATCGACAGATACACGTCTCTGGTGTTGGCATCCATGTACAGGAACTCCAGAAAGAGGTATTCGTGGATGACCGAGCCAAACAGGTATACGCCATAGTGTAGGTAGTCCAATGCTTTAACGACTCGATTGATTATCTTGAATGATTGATTGATCGTCATCTTATGTATGTTGTCCCTAAGGTATGGCAGCAATGGGTCGCACTTCTTGAACACCATCAGCCACTCCTTCAATGGCTCACCACCGCCACTGCCACCGCCACCGCCACTGCCACCGCCTCCTATTTTAAACAAGCCATGCAGCGGCAACATGGGCCTCTCCTCGGACACTCCTTTGCCCATGAATACAGACCATTCCACTATGTTAAAGTTGAACTGTATCACCTTACTTGGCTTGCAAACCTGTACTATGTATGATCGATCTCTAAATGTACCGTTGTACACTTCTCCCATGTCACTGTAGCCTAGAACTGCTGACCTGTTTGGCACGTGTACTGTGTCTAATGGGAAGTGCAGCTTGGTGCTGAGTGCCTGCACCTCTACATACAACGCCTCGTACTGAACCTTTGAGTTCTTCATACTGTCTGGCGAGTTGTGGGCTGATCTGATTCGACGACAAAGACCTGCATAACGCCTCTGTAGATGGTCCCTGAGCTTGAGCATGTAACCCTTGACCTCAGTGTCAATCTTGGTCTTCAATGTGAGGACATCGATCCTATCTGGATACTTGAGCGATTGGGACTTGAGATCCCTCGTGAGTGAAGGTGGCTTGAAGTGGCGCAGTAGGTTGACGTACAGGTTGGCACTGATGATGCTCATCACAGTGCTGGTGAGGAGCAAAGTGAACGGCATCGATTCAGCGTTCTCAATGTCCTCGATGCATTCCTTGAGCAACCTAAGCACGTAGTCCTCGGCCTTGCCCTTCTCAACCAACTGGTATGTCTTGTCAATCGCACCGGCCAACTCCAAAATGTCCTTGACCAAGACCTTCTCGATGAACTTGTCAAAGAAGTCCATAATGGCCAGCATGAACTTGCCTTTCCTCTCTCGCTTCGCTGTCTTCTTGACCATCACCTGGATCGCCTCCAACTCTTGCAGAGTCGGTGTCAGGGCCATGGTCTTCTTCAGCTCCTCTGGTACCTTGGCAATGATCGCGTACAAAACATCATCGAGGTACTTGTCAAAGTCTTCCATTGTGGTCTTGGCTGCTTGGAGAAGCTTGTCAAGGTCAAGCTCCATGCCCATATGGTGCTGCATTGAACCATCATCGATGACGAGTGGCAATCTTGCTCCACTAACTTCAACACCAGTTCACCATGCTTCTGGTACAGTCTGCCCAGCCACCTGATAAGACGATTGATGAACAGTTTGAATATTCAACATGTCTGTTCTCGACGGACCGCGACAATCTGATAAAGTCCATCGAGTTGACAATGGCGAATCGTCGGTCATCGATGCACAACGATTCGTTCGAGCTCAGACTGGACGACTTGAGCTTCGCAAAGCAGTCACTGGCGTGCACGTGGATCAACTCGAGCGGCACCTCATCATTGGGGTCGATGCCATTGTTGTTGGCAACCTCACCCTTGGACGTCTTGGTGTTGGCAAAGAAGATGAACTCCTTGGTGTAGGTGGGCTTGGACACGAGGTTGGCCGGCAGCGACTTGATCAGGTCCTTTACGGCGTCCGAGAAGGCGTTGGCGTAGCAGAAGACGACGCCAGTGGGCTGGAAGACCTCAAAGAAGTCCTTGCGAATGGCAAACAATGAATCGTTGTCTGAGATGCTGAAGCCTGGAAGATCAATGAGGGCCAGGCCAGGCTCGAGCAGTGGCGATGGGAACTCGACCCTCACAATCTTGCGGGCCCACTCCTCGAATGCCGCTGGGTCATCGTCGATGCCCTCTGGTCGCGACAAGTGTTCCTTCATCAAAGCCTGTAGCTGCTTCTTTGTCTCTACGTTGAATACTATCATGATCTGTTCCTTGAATTACTCCAATCGCTTCATTGTTTCTTCCAACTTTGTAATGATGGTTGTCTTCTTGTTGAAGTACTTCATGATTAAATCGACCCATGTCGTGATTGATGTTCTTTGGTATCTTCGGCGATTACCACTCCAGGATCATTCCAAGTCGTGTTGGATAGTTGGTACTTCATTCGCTGTGACCTGATCCTCTTTCACTCCATGTCCAAACCAAGACAGGTTTAACATTAACCCAATGATTACATGCGTATTAGTAATAAATCGCTAATTGTGATATTTATTTAATGAACGACTTCAACACCTATATATGTGTTGGATTCATTGAATGCATTGATTGAACTTGCGTTCATTCAATAAATGTATCTCAATCTGTATCAGTAGGATTTGTCGATGAATGAACAAGTGATCAACAAAACTTGAAAAATCAAAGTCATGCTGTGATGATCATCATTCAATTCGCAAATCATTCAGAACACTACCTCTATATCTACAACAACTACAACTACCACTATAACAACAACAACAACAATATTATTATGGGATCAAACAATCCTCATTGGTTGTTCAACAATGAATGCCACATTGATAGACTGTCAACAGAGTTGGAAGCAATCGATGATCCTTCAAAGAGATTGATTGAATCACTCAACACATTCAATGCTCTCAGGACAGAGTGTTATGACATGACCAACAAGCTGTCAGATTGTCACAAAGCATTTGGTGATGTGGTGGGCACATCGAAATCATTCGATTGGTACATCAATGACAACTCAAACATCAAGATTGTAATGGCTGGTCCAACTCACTCTGGAAAGGTATGTCATCATCATTGCAACACTCAATCAACCAAAATCAATCTTACCCAATCAATCAAACAATCAAACAGTCAACATTGATCAACACGTTACTGTCATGTCAACTGATGCCATCAGGTGGCGGTCACACATCAGGAAGGATATGCATTCTGGCTCACTCGACAACGATCAGAATCAAGTTCTTCAAAGTGATGCCACACCAAGATCAGGACAATCCCAGCAGGTTAGAGTGTATCGATGATGAGACAATCACAATTGAGTCTCAAAGACAACTACAGACCACCTTGAAACAACATCTATCAAGGCCAGCAGGAATCGACGACAATGAAGCAGACCCATTGGCATTCAAAGAGTGGGCCAGCAAGATTGTGAGAGTCGAGTTCCCATCAGCATTGCTCCAAACTGGATTGGAGATCATCGATGTTCCAGGCTTCAGCATCTCTGACCATGCATCATTGTTCAGCATCCGCAAACAGTTCTTCAATGTCTACCCACCAACTGGTGTCATATTTTGTTACGACAACACAGCATTCTCTGATGGTGAAGTGTTGGCCATGCCTGATCTCACTCACTCATTACCAAGCGATCACAATGATTCAATGTTCTTTGTCAACACCAAGAGATCCAAGAGTGAGGTGGCACTCAACAACAACATTGATCAAGGTGATGAGATCCCACTCGAGTTGATCAACTCCTACACAAACATCTGCTTCTCAAAGCTTGAGAAATCGATTCGCAATGCATCCAAGAGACGATTCTCAATTGTCAATGCACTGGATTTCATCAAACAACCCAAGTCTATTGAAACGAGATACATGTTCAATCAATTCATTGACCAACTGATCAAGTGGATTGCAAAGATGTTCCAACAACAAGGTGACACATTACTAAGGATGATCGAACGCGAGTGTAAATCAATGTGGATACAGTGTGAATCAGTATGGCGGAAGTACTCTACAGGAAAAGATAAGCCTAATGTCATTGGCATTTACAATCTAAATCTTGATTCAAAGCACGTTCTGAATCTATACATATCAAAACTTTCCATTGCAATGGACGAGATAATTGGCAAGATTCCAGAAGATATCAAGACTGTGCTGGCGCTGGAGCCAAGCAAGAAGAGAATGATATTGGTTCAGAAGTCCATCGATGAGTTGAATAAAAATGACAAGCCAACCAGATTCCATCTCGAAATGAAGCATATCTATGAAAGCATCATCATCGAGAATGTGGTCAACCCGATCGAGATGTCTGTGGTAACTAATGTTGACACATTCACCATGAAACTATTGAAATCGAACTACGATTCAATTAAGTTGATCAGTGGCTCAATGAATGATTTCAAATCCACTTACTCCATGTCATTTTGCGACATCTTCTCCAAATCAATTATGGACACTATCAAATCTACACTGTATGAGTCATTCATCGATCACTTCAAACTACCCACACTCCTGAATAGTCTCAAGTCACAGGTTGAGAGGTACCCGGACACGATCAAACCATACAGGAACATTAGCTTGGTCTATAATCGATTTGAAGAGTTGAGGGATTTCCTTACCAGCAGACTTGATGTTTTGGAAAGGAGTTTCAAATTATCCAGCATATCACTAGAGAGTATTAGACTATCAAATTTTCAATACAGATCACTCAATTACGGTGCACTAGCACTGGACACCAAATTACACTTCCCATTCGACCACCTCCATGTCGACCGTAATGCAGAGCATTCACATGATTGTGTTGGACGATTTTACAATGGAACATTCAGGAACCAGTCATACTTGATCAAGTCAGTCATTGATGATTACATTTCTTTATTTAAATCTCAAACAGACTACAGTATTGGCAAAGTATCGAAAGACCATGGGATGTTTCAATTTCATGGAATGTTCCAAACTCATCATCAACATGGTCAGGATGGTAAAGAGTGGTTGTTGGTGTTCAAGAAATGCATTCCATTGCTGGCATACCTCAATGAGCACATCTCATCAATGACAATCAAACAATCATTGGTCATAATCAATGGTATTGTAAATGTTTGTAGGCAATCCATTAGGTTAGTGGATAAGGCTCGACTGGAGTCAATGTTTATAGATATCGACACCAATGAGATATTACTCTCACCATCTAGTGATTTTTATTTTTTGGTCCCAGGATCTTGGTATTCCATAGGGTCAATTGGCAATATCATCTTAGAGGTGTTGCCAAAACCTACACTGCAAAGATATAAGTTCGGGAAAGAATCAGCATCGAGCATCATCAGTATCATCAACTCCAATGACAAGATACCAACAGAGTATCGAGGTCCTCTTGTCGAAGTTGTTCTGTGGCTCTTCGACTGTGAATCAAAAACATTGATAAATTTCAATGAATTCGATGGTATCTTACCAATGTTAGAGGTTCTCAACAAGTTATAGTCCTGGAGCGCATGGAAGTCATCCAAGAGCATACCAACAATAAACACTTTCATATGTAGATGTTCTTTTTTGATTAATTGTTGGATGAGAGAGTGTATCTAGATTGATCTACAATGTTTAATTGAATAATTTGGATAGTTCTGGTGAATGATCGCAATATACGAATGGAGAGGATGTGCTGGTATGGATGTTGTAATTTGTTGTACCTGTATATCTTGGTAGCCATGGTTTGGATGTGCATCACCAGAGAAGGATCCTTCTCGATCCATCACATGTCCAAACATCGAGATGTATATGTCATTGGTGACATAATCAATGTGACATCAACTCCAATCTAAACTTTCTCATGAATGATCGCACCAGAAGCATACAATCCACCATCAATGGTCCATCATGTTGTACACCAATGCCATTGACCAACGAGCGGCCATTTATGCCGAGTTGATGAATCACTGTGTATGAGTGTGTTTGTCCTAATGTCATGTCTTGAATGCATGTAATGTTTGTGTCATACTAATACATTAATACTTTAGTACTCATTCATTGTGATGATTTTGAATATGTCTCTCTCACTGCACCACCTACTGCTATCTATCTTTGTAAATCAATATATATTGGACTGAATCAGTTTTTTGTTGATATTTATGTGTGATTGGTTCATTGAATGCATTGATTGAACTTGCATTCACTCCATCGTTGTATCTCTATCTGTATCTGTATGCTTTTCGTTCGAGGAATCAACAAGTGATCAACAAAACTTGAAAAATCAAGGTCCACCACCCTGGCAATAAAACCATGTGTGTGTGAATGTGTGTGTGAGTGTGTGGGTGATCATGCACCAACACTGATAGATAAGAAGTTCACAACAACGACATCAACAAAGATGATTGATAAAGGTTAGGTGCACACAGATTCGAAACAGGTTTTGAAGCGAATGGCAGAGCTAGGCGCACGCAGCAACCTTACATATGAATGGAAGTTATACTGGGTCTCAATATCTTACTCAACGTTATCTCTTCAATGTTGTTATCAGCACATCGGAGTTCAATAGTCCCTCTGCAGCTGAGGACAAGGCCGAGATCAAGAAGATGGCCGCATCTGACGCCTTGAACCTATGGTCGTGCTATTTCATACTTAACTGCATACCAGAGACAGTCACTGCAGCTGAGAAGGCCATCACACACAACGAATCTGACCCAGAGCATTACTTCCGATTGGCTATCTCCCTTCAGACACTCTGCATGTTTGACCAGTCCATTGCCAGGCTACAACAAGGCATTCGCATTGCCAACAGCCAAAACCTTGAAGTGAGGGATCAGATCAAGAAGCAGCTGGACTATCTGCTTCACCATCAACGACAGAACGCACTCAATCGTGTTTATACCCGCGAGAGGCTGGCTAACGACCCAACATTTAGCGCATTCCCCATCTCCTTGGCATGGGAAGGCGATAAAGGTCGAACGATTGTGGCGACCAAGGATATCCCCAAGGGCACTGTCGTCATGCGAGTGGCACCCTTCAACATAACGCCCAACGATGACACCATGCTCAGTCATTGCTCATCATGTCTACGTAACATCAAATTTAAGTTAAAATGAATGATTGATTGATTGATGATGGTTGAACGAATGATCGGAAGACTAACAAACTTGTGTCTAGACTGTAAGCATGTACTGTGTCTAAAGTGTAAGAGTGTACGATTGTACAGGAACACGAGTCAGAGTGCCGCATGCTTGCTGACATGCAAAAGGAAGGCAGTCGCAACACAAGGTACTTCATTCGTTTGTTTCTGCGCATCATCCAACACATGGAGGGCAAGGCCACCAAACAGAACACACCATCAACATGGCGGAAGGACCAGTTACCGTTCATCTTTGACACGCTGGACGACATCGATCACTTCACCCCTCGCATCGGCAACAGCTCCACCTTGGACAGCTATATGAAGTTGATGGAGCCAGCATTCAAACTGATTGACAAGTTCAAGGGTCCTGAGTTCTTGGCACGATTCAATCGGCAGCACATAGTGGATATTGCCTCCAATCTCTCAAACAATACGATCACGGTCATTGACTCGATACAGAGCACCGATATTGGTCGCGCGGTGTACCCATCATCCAACTACTTCAAACACTCATGTCTACCAAACTGCACCCACTACCTGGACAGCAATGGCATGTCGGTGTACCGCACTACTCAAGCCATCAAGGCAGGAGAGGACATCACGACAACAATGCTGGATATCATGCTCTCACGATCGAAGCGCATCGACTCCCTCCTTGAAGAGAATGGATTCTACTGCCAGTGCCCCCGGTGCGTCGCCAACAACCAGGACTACCAATGTCCTACATGTGAACAGGCGTTGGACTCAAACCATTTGCGTATCTGGGAGCCGATCCCGTCAGCCGACTTTGACGGGCGGGTATACCAATGAAGCAAAGGACATGTGACAATGTTTCCAGAAGAGCAGCTCGATGAGGTTTGAGGAGCTCCAACTGTCCAATGATGATCATCATATCTATCAATGTGACAAAAACACAATAAATATTATCGATGGTATCTGTGTATCTCTGTGTCTGTATCTGTATCATTTGTTCGAGGCATCAACTGATTGACTAAACTTGAAAAAACAGTGTAATCTTACATGTAATCAATGGGGTAGTAGTAATGATCTTGAACTGAACCATTCACCCTCACCTCATTTGTGAAGGTATCCATTTTAAACGCTTTCCAAAAGAAAGAGGCTGTGACACCTTCACAAATGAGGTGAAGGTGATGGTTCAGTTCAAGATCATTACTACTACTACATATACAACTACAACAACTATATCTACAACTATAACAACAACAAAAACAACAATATTATAATGGGATCAAATAATCCTCATTGGTTGTTCAACAATGAATACCACATTGAGAGACTGTCAACAGAGTTGGAGGCAATCGATGATCCTTCAAAGAGATTGATTGAATCACTCAACACATTCAATGCTCTCAGGACAGAGTGTTATGAAAAGATCAATCAGTTATCAGATTGTCACAAAGCATTTGGTGATGTGATTGGCACATCCAAACCAATTCGATTGGTACATCAAAGATAACTCAAACATCAAGATTGTATTGGCTGGTCCAACTCACTCTGGAAAGGTATGTCATCAATCATCATTGCAATCAAACAAACTTACTCACTCAATCGAATAATCTTACAAACAGTCAACAGTGATCAACACATTACTGTCATGTCAACTGATGCCATCAGGTGGCGGTCACACATCAGGAAGGATATGCATTCTGGCTCACTCGACAACGATCAGAATCAAGTTCCTCGAACTGATACCACACCAAGATCAGGATCATCCCAGCAGGCTAGAATGCATCGATGATGAGACCATCACAATTGAGAATCAAAGACAACTTCAGACAATCTTGAAACAACATCTATCAAGGCCAGCATGTATCGACGACAATGAAGCAGACCAATTGGCATTCAAAGAGTGGGCCAGCAAGATTGTGAGGGTCGAGTTCCCATCAATACTGCTATCCACTGGATTGGAGATCATCGATGTTCCAGGCTTCAGCATCTCTGATCATGCATCATTGTTCAGCATCCGCAAACAGTTCTTCAATGTCTACCCACCCACTGGTGTCATGTTTTGTTACGACAACACAGCTTTCTCTGATGGTGAGGTGTTAGCCATGCCTGATCTCATTCACTCATTACCGAGCGATCACAATGATTCAATGTTCTTTGTCAACACCAAGAGATCCAAGAGTGAGGTGGCACTCAACAACAATATTGAACAAGGTGATGAGATCCCACTCGAGTTGATCAACTCCTACACAGACATCTGTTTCTCAAAGCTTGAGAAATCGATTCACAATGCATCCAAGAGACGATTCTCAATTGTCAACGCACATGATTTCATCAAACAACCCAAGTCTGTTGAAACGAGATACATATTCAACCAATACATTGACCAACTGATCAAGTGGATTGCAAAGATGTTCCAACAACAAGGTCACATATTCCTAAGGATGATCGAAATCGAGTGTAAATCAATGTGGCAACAATGTGTCTCAGTAGATGATAAGCTTAATGAAGTTGATTTTGACAAACTAAAGAAAGATTCATTCAACAACCTATATTGGAGTCAAAGACACCTTCTCGTTAAATTGAAACTGACAATTGGCAAGATTCCAGATGTTATCAAGGTTGCGCTGGTCATGGAGTCCAGCAAGAAGAGCATCGAATTGGTTGAGAAGTCTATCGAGAAGTTGGATAAGAAAGACAGATCAACCAGATTCAATCACGAAATGAAGCACATTTTTGATAGCATCATCATCGAGAATGTGGTCAATCAGATAGAGATGTCTGTGTTATATGAGATTGACACATACATCAAGGAACTATTGAGCTCGAGTGACAAAAAATCATTATCTATGATGCTAATTAATGGCTCGTTGGATGACTTCAAGTCCACCCACTCCATATCATATTGCGACGTCCTTTCCAAATCAATAATGGACACGATCAAATACACACTGTATCAATCATTCATTAATCACTTCAAACCTCCCACATTCCTGAGAAGTCTCAAGTCACAAGTCGAGAGGTACCCGGACACGATCAAACCACACAAGATCATTAGCTTTAGCTTAAACTTGGTTAATAATCGAAAAAAGGAATTAAAGAATTTCCTTACCAGCCGATTTGATGTTGTGGAAAGGAGTATCAAATCATCCAGCATGACGATGGAGAGTATCGAACACTCAACTAAACAATACCGATCACTTCATTGTGATGTACTGGCACTTGACACCAAGTTGCACTTCCCATTCGACCACCTCCAAGTCGACCGTAGTGCAGTGCTTCCATATTACAGCTTTGGACGAATTTACAATGGAACGTTTGGGAACCAAACATACTTGATCAAGTCAATCATTGGTGATTACATTCATTTAAATATTTCTCGAATGGACATTATTGGCGTAGTATCGAAAGACCTACCAATGTTACCGCTTCTTGGCATCTTCCAAACATCCCATCAACATGGTCAGGAAGGTAAAGAGTGGTTGTTGATGTTCAAGAAATGTGATACATTGTTGGAATACCTAAATGAACACATCTCATCATTGACATTCAAACAATCATTGATCATCATCAAAAGTATCGTAAAAGCTTTTGGGCGTTCCATTGGGTCATTGGCCAATGCCAGACTGGAGTCCATGTTTATAGATATCGCCACCAATGAGATATTCTTCCCACCATGCAGTGATTATTATAATGATTGGCGCAACCCACCAAATGTAACAGCGAGTTCCATGGCCTCACTTGGCACTATCGTCTTGGAGCTGCTGCCAAAACCTATACTTCAGAGATATAAGTTCGAGGATGAATTAGTATATAGCATCTTCAGTATCATCAACTCCAATGACAAGATACCAATATGGTATCGAGGTCCACTTCAAGAGTTTGTTCGGTGGCTCTTCGACTGTAAAAAACAGGATTGTAAATATGCTGCCCACGATAGTATCTTACAAAGGTTGGAGGTCCTCATTGAGGACTCCTCAACACGTCAAAGTGTCAAAGTGAACACCAACTATAATCATAAGTAAACGACAAGTAAATCATATTCATATGTATGTAGAGTAGATGTTCATGTTTTATTGTTGGTTCAGAGTTAGATTGATCAACAATGTTTAATTGATTTGGATATTTCAATTCATGAATGGAGAAGGATATGATGTGTGGGTGGATGATATCTCTGCAGCAATGTTTGGGAATGCATCACCTGCCTTCTTGATCAATTACATGTCAAAACTTCGAGATGTATATGTCCTTGGTGACATAATCAATGTGACATGAACTTCTAAACGTTCTCATGAATGATCGCACCAGAAGTATACACTACCATCATCATGTTGTATACTAATGCCTTTGAACAAAACCGGTTCATGCCTAGTTGATGAATCAATATGTATGAGTTTGTTCTAATGTCATGTCTTGAATGCATGTAATGTGTGTCAGACTAATCCACTCAATCATTGTGATGATGTTTGAATGATGTCGATTGTCTCTCTTACTGCTAACTACCTTGGTAAATATATATATCGAACTGATTTGTTGTTTGTTGTTGATTTAATGATTGATTTCAACTATTTATGTGATTGGTTCTTGAATGGATTGGTTGAACTTGCATTCATTCCATCATTGTATCTCTATCTGTATCTGTATGCTTTGTGTTCGATGAATGAAGAGATTTTTCAAGTTTGAGATCACACACAAAAATTTGAAAAATCAAAGTCAAGTGACCTTTACACAAACACATTCATTTTGAACTCATTCAGAACAACCTCTTCATCTACAACAGCTACAAGTACAACTATAACAACAAGATTATAATGGGATCAAACAATGCTCATTGGTTGTTCAACAATGAATACCACATTGAGAGACTGTCAACAGAGTTGGAGGCAATCGATGATCCTTCAAAGAGATTGATTGAATCACTCAACACATTCAATGCTCTCAGGACAGAGTGTTATGACATGACCAACAAGCTGTCAGATTGTCACAAAGCATTTGGTGATGTGGTGGGCACATCGAAATCATTCGATTGGTACATCAATGACAACTCAAACATCAAGATAGTACTGGCAGGTCCAACTCACTCTGGAAAGGTATGTCATCGTCATTGCAACACTCAATCAATCTTACTCACTCAATCAATCAATCAATCAAACAAACAAACAGTCAACATTGATCAACACATTACTGTCATGTCAACTGATGCCATCAGGTGGCGGTCACACATCAGGAAGGATATGCATTCTGGCTCACTCGACAAAGATCAGAATCAAGTTCTACAAAGTGATACCACACCAAGATCAGGATCATCCCAGCAGGATAGAGTGTATCGATGATGAGACCATCACAATTGAGAATCAAAGACAACTACAGATCACTTTGAAACAACATCTATCAAGGCCAACAGATATCGACAATGAAGCAGACCCATTGGCATTCAAAGAATGGGCCAGCAAGATTGTGAGAGTCGAGTTCCCATCAGCATTGCTTCAGACTGGATTGGAGATCATCGATGTTCCAGGCTTCAGCATCTCTGATCATGCATCATTGTTCAGCATCCGCAAGCAGTTCTTCAATGTCTACCCACCAACTGGTGTCATGTTTTGTTACGACAATACGGCGTTCACTGATGGTGAAGTGTTGGCAATGCCTGATCTCATTCACTCATTACCGAGCGATCACAATGATTCAATGTTCTTTGTCAACACCAAGAGGTCCAAGAGTGAGGTTGCACTCAACAACAACATTGAACAAGGTGATGAGATGCCACTCGAGTTGATCAACTCATACACAGACATCTGCTTCTCAAAGCTTGAGAAATCGATTCGCAATGCATCCAAAAGACGATTCTCAATTGTCAATGCACTGGATTTCATCAAACAACCCAGGTCTGTTGAAACGAGATATATGTTCAATCAATTCATCGACCAACTGATAAAGTGGATTGCAAAGATGTTCCAACAACAAGGTCACACATTGCTAAGGATGATCGAACTCGAGTGTAAATCAATGTGGCAACAGTGTAACACATTACAGATTTACCGGGATAGCAACATCAACTATTACAAAATTATGATTGATTCAAAACATGAGCTGAGTACATACATTATCGAATTTATTCAAGCTATAGGAGATATAATCAATATGATTCCCAATGGTATCAGAGAAGTATTGTCTCTGGAGTCCAGCATGAAGAGCATCGAATTTGTTGAGCAGTCCATCGAGAAGCTGGATAAGAGATATAGATCAAACAAATTCCATTTTGAAATGAAGAACATATACGACAACATCTTCACCAAGGTGATCAATCAGACAGAGAAGTCTTTGGTCAGTAAGATTGGCTCTATCACCATGGCTCGATTCAATCCAAAAGACAAACGATTATCAATTTTGTTGATCATTGGCACTATGGATGATTTCAAGTCCACTCACTCCATATCATTTTGTGACATCCTATCCAAATCAATTATGGACACGATCAAATCCACATTGTATGAATCGTTCATTGATCACTTCAAACTTCCCACATTCATGAGAAGTCTCAAGTCACAAGCTAAGAAGTATCCAGATATTATTGAGTCAAACAGGAACATTAACTTGGTGATCAATGATCGATTTGAGGAATTGATAGGTTTCCATACTGACCGGCTTGAAGTTGTGGAAAGGAGTATCAAATCAACTAGAATGACACCAGGGAGTATCAAAGACTCTATGGAAAAATATCAAACACTCTTTTGTGATGTACTGGCATTGGACACCAGGTTGCATTTTCCATTCGATCAAATTCAAGTCAACAATACAGTCATGCTTTCACAAGAAGATGTTGGAAAATTTTACAATGGAGTATTCAGGAATCAACTCTACTTGGCTCAATCGATCATTGGTGATTACATTACTTTATTGATTTTTAGATTGGACAGAATCAATGAAGGAGGTTCTAACCCACCAATGTTACAACTTCATGGCATCTTCCAAACTAAAACTCAACAACAAATGGAGTGGTTGTTGGTGTTCAAGAAATGCGATCCTTTGTTGGCATACCTCACAGAACACATATCATCAATGACATTCAAACAATCATTGGTCATCATCAATAGTATTGCTCATGCTATGAATATTCTGATTATTCATAAAATTCATGTTCCAATGAACAAGCCGGTAAGGTTGGAGCGCATGTTTATAGATATCGCCACCAATGAGATACTCTTCTCATCATTAAGAGAAAATTCTAAAATGTCGCAGCCAATGTCCCTTGAAGCACTTGGAACTGTCATCTTGGAGGTGTTGCCCAAACCTACAATGCAAAGATATAATAAGATCGAGAAAAAGTCTGAAATCTTCCAAATCATCACCTCCAATGATAAGATACCAACAGTGTATCATGTTCCTCTTTTCGAGGTGCTGGAGTATCTTCCCTTTGCCAATAGTTTTGATGTCTTACAAAGTTTGGAAGTACTCAACAATCTATCGTCCTAGGTATCACTCTTTACAACTATAAATCTTTTAACATTCATCTACAATGTCATGAAGATATAGTCCTACTGTCGACTTCCATTTGAATGTGAGGTTTCGCGAAAAATATTGTATGATGACCTTCAATGTGTAGTTTTGAGGTATTATGAAGATGGATCGATCGACACGTCAAGTTTATTTGGTTAGGAAGGAGGAGGTGGCATCCCACATCTGCTGCTGAATGCTGGCGGGCACAGCAGTGCCAACGATAGTCTCAAACTGGAACACACCAATACCGCCGAGGTTGAACGGTTTGATGGCGGCGACCTTGGCGGCAACCGACTGTGGGTTCTCATACCACGCCTGGTGAACGCGGTTGTCCGATGGATGGATGTAGTTGATGAATGGCATTGTGTTGGCGTCTGACCAGATCTCACCTGTGGACGTGATGTTTGCGTCGTTGATGATGGCCAGCACGCCATCGAGCATGATGTCCACCGAGTCGGTCACGGTGTCACAGTTCATGTCTTCAATCGACTTGGACGTGCAGATGTTGTCAAAGCCGTACCAGGGTAGCGCGGCAATCAACTTGTTGGGTGGGATCTGCAGGTCGAGGAACTTCTGGATGCCCGAGAGGATGTCGGGCAATGGGTCGTTGATCATGTTGGTGATGTCGTAGTCCATCATGATGATGTAGTCAATCGAGTCGGCCAGACCGGTGTAGTCAAAGTTGCGACCAATGTCTGGCGAGAAGGTCGTGTCCATCGAGATCTGGCAGTATGGGGCGACGAGCTTGAACTGGTAGGTGAGCTGGGCGAGGAAGGCCGTGAACAGTGCCGACGACATGCCTGAGAACGACTGCTCAATGTCAAAGTTGAGACCGTCCAAGTAGTTGTCCTGCATCATTGTGAGCAGCGTGTTGATGTACTCTTGCTCCCAGGTGAAGTTGCCTAAGTTGACAACCTCTGCGTCAAAGATCACATCGATGACAACGCGCACATCCTTGGCGTGGGCGTAACATATGAGTTGGGGGTCGATAGTAACGCCATCATCATAGTCCAATGAGATTGTAGTAAGAGTGTTAAAGTCGTAGTTCATATAAGTATCGTTGGCACATGACCAGCCAAAGAACTCTGGACGGGGTGCCAGTGACACTGGGTTACATAATGTTTCTTCTGAACAAGGGCAAGGTGGGCGAGCAGCTGACACCACAGCCATCATCACACTGATGGCCAACACCAATAACAATACTGTTTTAACTTGTAACATTATGTATATATGTATGTGTTTGTATCTGATTGAGTTGTTGTGAACAAGTGATTGATTGATTGACAGTGTATGATCGACAGACAATGATCTGTATTTCGCTTCGAGAGTTGGAGTCCAGATATTTAATTAATATGGATCATTTGCAACTGGATACCGAGGGACGGTGGTCGGCTGATGACCACCCCCTTTTAAGATCATTATCCAGGGCCAACACACTCTTTTTGGTAGATAGGTGGTGGAAATGAGTCGATCAAATGTCGCGATTTGGGGTTACAATTTCGTATTCCGAAGTGGTTCGGACACTTTTCAAAAGGCGACACACTTCAATATCGATAGACGTGAGGTGATTGAAGTGATCACGACTGGTACCCGATGAAAGTAAATATCTATCTCTTTCAATTATTATTAATTATTTTTGAACTATTTAAAACACTTGAATGATTATGTCAATATATATAATTGATTGTTTCAAAATAATTAATAGTAGGGACTTGGTAGTATCACACTTATACTCACAAGTTGGAGTTGGATTTAAAACTAAAGTGATCATTCTTTTAAAATAATTACAACTTAAATATTCAACTCATGATGGAAAGGTATGTTTATTGTGTGATCAATAGTGAGGCTGGAATCATTCCAGCCTCAGCCTCCCCCAACCACACTCTCATTAACACACTTATTGAATCAATCAATCAATCAAACACACTTTAGACAACATTGATCAACACATTATTGTCATGCCAACTGGTGCCATCAGGTGGCGGTCATACATCTGGAAGGATATGCATACTTTCACATGGGACTACTATACGCATCAGATTCGGCACGATCATACATCATGCCAACAAGCAATCAGAACTACAATACTCGGACAAAGATACAATCACAATCGATCACAAAGTGTTTGACTTGGACATGAAGAAGCAACTAAAGGATCGTCTGGCTGTGCATCTTGCACGACCACAGGGTAGTGATGATGACCCAGAGGCATTCGAGAGGTGGGCGAGAACGATCGTGTTGGTCGAGTTCCCATCACCACTGCTGGCGACTGGACTCGAGCTCATAGATGTACCAGGTTATAGCAAGACTGATCATGCATCACTCAAAGCCATTCGCGAGGAGTTCTTCAATGCTTACCGACCAAATGGCGTCATCTTTTGCTACACCAACGCCGCCTTCTCAGATGGCGAGGTGGAGGCCATGCCCGAGATGATCAGGTCTCTGCCCAAGGACTGGTGTGACATCAAGGAGGCACTGTTCTTTGCCCAAACCAAGTCATCCAAGGCTGTGGTGGCAATGAACAAAGAAATTGATCCTTGCGAGGAGGTCCCAGAGTCAGTGATCAACGATCACCTGGCAGATTGCTACTCGAAACTCAAGAGCAGTCCGGTTTTCTCAAGTCTGAGCTCATCCATATCCATTGATGAAAGAAGATTCGCAAACGTCAACTCTCTGCACTTCATCAAATACCCAGACTCGAAAGAGAACAAGTACATCTTCAAACAGTTCATCGACAGGCTGATCAAGTGGATTGTAAGATTGTTACAGATACAATGGGATCCAGTGTTTGTGTTGATTGAGCTCGAGTGCCACACTGTTTCAGTAAAGATCGAGTCCATGCAGCTGCGCATTGACCTGACAACCGAGTCTGGCTTTGATAGCTTGAAGGAGGAATTTGATCAAATGGTGGCCACAGACTTTGTCAAAAAGATCAATAATTCAATGTCCACTATAGTTGGTGGCATTCCAGCTAGCATCAAGAGAGCATTAGAGTCCCATCCAAAGTGCATCGAATCATTCCAACAAGAAATCCTCAAGTCCAACAAGTCAGACGACGCACCTGGCATTCTATCCCAGACCATGGCATTCCTTCATAAGAAGTCTATTGACAAGGTTCTCACCGAGGTGGAAACGTGTGTGGAGAAGGAGATTTCTGCCATCATTGGTTCAATCATGGAGAATGACGATGACTTTGAATCAACAATTATGAAGAACTCTTTGGTGGCAATGGAGAGGACATTGAAGACATCGCTCGCCACCCAGTTATCCACTGCCATATCAAGTACCATCAGCACATCTGTGTTTGGTGCCGTCATCCAGCACTTTAACATCCCTTCTCGATCGTTTTTTGCTCCAAAGATTGATCTAAAGACTCAGATTGAGATGTATCCAGATTCAATCGACACAATCTCAATGATGAAGGACATCTCTCAGGTGGTGAGCGAGAGGTTTAGGATATACAAGACATTCATAGAGTTGCAACTCGTGCGCTTTGACCGATTGACCAAGGAATCAAAGATGTTGCAAAGAGACATTGACATTGCCCTCACCAGTTACCAACTACTCTATATCAATACCTTGGCACTGAATAGCAGGCTACACTTTCCATTCGACAACATTGAACTGGATCAATTATCAAGCGTTGCTGTGGCGAATGGTGACATTGGTCCAGTGTATGATTATATGTTCAGGGAACATTCCTACCTGGTACAGGTTTTCAAGAATAGGATCTCACCAAGGACCACTCACATTCAATCAAAGATGGCATTACAAGTCAAGTCTGGCAATGATGTAACCAAGGACTACCCAATATCATTGCCACTCTGTGCATTATTCAAACAAAAGGGAGTTGGCTCCAATGATGAAGACGTTTGGTATCTGATGTTTGAGCGACGTAGACCTCTAATATCATACCTGAAGCAACATATCTCTTCAATGTCTATGACTCAATCATTGGCGATGATAACAAAGTTGGTTAAAGCATTGCTCTACAATGCTTATTCTGCGACAAATGTACACATGAACCTTAGACTCGAGTTCATATACATTGATGATAACACCCAAGACATTTATTTATCAATGTTTGGACAAGTGGAAATGGATGAAGTAATAGGAAGTACGGCAGATTCGGCTAACATTGACTTGGGAGCACTTGGAGTGGTAATCATCGAGTTGTTACCAAAGCCATCATTCAAAAGATTTTCATTGGATGATATCTATTTCAGACTCGAATCGATCATGGATACCTATTGTCCAATGGTACCGTTGGTGCTGAATAATCATTTTAATGAGTTGATCAAAATATGCATAACTGATAAATCAAACATCATTAATGTCACTACCAAGTTGGAAGAGATCAACTGTCTTGTAACCAATAAAGAAAAAAAATAAAAAATAATAATAAAAATATTTTGAGGTCGCTTTGAAAATGACAATGGATGTTAGACTGATTGAATGAAAGAACAAAAGAGTAGACTACAACCCTCCAATATATGAATAACAATAGAGAACCAGAACAGGAGTTATCACTCCAACTACAAATCAACGAGATTAGAGGATGGTCAAATAAGATTGATAGACTTAAAGAGGTATACTTATAATAAAGATCCAATGTATTCGATATCCACTAATATTTATTTATTTAAAGATTGGAGATCTTCCAGAAGAGGGAATATCATTAGACGATCATATTTCGTTCAAGAAGTTCTGGGAGATGAGGCAGAAAGATGGTAGTAGATCAGAATATTCAGCTCGATTATTCTATCTCAATGGAAGAGTAGTCATATTCGAAGTGCCCTCGGCTTCTAAAGAATCAGCTACTGGTCGGATCGTCAAACTAATCTTGAATCCTTTAGTATTATATGGACATGGTGGACACTTTGATATTCTCCCTTCTCCATCAATGATAGTTGATAATTGTCAATCGCTCCAGGCCGACATGTCATTGGACTGCTGTCTCAGACCAAACGACGACCCCAACGGATTATCAATCGACGGAACTGGCAACCCATACCCCTGCCTTGTTATCTTGACTGGTAAATCGCAATCCCTTCAACAGTTGCATGAGAACTGTCAAACGTTCTTTGGTCGAACAACAACCATCAGAATGGTCATTGGCATCAAGATCTACAAAAAGACGACTGAACAACCACATCCATTTACCCTTCTTGTGCTTCTCTACCTGCGAGGTGCCAATCGCCAAGTTGTCCAACTTGCACCACTCAATCAAGGGGAGGTAGGTCTTCTGCCACTGATGGAGGTTCACGGATCAGAAAGACCAACTGCGATCGTCTCATGTGGAACAGCACCACCTGATCCCCAAACAGTTACAACGATTACCAATGTGCTCCAAACACCGGATATTGAATGGAGAGGACTCGGTCATGGAGCCGATCCAGAGTGCAACGGTCCAGGCCTCCCCTTATACCAACTCTACATCCCAGTGGCTGAACTCTACGAAGGTGCGACCATAGGTGCTGTTGTAAATGGGCCGCCATTCATGCCACCAGCCAACCTGATGGGTGTCAACCCCGGTACGGTTGTCAACAACGGGTTCATTAGCGTTGATCTCCACTCTGTTCAACAAGCAGTACATAGTAAACTCCATTAAAGTGTCATTCATTCGATTGTTTGTTTGTTGGATATGTCGCAAGATAGATGAGATTGAGTTTGTTATTACTTTGTACATTTGGCGCACAGGTGCAATATCTTTCCTTTCTCTAAGGTCTCGCTGATTGGTTCGACGTGTGGAAGGATCGATGTTCCACATCTTCCACATGTCTTTGTGAATTTCATATAGGGCACCTCCAACATTGGCATGAAGTTGTAGCCGTTGAGTCCATTCCAAAGGTTATCTGCAACATCCTCTTTACATGTCTTGCATACTCTGTAATAAGTTTGTTTGTTGTTAGTAATATGTCGACCGTCATTCACTCACTCGGTTCAATCAATCAATCAAACATAAACATATACCTCCAGTCCTTCTTATCATGGTCATGCTCCATTACTCCACAGATTGTGTAATGAGCGTGTGCTCTGGTGCATGAGCCACGAGAGTATGAGAACATCTTGTAAACCTTGTCATCGTCGTCACAGATCCAGTTGTCACAGCACACAGTCTTCTTGAGAGGGTACTTGGCAGTTGGGGCCTTGCCACAGACACCACATATCTTATCACTGTTGGTCTTGAGCACCAAGTCACCAATAGGGTTCACTGCCAACTGGTCCTCATCCCTTGTGAACTTTGCCCAAATACCATGCTTCTTGAATGCTGCACAGTCCTTACTATGCTCTGCCCATCCTGCAACCTGATGATCTCTTGAGCAATACCTATATGTATGTATATGTTTGTTTGTTAGTAACTATCTCTATTGAAGTCACTCACTCATCTCACTCACTACTCACTCGTTCATTCATTCAATATCACTCCCTATCTCTCTCTCTCATTGACGTACTTTACGACTTTACATCCACCACAAAGTGATAGTTCTGTGCCTTTACATCCTTCAATCTCACATCTCTCTGGTCTCCAGAGCATGTTGTGTCTAGTAGGTTCTATTGTTGCCATTTGTTATTGTTGTTGTTGTTGTTGTTGTAATAAGTTGTATCTGTATCTGTAGATCAAACAATGAATGAATGTGAGTGAACTCGAAACAACAAATCTTGAGGGTTTGTCAATCAAAAGACAGACATGTTTTTTGAGGATGGTAACATCCCTTACTTATTATTATTATTACTTTATTAGATATTAATGGCAATTACTACAATAGAGTTGACCATTCCTATATGAATGTCCCTCCATTGATGGCAAGAATGCTGATTTACATCCTCCGCAAGTAACTGACATTCCATTATAAGGTACATCCAACATTGGCAAGAAGTTATATCCATTGTATCCATAAGACATATCGCCATGACTTGATCTACAATTCTTACATGTCCTATTCATTGATTGAATATGTATGTATTTGTTAATTCAATGTTTGATTGATTGACGTGTTTGATTGATTGACATGATTGGCATGATTGACATACCTCCAATCATTTTTCTCATGTTTATGCTCCATGTTTCCACAGAGGGTATAGCGTTCATGGGATCTTCCACAGAAATCCCTGGAGTAGGAGAACATTTGGTATTGGTATTCATTGTCACAGACCCAGTTATTGCAACAACGTGTCTTCTTTAGTGGACGATCCTTGGCTGGACCCCTGCCACAAATGCCACACTTCTTCTCTGTTGTCTTGAGTACCAAATCGCCAATTGGATTATCAACAACTGATCCTCCTGTCTCGTGAACTTTGCCCAAATACCATTCTTCTTCAATGCTGCACAATCTGGTTTATGCTCTGCCCATCCTTGTATCTGATGCTCCCTTGAGCAATATCTATATATGTTTGTAGTTGTTGTAGTTGTTGTAGTTGTTGTTGTTGTTGTTACTATGTCGCTCATTCTACACAACCTCGTGATATTTACAACTTACTTTACAACTTTACAAGCACCGCAGAGAGATAGAGTTGTTTCTTTACAACCTGCAATCTCACATCTCTCTGGTCTATAGAACATAGTATGTAACTTTGGGTCCATTATATGTTATATATATGTTTATCTCTGTTTATCTGTTTATCTCTTTATCTCTTTGAATGACTCGCGAATTCAACGTCATCCATCCCCACTCATCATAAAGTACTTCTGTTCTATTTTTTCTGAGAGATGTGATGTCAACATGATATTTCCGATAAAGAGAGAGTGAGTATAGTATTGTCAATGAATGGGATAGTCGGAGATCTGTCCAGAGGGTGTTGTTGATTGAGACCAGCGTTCTACTTCACTATCATTAGTTGTGTAGAAAAAGTATCCTAGAAATGACACTTTCCAGGTGGGGTCATTGATGATTTTGGATGCTTTGTCCAAAATGGAAATGGTTCGGTTCAGTTGAGCCAATGCTTTCTCCCTACCGTGTCTAGTGGCCTTGATTTCACCGATGGATATTGTGAGGGATTGATAGGAGGTGATCAATTCTCCCCTGCAATCAAGCTCCAACTCCCAGGGTACATGAATGATCTCCTGGGCTGGATTGAGATCGAAAGCAAAGCAAAAAAATCCAAATTGCTCTATGGTGTAGTATTAATAATTGGTTGATATTAAATAGAGATAGATCTCACTTACCATTGCGGATAATTTGAGCTCTAATCTCTCTCGGTTTCTCAAAGTAGGAAATGACTGTATTGATGATACGACAGTGCTCGTTCTTCGCTTTAGCCTTCAGATTCATCAATCTACCCATTGTTGTGTTATTCAACATGTTGCCACTATTGAGATCACCAATATCGTTGGGTTGGAGAGGTGACAGGAGGATCTGTGATAATATGGAAGCCAACACAGTGGGGATGTTCTTCATCTTAAAATATACTTGATTTTGATTAGCACTCAATCAATTGATTAGTATTATTCATATACTATACCTCTAATTCTTCTGCAAGAAGGTTGACACTATCAGTTTGAGATTGTATATCTAATTCCTTTCTAGATGGCTTCCGAGTGACCAGTCTAGCAACTCCATAGAGATTCTTGATAATGAATGACTCGGCAAACTCTCTTCCAAACCTCCTCTCAACAGTTCGTCGAATGGATGTCTCTGTAAGCATCCCAATCTGATTCGACATCCTTCCGATCTCTTTGGTAAGACCTTTTAATGCTTTAAGGTTCAACAAATTTGTTAGAAAAATCATTAGGTATAGGAGTTCTCTAACAAACCTACCTTTAGCTTGATTGGACATAATAATAAAAGAAAAAAGATAGAAATAAATATCAAATAGAGTATATAGTAATAATAATAATAAAAGAGATAGAGATAACAATAATAAAGTGAATGTTATGTTTGAGTCACGAATGTCAACCAACTACATCCATTGAGTGGTGTGTTTGAAGACAATTGAAGGGTTACCCTTACTTTCAAATTAGGAAATGTTGCCTTTTTAAGGCTTAATCTTCATCAATCAACACAATCCCATAGGCAGGGGGAAAGGGTAAGGGTTGGTCAAGGTTAGTTTATATTAACAATATTTAGTATTAATCCAGGCTAACTTGGCAGTGCTAGCATTGTTGAGTGGTCCAACAAACCGATTCAATCACTCACTCAGTCTTCCTGTTTGATGCAGTGACTAGTCGCAGGATTGACTTGTTGAGATTGGTGTTCTCCAGTAGGTCCTCGAGATCGACATGCATTCTGTATTGCCAGTAGTGGAAGGGGTTGGATGGCTCGTTGATCTTCTCTTCCTTTGGATCGCGTGATGACAACTCTGACGACAGACCAAACCAGTCCTGTAGCGGGAATATCGATATCATGCTGGGCGACTGCAGATGCTGCATGATGACGGTCTCAGTGACGTAAGGCTCGCAAAAGTATGGTGCCTCACCGTACATGTTCAATACATTGTTGTAGAAGGTCTGAGAGCGAGCGCGGTCTTCCTCCCACCAGCCTCGTAGCGTGACCATGTCGTGCGATGACGTTGTGTTCACCGTGAGATATGAATACTCTGATGGATAGTAGAACTCCTTTGTGCTGTCCGAAGGCATGCGTTGAATCCTCAATCCAAGGATGCCTAGATCCTTCAACACTGGCTCAACACACTTTGGAACCATTCCCAAGTCCTCTCCACATACCAACATTCCTTTTGAGTGATTGATGTTTGAGTTAGTAAGGTATTGATCACTCTACGATGTTCAATCACTGGATACATACTTGTACAACCCTTGATGATTGGCAATCTTTGGAGTGCAGAGTGTGTCCACAGGTCCTCTTGTCGCTCAAAGTAGTATGATATGTAGAGTCTGTACAGAGCACTCTTCAAGTCATCAGAGAGTTCGTTGTAGGATGATGTCTTGATCAACTCGATACGTGGATAGAACTTGTTCTCATCCTCCTTATCCTGAATCAAACATACATTCTGGACCAACTTCAATAGGCCTGGTTTATACATAAGGTCATCACCTACAATGTTGGCCTTTGATTGATAGATTGAATCAAGTTAGTCAGTGTACATGATTGATTGATTGGATGAGATGACTTACATCGATGTTCCTCTCAGTCTCATACTCTGGCTTCAACTTGTAACAGTTGGAAGTATACTCCTTCAAGAACTTCTTTGATACAGTATCTGAGTAATCACCAAAGAACTCTCTCAATGTATGATATCTGATGTATGGTCTGGTCAACCTATTGATGTCCCAGATACCATGGCTGGTAAGCTCATTCCTGGTCAGTGGGAGTGATGGGTTGAAGTGACCAAGTAGGCCAGTTAGACACTCGGTAGGGATCTCCCAAATCCTAAAGAATCCAAGAATATGGTCGATACGGAAGGCATGGAAGTACTTGGCCATCTGTCCCAGTCTTGATCTCCACCATGCATAGTTGTCCTTCCTCATCCTGTCCCAGTCATAAGTTGGGAATCCCCAGTTCTGTCCATCATCAGCTAAGTTGTTTGATTGATTGAATGAGTGAGCATGTGGAGGGAGCAGTAGCATTGATGAAGTACATACCAAAGGCATCGGGTGGCGCACCAGTTGACATGTTCATACGGAAGAGATGAGGGTTGCACCATGTGTCAACACTGAACCTGTTGACACCGATTGGTAGATCGCCCTTGAGTCCAATCCTCTTGGACACTGCATATTGAGAAGCTCGCAACAGTTGCTTGTGTAGATGATACTGTACAAAGTAATGATATCTAACCTGATCATAATACTTTGATGTTGGTGCTGCCAGTTGATTGATTGTAGCCTGTTTGATTGAATGATTGAATGAGTGAATGAGTGATTGATTGCGAGAGTGATCGAGCCAATCATACGTACATTGTCAATGTTCTGATGCTCCTTCCATTGTGTAAAGTCTGAGGTTTGGTAGAGGTCGCGGAATACACAGTAGAGTGCATAGGCTTGGACCCAGTCTTGGTTGTCTTTGATGTATTGGACGTACTCTTTGTCCTTCTCCAGGTCTGCTTTTGCCTTTGTATATATCCTCTGCAATAGTTTCTGCTTCAGGTTGATCACAAGCTCATAGTCCAACTTGTCCAGCTTGTTCAATGCTTCGCGATTGCTGTTGATCTCTGCCAGGATGGCGGGGTCGTTGCTGACCGTCTCAATGTTGATGTAGATGGGGTGCAGTGCGTATACGGACACCGAGCTGTAGGGATAGGAGTCGCGCCAGGTGTGATTGACCGTCGTGTCATTGATGGGCAGCAGCTGGATCATGTGCAGGCCCGTGTCGGAGGCCCAGTCCACCAGTGCGATGATGTCGTTGAACTCACCAACGCCCAGTCCCTTCTTGGATCGCAATGAGAAGATGGGGACCGCCACACCGGTCGTCCTGATCTGCTTCTCCTCCTTAAAGTCGCCGTCATTGAAATAGTAATCGCGATCCTCACTCCTTGTCGACGAGTACTCATTCGATGCCAAGATACTGCTTGTGAACCATCTGTCCTGTCCCTCCTCCCACTGCACATAAGTCTTTGACTTGTCCGATATGATGTATTTGTAACTTTGATTGATTGATTCATTGGAATGATTCCAGATGATGTTAGAGTGATTGATCAAGTGAATGAGTGAGTGGACATCACACTTACGAGAATGGAATCTGCTCTTTGTTGAGCTCCATGTCGATCTTCCAGTATGGGTAGTGTTGATCACTCATCTTGATCGCTCTGTCTGTGCGCCAGTTGCCAAGTGTAGTGTTGCTGCCCACGAGATAGACAGAGAGATTTGGTTGCACGGCCGTACATTTGACTTGGAAGTGTATCACAACTCTCTCCGAGTTTGATGGAGAGATGAATGTATAAGGCTTCACATCCGCCTGCTCCCGCTTTAGCAACACATCATTGAAGAAGCATGATTGCAGGTAAGTGTTCTCCGGTGATGATGGACTCTGTGTGCGCGATAGGGATGAGTTGTTAATCGACCGATCATTCTATTATTCATTCAATCATTCATTCGATCAATCATTCAATCACTTACTTGATAGGTATCTCTAACCTCGTGGATGTACTGGCTATTGCATTGAGCGATATCGATCAATCTGTTCTGACCACCCTCCCATATCTTCTCGGCATTGGTGTCCAATACAAAGTACTTGTACTCTACGATACCCTTTTGAGTAGCAGTAGTAGAGGATGGGTATGGTGTCGCTCCATTGCCATTGCCATTGCTGCTTGAATGTGTACCATTGGCACAGGCAGGAGAGAACTCTATTACAATCTCCCAGTCACCATTATCGCTATACTTTAACTTTTTGGCCTCTGTCTCAATCCAACCGCCCAACTCTGGACATGAGCCAATTATATACATCTCCTGGCCAAGCCTAGTATAATAATTGACTTTAAACCTAAATGAATTGGACATTCTTTATCTTCTTTCTATTCTCACTCTCTATGTATGTATGATTGAATGATAATGATAGTCGTAGTAATGAATGAGTAATGAATGAATGAATGCTTGGTTGAGGCTCAATCTTGAGCTTGAAGGTGGTGTGTTTGGGAACTTGGAGACCAGAACAGGGATGCGTCAAACACAAACACAAACATACTTCAAATAATGTGATGTTCACATTCTACGTACTAACACACTCACACACTATTTTATTAATTTAATTTAATTTAATTTACCATTATTGGGAAACAATCAACTTTACATTCATTCCATATTAGGATAATGTGATAATATCCATTTGTCATATATTAATGCCAAATATGGAAGTGAGTTAGTTACCTTTGACCAACACACGCATCTCAAATCTTGTTATGTTAATGCCATGTATCTTTGAACTTGGGACCAAGATGTCAGTGAGTGTGCATGTCGCGACTGACAAGGTGGGGGTTGGTTGGCGACTTGTTGGCGAGCCTCGCTTGGACTGAGTGAGTGAGTGAGTCGCTGAGGACAGAGAGACAGACAGACATGTCTTCACCAAGCCGAGAAGTTGCCGTATGTTGTCTTTGGTTTCTTGGTCTCATTAAGTCGTTCTTCTATTATCTGTCTCTTCAATGTACTTGTTGATGCTGATGATGCTGCTGCCGCTGCTGGAGAGGAGGAAGAAGACTTCTTGGTAGTCGAAGTTACTTGATCCACAAGGTATTTACCAACACCTGTCTTGTTTGTTGCATTTGTTGTTGATGTTGTTGAAGTTGTTGGATTGCTATACCATTGTCCTCGCTCTGATTGATCATATTGATTTGAATCCTTCTCTTTCTTCTTCAACTCTTGTTTCTTTAACTCTTCAAACTCCTCCTCATCCAACGACCTGAATGGATTGTCATAGATGACCACCGAGTTGATCTTGATTGCACTCTGTGGCTTGTCATTGTCATCGACCTTGATCATCTCCATCGTCTTGAGCACCTCCATGCCTCCGACCACCTTGCCAAACACCGTGTGCTTCCTGTCCAGATGAGGACAGGCACGGAATGTGATAAAGAACTGCGAGCCATTGGTGTTGGGGCCAGAGTTGGCCATGCTCAGTATGCCTCGCTCGCTGTGTGACAGTGACGGCTTGAACTCGTCGGCAAACTGCTTCTTCCAAATGGACTGGCCGCCCGTGCCCGTGCCCTGGGGGTCGCCGCCCTGCACCATGAAGTTCTTGATCAGGCGATGGAATGACACGCCATTGTAATAGCCAGTCTCGCAGAGTTCGAGGAAGTTCTCGCAAGCCTTGGGCGTCAGATCGCAGTGCAGCTGCAGGTTCAGGTCGCCCAGGTTCGTCCTCAGCTTGACGTAGCCCTTCCTCTTGGTCTTCTTGCCGGGCGCGTCGGCGGGGTGATCCTCGACGATGTTGTTCAGGCCGAATCCGGTCGATGTGAATGAGGGCGCCTGGCCCGACTGCTTGCGTATTGCCTGTGCCTTGGCCTCCTTCTCGCGTTTGAACTGCTCCAAATCCTTGTTCAATATACTTGTCTTTGATGACTCTGATGTTAAATTACTTGTTGTGACCTTTGATGTCGATGTCGATGTTGATGTGATCACATTCGTGCTATTTGCCGGTGATATTGTTACAGCTGATGATGTAGCCTCACTCAATGGTATACCCTTCTCCTTCAACTCATTGAATATCCTCATTGTTGACTCTGATATGTTGATGTTTGATGTACCCTTGTCTAAACTCGCGAGTTAATTACTACCTCACTTCACCTCGCGACACTCAAACAACATACCATCCTTGATGTCGAGTCCAGCTCGAATGAAGTGGAAGTTGGATAGATTCCTTAGGGAACGGTCGGCAGGGTTCTGTATGGTGAGTATATCGGCCTTGATGAATGGTGTGTCGTCAATGAGATCAAAGTAATGCTTTGCTTCAAAGTTTAGCTTCTGTACAGCCTCGTGGCAGTACACATTTCCAGTCCTCTTGTTGATAACAATATGTGAGAAGTCTGTAAACACCTTCTTCATTATAGGGCAGTGATACTCATCTATTTGTTTGTTTGTTCGGGTATGTTAGTGTCTATTGCCAACTTCCAACTTCTAACTTCCAACATCCAATGTACATACCATCATCATTGACTGCAAAGTTGGCCTTGAACAAGTCTTTCATTGTCATTGGCTTTCCTGTAACAGGGTCCTTTCCATACTTCTTGAGGAATGGAATGATGTTGCTATGTTTGATTGATTGAATGAGTGTTGGTGAATGAGATTGAGTTGATGTTGTCTGTATTCATATAGTTATACTTACAGCATCTCATATATATTACCATCTGGTGTACACATTGGATCATCGAATGGCTGCAATGACAGACTACAACAGTAGTAAGGCAGAGGCTTCTCATTACTTCTCTTCTCCCCCTCCTTCTTTCCACCAAAGTCATTCACCCATTCACTTGCAGTGATCACCAACTTTTGTTTACTCTTTCTTCTAGCCATCCTTATATATATATATTATCTGTATCTCTGTATCTGTTTATGACTTTGAATGACTTTGAATGAATGAAGGTGTGAAGTTGACTCAAAATGAAGCAAATTGAAGAAAACGAGTGTTTTGCGAACTTTGATGAATAAGACGTGTTGGGAAGCCGACCGAGTCATTCTTCATTCGACTTGATACATAAACATATATAGATACAGATACATATAATAATGGAGCAACAACCACAACCTGTTATACCATCGACTACATCATCATCATCAGAGACGACAAACACAAAGCAACCAAAGACTGATGAACCAAAGAAGGTAGTCAGACGATTCGTTGGAAAGAAGAAGTTGGCCGCACAAACATCATCAACATCATCAAACAATGACAATGACAACAACAACAACAACAATGTCACAAGTGATAATAATGCGAGTGGAGACATCGTTGTATCACAATCACAAGGCGAAGCCAAGACCAAGTCCAAACCGAAGGTGTTTGGAAGATCAGTGGCACTACAACAACAGATACCAGATTCAATATTGAAGGATGAAGCACTGAATAATGCAATGGCAGTGTTGCCATCGAATTATAACTTTGAGATACACAAGACTATTTGGAGATTGAGACAGTTGCAATCGAAGCGTGTGGCATTGCAGTTCCCCGAGGGATTGCTCATGTACTCTTGCATCATCTCAGACATATTGAATGCATTTGCCAATGTCGAGACCATCATCATGGGCGACGTAACCTATGGTGCATGCTGTGTCGATGACTACACCGCCAAGTCATTGGGCGCTGACTTTATGGTTCACTTTGGTCACTCATGTCTTGGTACGTGTCGCGTTGTCCATGGTCCATGTCCCTCGCTCGATCGAGTCAATCACTTACTCAATCAATCATACAATCACCCATGTAGTTCCAATTGATGTTAGCGAGATTAATATGCTTTACGTGTTTGTGGATATCCAGATCGACTTGAAGCACTTCATCGAGACACTAAAGTATAACTTTGAAAAGGATACAAAGCTGATATTGGTGTCAACTATTCAGTTCTCAGCATCACTACAGGTATGGCATGTCATTGGCCGCGACAACTCATTGATTGACGGACTCGCCACTCATTTTCCGCGCGGATACACTCTCGCCGCGACCAACTCATTGACATCAATCCATCTAATCATATATAGTTCGCCAAGTCAACACTGATGGAACACTTTGATAATGTATCTATACCTCAAGAGAAACCATTGTCACATGGTGAGATACTTGGATGCACTTCCCCAAAGATAAGAGGCGATGATTTGGTATTGGTGTATCTTGGTGATGGTCGATTCCATCTCGAATCAATCATGATATCAAATCCAATGCTCAAAGCATATAGATACGATCCCTACAGCAAGGTATTCTCACATGAGCAATACGACTTTGAAGCGATGTACACTATTAGACGAACGGCCATTCAAAAGGCCAGCGAGGCCAAACGCTATGGAATCATCTTGGGTACACTTGGTCGACAAGGTAGTCCAAGGATCTTGGATGTAAGTTTGATCAATTAATCATTCACTCAATCTCTCAATGAGTAACTAACATGATCAATCAATCAATCAAACAGCACTTGGAGGAGTTACTAAAGAAGAGCAACAAGGACTACACTATAGTGCTACTCTCGGAAATATTCCCTTATAAGTTGGACTTGATGAATGATATTGAATGGTATGTTTGATTGTTTGACTGATGGACTGGATTGATTTGGCTAACCTTGGAACATCATCATTATTATTAGTTGGATACAAATAGCATGCCCAAGATTATCGATTGATTGGGGATATGCATTCAATCGTCCATTGTTGAATACTTATGAGGCAGAGGTTGCCCTTGGAGGTATCGAATGGCAAACAATCTATCCCATGGACTTCTATTCCAAACAAGGTGGAAAATGGTCCAACTATGCCAGTTGATCAATCAATCAAACATAAACCCACCAAGTACTCTGGTACATATATATACAATGATTTAATACTATTATTATTAATACTACATTGGTGCTATCTAATTGATCAATCATCGATCAATCAATCAGAATGTCCAAGACCAATCAGTGACTTGGCCAACACTTCATCTTCACGTGAGCGACAACGGAGTTTGGAGAATTGGAAACTCATGTGGGAGGTTGGCGTCATGGGTGGCGGGATCGACTGGCCCTTGCTCAGGATGGGAGTGGTGGGTACGGTGCTGGACGAATGACTCAGCGCATTGTTTGACACTCGTGGACTGCATGGCGTAGAGGTTGGCGCATTGGGCACTTTGTAAACCCATTGGATCTCCTCCTTGGGCGCGATGGATAATGGCTTGGACGCTGATGGAGTCTGTGGTGACATCACCGATGGCCTTGGTGAGCCGTGCGATGATGATGGCACCCAGAAGTCGGACAGGTCTGACTCGGAGCCAGATGATACTAACAGGCTGTCAATCTTGCCGAGGACCGCTGGCTTGTCGCCTGCGCCTGAGGTACTGTTGGCGAGTATGGCACTTAGTTTAAGAGATGCTGGCGAAGGGGAGTTGGGCGTGGACGAGCTGCTACCAATGTGCGAGTTGCCGCTGCCCAACAATGATGAGCACGACTTGGTGTTTACAAACAAAGGCTTCTTCTTGGCAGTCTTGTAGCTGTCTTGAAGCGGTGAGAGGTTGGGTGTGGACTGCAGGCTTTGCGAGAGTAGCAGCATGGGCGAGGAGAGGCTGGAGTGCAGGGTGCCGATGGAGGCGGAGGGCGGCGAGCTCATGGCTAGACGGCGGGGCGACTGCTCGACCAGGTCGTCCTTGATGCGGTCGCCCTTGCGCTCGTGCTTGGCGATGTGTCGGGAGAAGTTGGTCAACATCCTCAGGTTGCAGTTCTCAAAGAAGCACAGGTATTTGCCCTGGTTGTCCTGGCGGAATAGGTTGAGACCGTAGTATATCATTTGGTTGCGCAGTTGGACGCCACGCTGCGATGGCTTCATGGGTGTGGTGAACTCCTCATCCTCGCCCTCCTCCATGGGGATGCCCTTGCCCTCGCCCGCCTCGGCGTCCAGACGACGATGCCACCTGAGATGCGAGGACAGGTTGCCCTTGTTGCCCTTGATCGTCTTGCGGCAGCTGTCGTATGGGCAACTGTATGTGCCGTCTGGGTTCTGCTTGACCTGCTCACTCTTCATCTTGTAGTCCAGGTTGGGGAATGGACGCGAGGGAGTGCCGACATTGGCCTTGGGCGAGTGTGTTGGTGTGGATGATGCCGAGTTGGGGATGCCATTGGCGGACGAGCCCTTCAAGTTGATCCCTGGGCAACGATGGCAGCTTGTCATTGAGCGAGAAGTCGTGGTCTGGACGCGTCAGATGCTGTTGATGCGATCGGCGCATCTCGTCGAACTGGCTTTGGAACGAATGATGGTGGTCGTCCAAGTCAAAGGCACCCTCGTCGTCGTCAACGTCGTCCTCATCGTCATACTCTCCATCCTCGTCCGACAGATCCTCATGTCCCCAGTTATTATCATGGTCGGCCACCATCTGTTCAGTTCTTTCAAAGCCATGTCCATGTGGATTAGCGTGTGAGTGGCCATTTCCATGTCCAAGTCCAACTGATGCTCTATTGTGATGATGATTATTAAGTCCTGGCAACAAACTTGAATGTGTTGTGGAGGTGGATGATGAAGGACATAGATGGTCAAAGAGTGGCACGGTCTTTGATCTGAGGAGTTGTGGCGAGGAGGCATGTGGCGAGGTCTCCTCATTTATGGGATGGCCGACCTTTGACTTCTTGGCCGGCGAGTTGAGAACGCTCAACGAGTCAAAATGTTGTGTCTGTCTACTATCATCTCCATTCTCCTCCTTGAATCGTTTATGTATGGATGGTGGAGATTGTTGTAATTGTTGATAGTGATGTTGTTGTTGTAGTTGTTGTTGTTGATGTAGATGATGTTGTTGATCATCACTTATAGAGTTGAGTAACATGTTTAGTTTATGTTGTGGTTCCATCTCTGCAGGCAACAATGTTATGTTAGTACTTGGAAGTTTGTTTCCGCGGGCTCGGAAGTGTGTTGCCACAAGTGCGGAAGTTTGTTTCCGTCGGAGTGGCTACATTATTGTACTTACTTTAAGTTATAAGTTGTATTATATATTATCTCAAAGGTTACCAAGTGATCTTACTACTCTGTGCTATGATTAATTAACATTGATGTTAGTTTAAGAATAGAAAGAAAGAAGCGAGTATGGTGTTGGAGGAGGGAGTGAGCGAGTAAGTTCGAGATGAAGGTTGGTGATAGGGATTGGATTGGATAGGAAATTGCAATGATGATGATTTAGGTATAATAATATAATATAGCAACAATGTAAGTTAGGTAGGTAGGATGCAACCTTCAAGCCCAACCTCAACCTTTTGCCAAACCATCCCGGCACCAAGCAGCAAACCTGCCAGGTCAGATGTTGAGTTGATTGATTGATTGTTTGTTTGATTGATGTTACCATTGTAGTCTTAACGCGTCTCTCTAATGAGACAACAATAACAACATCATCATCATCAACAACAACAACAATAGTAACAACAACTTGGTTGTTGATGTTGTTGTTGTTGTTATTGGATGCATCCAACTATATCCGCAACAACAATAGTAACACATTCACAGTCGTCGTGTGCAGGTGTGGCTGTGGCCGACAAGCCTGCTTGGGGCAGCTAGTGGCTGTGACCGTGACTGTGGACCACAAAGGTGTAATTAGGGAAAGGAGAGCTGGGGAGCTGGAGATGTCACACTGGGTCGTTGACGTTCAGAGGGTCACGTATGATGTAGTCCAGCGAATGGGCGAACAACCGTCATTGTAGTTTACAGTACACATTGAATGAATGAGTTGAGTTGAATGGGTGAATGAGTGGTCATCTAGACCCTTTGGGGTCATGGCATTGAGAATGATCAACCCTCTGATCAGTGGGGGGATGTAGCGACTTTGGATCTGATCAACACACAACTCACACACAATCTCAAACACAAAGTGATTGATGAATGAAGTGAAGTGATAAATAGGTAGCCGATATGAGTATTGTTTGGTGGTATCATGAACTGTTGTTGATGGTGATGATCAATATGTGTGTGTGTGTTGGAGCTTGTGAAAGTGATCGAGGCCTTCACCCCAACCATCATGATGGGGAGCTGTTTGTAAATTTCCCATTGTTGTTGGCTTTGTTGGTGATGGTTGATAATGATCACACATTGGGATACTAGTATGAGTGAATGAATGAACATTCATATGAATGAATAAAATCATTGCATCAATCTATGATTAAGTGAAGTTGTGGAAGTGATGTTCAAGTGCAGTAATGTTGATGATAGTAGATGCTCTTACCAAAGTTGTGTTGTGTTGTGTAAAGTAAGTATGAATTATTGTCTCCAAGGATAACTTATTGAGTACTACTATGATGATTGATTGCTGGTTGGGTGTTGGAAGGTTGTTGATGGTCCTGGAAGTTAGAGGTGTGTGGCTATGATTGCTCTGAGAGTTGGAGTTGATTGCTCTTTAACCAACAACAACAACAACAAAGTAGTTTAGAAAGTAAGGTAGGAAGGAAGGAAGGTTTGAAAGATTGGAGCTGGAAGTGAGTGAGTGAGTGAGTGATGATGATGATGATGACGAATGTTAGTAATTGATTATAAAAGGATTGATATTAATTGATTGACACTCACTCAACAGGAACAACAGCAACAGCATCAACAGCAACAACACCAACTAAACAACAGCAACAACATAACATGTTTTATTACGGATGTTGTAGTTATTGTTGGAATCGATTTCGGTGGAGGATGGCTGGCTGACAGGCCAGCGGACCGTGTCTGGGTGGACGGGTGTGGGTGCGCGGACGGGTGGATTGTTTCTTTGTTGGTTGGGTGGACAAAACATGGCAGCCATGACAGTAGCTGGTGTGAACGGTGACACCAGCAACAGCATCATCCTTCCATCCATCCATCTATCCAACTTCACTGGCTGCCATGCCATCCATCATCAGTAGCAATCACTTCACTCCATACACACTCACACTCACTAACACACATACTATATATCATTCAGCGCAACACGTTCCGTTCCGGTCATAATATATAACATATCAATCAATCCAGAGATGGTTGAGTTGTATACGCCTATCATATATTCTCTTAAATATGATTCATTAAACATGACAACCAGATTCCACTCTCTAACACTACCACCCCTAGCCGATCACCGTGGTGCTCTGGAGTTGTTGATCAACAGGAATTGAATTGAATGGATGTCGGAACATCTGGGTGAAGCTCTGATGATGATGATGATGTGATAGTTAGAGATTAATGTATGGTGTACTCCATCCACTCGCCATACTTACTCCCAATCAACTAGCGGCGAGTGTTTGACAGATATATGTGGGTTCTTTCTGGCTTGGTTGCTGTGTATATACATGTAAGAAAGTAAGTTGAGTGAGGATACGGCGAGTGAGTGAGTGAGAGTAGTTTCATCGTTGCCATGTTCACACACACATAATTACCATCTCTTCACATGCACACTCATACACATCATGTGATTGATTGATACATCATTATTGCCATTCTTGTCCTTTAATTATAATTGTTATCGAACAGATACGCTTTATGAGCTGGTATGAATTAATTCATTCACTTGGAATCCAACAACTACATCCACATTCACCCCTAACCTCATTAGATCAATCATACTCACACACACACGAGTCACTGATGATCAACCCCCCCACCCAAAAAATAGTTGTTATATGTGTTTGTTGCTTCCTATAAGTAGCACCGGCACATCAATCACACAGATGTATCCGTACCCGTACCCGTACCATGATATGATCAATGATTGGACAAGTCGTTGTCAACAGTTTAGATGTGCTGTGACGAAGTGATTGTATAGCTACTACTTCAACTACTACCTACCACTGAGGTTGTGTTACTCAACATGATGTTGATTACGAGAGGATATGCCATGGAACCGAGATTTAACTTTGTGGAATGATGTATTGTCCACATGTTCCTCAATCAATCTTTCGGGCAAATCAATCATCATTATGGTAGTTTGGTGGATGGGAGTACTGATTGGACTGGACTGATGGCAACGAATAAGTATGCCCATTAACAATAACAATGTCATTAACCTCCCCAATGACATCATCCTCAATTCGAAAGGATATGATGGTGTTGTGTTGTCTGGTTAATCATGTCAATGGAACCACCTACCACTCATTTTGATTGATTGATTGATTGTGATTGATTGGTTGATTAGTGGAAACAATGAGTGGACTAATTAATTAATAATAATTATAACATAATATATTATAACACTTGGTTAAAACCTTCCAAGTGGCGGGAGAATTGAGAGAGCAAGCTAGGTAGGCTTGGTGATGTTGTAGTTGGTTGTTGGTTGAATGTTGTTGCTTCACTTACTTGCCAACACTGGCAGGCGAGGCAGCTGATGATGCTGATGATGATGATGAAGATGGAGGTGAGGAAGATGATGAGGAAGAAGAGGAGGAAGAAGAGGAGGACTTGTAACCATGACCATAATTATTATGACCATTGCTATGACTATTATGACTACTACTATTATGATGACTACTACTGTTGTTGTGAATGTTGTTGTTGTTGCTGCTACCATGATGTGCACTAATTGGATGTCCAGCTCTCAAGGATGTCTTGGCAAATGACACCTTTATCGTGTGATCGTCCAGTGTATGTCCATGCAAGGCCACCAAACTATTAATCGATTCTTCCAGAGTACCCATCTCGATCAATGCCATTTTAGAGTTACTCCTAAAGTATGAATGAGTGACATGTCAGTTACCTCATCAATGATTGTTCATTCATCAACAGTGATTGGATACATACTGGAATAGGTTGAATGTCTTTACGTGTCCATAATTGGAGAATAGATCGCGTACTTGGTCTTCGATGTCAGGGTCTTGTGGGAGATTGGAAAGGTGAAGCGTTGTGGAGGGTGGATGGATGTTCAGGTAGTTCTTGGAGCCAGGCATCTTGAAACGATGTGTAACCGAGCCTGTATAATCCTTTGTCAGTTCACTCTGAGCGTCGCCTGTCTTTGGAAGTGATACATTAGTGTGTTTCGATGGATTGACCCTTATCGTATGACCCTTGAATGGAATGTTGTTTAAATATTGAATGGCAAGGTCACTAATTGATTGATCTATGTTAGGTAGATGTTTGATGATGATATGATATGTAATGAGGTACATACGCTTGTTGTGGCAGGTTCATTTGAATCAGTGCAGTGTCCTTCTTGTTGAACATTATCTTGACTCGCAAGGGATCGCCATAGACACCAAAGAGAGTGTAGAGGTCGTCTGGTGATACATCAGTCTCGGGCAGACCACCAACTATCAGTACAGTGTTTGTTGCAACTTGTGGAAACATGGCCATGTTTGGTGCTGCTACCTGAGGTACCATCATCTGTTGTGTAACCATTGGCATAGGTGTTTGTTGTTGTTGTGATTGTTGTTGTGATTGTTGTTGGATTTGGATATTGTGTTGTTGTTGTTGTGGTAGAGGTTGTTGTTGTTGTTGTTGTAGTATCTGTTGTTGTTGTTGTTGTTGTGGTAGAGGTTGCATAACAGGTGTTGTCATTGATGGTATACCAAAGCCAATTGGATTCGAGATCAATGCATTACCAACTGGCAGTGATGGATTGGTAAAATCCCTACTCTTATCATTATTATACTTTATCCTCAAACTTGTTAATGATGAATATTGTATCTTCAAATTACAACATCCATTATATATATTCTGTCCTTCCAGATCCTATAATTATTTGTTTAAGTTAGTCATTAATCAATCAAATATAATTGCCAATCAATCAATTAATATACATACTCTCTTTGCGGCAATCGCTGCCTCTGTCGTCGATAGTTGAATTAGACTCTGGAAGTTACCTTGTTTGGAGAATATCAGTATCTTGAGTATACTGCCATACTTTGAAAACAATTGATACAACATATCAATTGTGACTGGATATAATATATTGGTGATGGTCGTGAGTAGTATATTGTTTGGTGTTTCCTGTGATGATTGATTGATTGATTGAGTGATGTTAGGTCATGGACATGGTCGTGATCATTGTGATGGTCAGTGTGACGAAGTTCATACGATTGATGAATGTGATGTTATCTCATCTCTTGTGGAGAATTGGACAAAGAAATCTTTGGTTCGAATTACTCCTTGGATGTTGCTGTAGAATTGAACAAAGGCAGAGGCATTGTTGAGTTCGGCCATTTGGATAAATGCCTGACCCTTGCCCTTGAGTATCAGGATGTGCTCGACGTGGCCGAATGGACTGGCAAGCGCGATGATCTCAGGCTCGGTGCAATCCATTGGCAGGTTGCGCAGATGGACCACCTTGGATGGTGCCGACAGTGGTGTATTCCTTTGTTTCTTGGATTTACTCTGAACATAATCGTTGTCAGACTGGTATTCCAGTACTCTTTTGTTCGACATTATATCTGCCATACTGTATAGTAGTTGTCATGGTCGAAAGAATAATAATCGGGGAGTAGGTTGTAGGATGGATTGGAGGGAGGGAAGGGAAGGTAGGGGAGGGAGGAGAGATCATCATCAACAGGTTTTGACAAACAACCATAAATAGAGAGGAAAGAAGAAGAGAGAGATAGAGAAGGAGAGAGGAGAGAGAAGAGGTAAGAGGTAAGAGGAGGGAGGGAGGGAAAAGAGAAAGAGAAAGGTAGAAAGTGAGAGACCGAAATAGAAATGGAGAAATGAGAAAAAGAGTAATAGAGAGGAGATAGAAGTTGTATTAGAGAGATGAGGAAATGAAATATAGAGGGTTGGTATGGTAATGTCATTGCTGTTGTTGATCGATCAATCAATCCAAATCATTCATAATAATTATCATGTGATCGCCCTGTGAATAGCTGTTGCTGATTTTGTTGATTATGTTGATGCCATAATAATAATAACAATATTATATCCTGTTGTTGATCTTGTCTTATTGTATAGAATATTATACGTACGACATGATATATATCGATATCCTCTGTTGTTGGCAAGTATGTCTGCCGCTGTTTAGTTTATGTTGTTTGTATTGCCCTGTCTCACAAAGTTCAACAATTCAATCTTATATTATTAAGAGTATGAATGAATGAATAACTCGTTGTTATATGTGTATGTCTATGTCTGTAGTATGTGTGTGAATGATAGTGAAATGAAATTGAATGAAGGCTGGTTGGGTTGTCCTTGTTCTCTCTCTCTATCTTGTTGATGGATGGTGAGGTGGTGGGAAGTGTGAGAGTTAGTGTGTTTACTTGCAAGATGGGATGAGAATCATGCAGTGCGCAAGAGGACACAAGACCACACACTCCCAAACACACCATGCCCCACAATAACCATGCTAAACAATGCAAAATTTGATTTATTAATGTTTTTTGGATTAATCAAATGACGACAAAAGTTATAACTTTATCAAAGACTTAATGTTGTGATTGACTCGCGAGCACTCGACACCATACTGTACACGACTCAAAACTATTCGCCTACCTATTTGTTGTTGATCCCAGGGTTATTATATTTATTTAAGTGGTCCGTTCATCCAAAATACCCTGACACCGACAATGCACCCACCGCTTACCATCTTGGGTTGTTTATGTGCGACTCGTCCGTCCCCATCAATCACATGATGATTAGCCCCTTTGCTGCCTGTCTTTCGGCACGGCATTGCTTCCGGACGATCAACTTAATTGTTTACTTTTGTTAAGTAATATCTAAATATCTTATGATGGATAATATTATTATTATTATTATTTGTTGATGTGACTGACTTGTCATTCAAAGTTAGAATGAACTTGTGTGTTTGTGATCGACTTGGAAATTGTTTTGTTGAGTTGCTGGGTTTGAAAAGGTGTGACGTGTGAGCAAACACGTCTGTTGAGATCAGCTCATCAAAGTTAGAGATAGAGATAGAGTTAGAGTTAGAGTTAGACATAGAGATAGAGTACATAATAATATGTCTGATATTGATACATCATCACCTTTGACATCACGAGTGATGGACAATGACTCTGACACAAGTAGCACGATATCATCATCAACTATTACTTCGTCAACATCATCAATGTCACCATCGACGGAATATGATACAATTGGACAATTGATAGAGATGATAAAGGTCATTGGATATGGTGTAAGAGATTCATTCAAAGTACCATTGGCATTCAAGATATTGTTACATTCAAAGACTTTGAAGAAGTTATATTATAACTGCATACTACTTAATGGTATCATCTTCTTGGGTTCATACCTTGTCTACCTCTATTGGGTCGATCCTACCCTTGAGTACCTTCTTCAACAGTTCCCAATCCTATCCAATATCTTCTCAATGATATATTGTGTAAGTTCATTCATTCATTCAATCATTCAATCATTCATTCATTCATACTAATACCTTCAACTATAGTTACTCTGGGTCTATCCCGTGTATATATTCAGTATGGTATTGAACTCTAGATGGTATACAGAGATTGCCGCCGAGGCATTCCGTATAACAGGCTTCAAGAATACTGGCGGACCAACATCAGTCAATCGTCTGTTGTCTGGCATCGTGGATGAGATCTATCGTAACATCATGTTTGGAGTATTCCTCCTTCTATCAGTGGTCATTGCATTCATACCCTATACATCACTCATCAACTTTGTACTTGTCACCTGGTTATACTCATTCTGGTGCTTTGAGTAAGTCGCCTCTCCATCATCGTCCTCGCCACACATGGTCCAACCCTTACCCTAACCCTTACCCTTACCATTACACTCAACATTAGTTWATAAATGGATACTTAGAGGTCGCTGGACATTGATGCAGCGTCTAACATACTTTGAATCACATTGGGCATATATGTTTGGTTATGGTGCCGTCTTCACTCTTACATCATTCTTCTTCCCAGTGCTCATTGGTAATGCAATCTTTGCTCTATTGTATCCAATGGTATGTTCTTATATCCATCTTCATCCATTCATCAATCCATCCCCGTCCATGACTAACACCATCATCTCCAACTCAAGTTCATCATAATGTCAGTTGTTGCCAAACCAATCAAGATAGTGAAGAAGGGACCATTACCCAAACAGATACCTATATTCTATATACCAGAGAAGATTGTCAACATTCTCTTAAAGACCTTTGTCCTCAAGAAGAATGCCTCATCATCATCATCGTCGTCCAAGTCAAATACGGCTCCATCTACACAACAATAATAATAATAAGTTTAGTCAGTTTAGTTGGCGCGCCACATGTACTCCTGGACATCCATGTTGGATTCCAACCTTGCATACGCGTCCAAGCCAAGCTTGTATCCTCCCTTCCCTTGTATCAGTATCCCTCATTCATTCATGATCGTGATCAGATGATGATGTTGTTGTTGTTTGTTGTTGCTAGGTGATCGATTTATATATATATAATGCATTCTCTCCAATGGTCTTCGTCATTGTCAGAGGTATTGGAGTCAACTCCTGTCTAAATACATGGCTTGATGGCAGCCTCTCTCCTTCATTCCATTCCATCCAACTCTCTCTCTCACATCACATCACATCACTTGACAGTCTTTCTTCAATGTCTTCCTCTTCTTCCTCTTCTTCTTGTTGTTGTTGTGTTCTTCTTCTTCTTGGTCCGTGTCTCCTTGCTTGCCTGCCTTCATCACTAACTCACTCTTACAAAATGATAACCTGTTATTGTTGGAGAGTGGACAATGCGTCAGTTTGAGATGTACTCGTAGACCATGTTACTACTTGCATGATGACGACTTACCAATATACTAATGTTGTCAGTGCTTCCCTTTCTCAGAGCCTGATATAACAGCTTATCACTCATCTTCTGTGCTTCGGTCTCATTGATAATCAGGTCAATGGCCTCTTGATCATTGATGACATCCCAAAGCTAAGTGTAAAGAATGATTGATTGATTGATCGAGTGAGTTAGTGATTGATTGATTGAGTGTATTACATGTAGTATATAGTACTTACACCATCACAGGCTAATATTAAATGGGTATAAGTTTGATCGAGTTGGACGGAGCGTAGGAATGGATCACCGACGACGTACTCCTTCATGGAGTGATCACCAAGCGAGCGAGTCACTGCCAGTATACCATTGACACGATTATTAACTACAAATCCACCAGCCTCTGAAATACGCTTGATCTCTTCTTGGTCCGATCCCTTATGATCCTTTGATAGTCTCTCAGCGACTCCGTTTTGGCTACATGAATGATTGATTGATTGAGTTAGATAACGATGATTGATTGATTGATTGAAGTAACACTTAATATACATACCAAATCACTGAACGAGCATCACCAGCATTGGCAATGTACAGTTGTCTCTCATTGTTGGCATTCTTGCGGATGAAGGCAGTGATGGTGGTTGTACCAGAGAACTGGATTGGCTCAGTGGCCATCTGCGTGTCTGTTGTCAAGTAGCTGCTCCTGATCAACTCTAATATGTCACCCTCTGGGTTGTTGTTCAACTCCTCCAACAAGTTCTATATAGTTGATTGATAAGTTAGACCATCTCATTCAATCAATCAATCAAACTGAATGATCAAACCCAAACATACCTTGTGCAGTGTCTTTGCGGTGAACTCAACGGCACCACGTCCACCGTGGCCGTCGTAGATGGCGTAGAAGCCTTGATCTGGGTTGCCTCCATAGTTATCGATGATCACGTGCTCATCCTCCATGGTCCTGCGGTACCTTGGGTTCTTCTCGTACGACACACCAATGTCCTTGACAGAGGTGAAGCGAGCGGGTGCCGTATGATGCTCAGAGCCAGTGGTTGGTGCGCTGGTTGTGTCGGCCAGCGGTGTCGATGGAGGCTGATCAGGGTTGCTCGAAGCCTCAGTGTTTGTGGCGGTAGTAGAAGAAGTAGTAGTGCTGTTGTTGTTACTGTCTGTCGATGATGATGTTGTTGATGACGTGGTGTTTGTGGCTGCTGCGTTGGTCGTGTTTGAAGGCGTGTCGATTGAGACCTCGAGACTGTTGTTCGCATTGCTCTCGACCTGTGTGGCAGTGGTAGCATTGACTGTCTCCACTGCACTCTGTATATTACTATCTGCCATCACAGACTCCTCTATGATATTATCTTTTTGTTCACTCATATTTTGATTGATTGATTGATTTGATTGATTAAGTACACTATGTATGTATAATATATCTTATATATATATGTATATGTGTATGTTATCTAGATGATCGTAGTTTTGGTTGTCACTCTCTATTTCACTCTCACTCTCTTTAGCAATGTGTTGGCGCGCAGGAGTGAAGTGTGAGTGTGTTAGAGTTAGTGCGATGTGTTGGAGCACTTTGGAAGTGAGAGTGGGTTGTTTGTTCTTCCACTCACTGATTCATAATTAAAAAAAAATTAAAAAAAAATGGGGGATAACCAAGATTTGAATTTGAAATTGTTCACTATGATCATCATCCCGCTCATTCAAATTTGATTGTCGTTGGTGGGTATTATCCCATCTATCCCATAAACTAATAATTATTAGTTATCTATTATTAATATCTACATATATATGATGATGTTTGTTATCTGTACTAGTATTCCATTAATATTTGTTTGGATCAAACCATGGTTGTTTTTGACTTAAATCCATCGAACCTCCAACACTACCCCAACATCAAGATACTTTGACGTTTGAATTCAAACAAACACAGAAATTTTAATTAATGAGGTACATGATACATGACATCATCATCACATTGATTGATCTTCATCTTTATTATTAATATATATATTCATACATTATATACATATATCAGGTGTTGTAGTAGTAATACTTCTAAAGTCAACAACACAATAACAAACAACAACAAGGATGGTGAAGAAAAGACCACAAGGCATCGTATTGCCAATCGACACAAAGTTGTCAAAGTCAGGTATGTTTGGATAATGATTGAATGATTGAATGATTGAATGATTGAATGAATGTAACTAACTTCGATCCCTCGCTCATTCAATCAATGAATATAGTGTTCGCAGATTGTAAATATGTGTTTGTTGTGGACTTGCAAAGTTATACTGGACTCGCTTGTAATGAGTTGCTACATCAGTTGCTGTTTGGAACAATTGCTGATGAGAAGGAGACGGTTGTGGTAGTTGTGATGAAGGCAAAGTTTGCTCCGCGCTGTCAATGTGGCATCGGTGAACGCAAGGTCGACTACTCATACCACAAGCACAGGTTTGTCAAGGAGGGCGATGGCAGGATAGTGCTGCAGCTCAAGCCAGCCGAAGGCTCCAAACGGTACCGCGACGAGCTGATCCACTATCTAATCTCAATCGTACCCGATCGTGTCTATGTTCACTCTGAAGACTATATCGATGCCAGCTGCAAGGTGTTCTCTCTGATCACTCCCCAGGAAGAGACAATGCCACTCTTTAATTGCTTTGACATTGGAATGCGATTCGACTCACATCAAATGCAGCAGGAGGAACATCTGGCGAATGGTGGTGGAGAGGGCGGTGCCGATGGCAGCATCAGTCGCACCTCCCCCGTGCTGACCAGCACCAGCGCCAGGAGGATGGGCACTCCATCCAAGTCCACGCCTTCCAAGGCGTCTACATTCGGCTCAGCGACCAAGAAGCTGAAGCCAAAGAAACAACAAGATGATGGTGGCGCTGGACGCCCTGGCACAGAGCAGGATGTTGGCAAGGTTACCAAGAATGTGGAGCAATGGCTGGAGCGAAGACATAAGAATCCCAACGATCGAACGAACCTCCCCAAGACGCGCAAGGCCTTGTTGAGTGCCATCTCTCCATTCTGTACATTGTCTAAACCATCGGATATCAGACCGATCTTATCGACGCTGGCCGACGCAGGCGATCTCATCCTGTGTGTGGTTTGCCAGTCGGCGCGTCCATCAGCGCCCAACTCATCCTCGTTCTACTTCACGCACAAGAAGATCGATGCCGACCTCATCAAGCACTGCCACACGATGATGACCATCATCAACATGCAGTACACCAACAATAAGGAGCAGGCCGTGTCACTGACCGCCATATCCAAGGGCTCTTTCAAAGAGCGAGTCGTGGTCGATGCCAGTCTCGTCGTCGACAGGTTGGTCGCCAATGGGACCATCGCCCTGGTGCAGAGCGAGTGTGATGGTGGGAACGACAGGGACAGCTTCTCAAACTCGTACGGCTCGTTCATGGGAGACAAGCATGCCGCCAACGATCAAGCTGTCATATATAAGCAGTACCAGGACAGCGCCGATGTAGATCTAGACAATCTGTTGTCGATGCTTAACGCCAGCAGGGAGTATACTCTTCCTCCTCCTCCTCCAACCATGTCCACAGAGCCATTCCTCATGGGCTGGACAATGGATATTCAACCAACTCCTTTGCCACCACCACCTCCACCACCTCCTTTCCAAACACTTCCAGCCTCGCCAGCTTCGCCACCTCGAACACTTCCAGCTGCGCCAGCTTCCCCACCAACTGGCAAGTATACCTCAAAGTACTACGCCAACAAGCCAGCCAAGGACTACAGCTTCTTTTAAAAGATTAAAAATGAGAGAGGAGATGTATTTTGTTTTGTACGCCAGCGTTTGTTTGTTTGCTTGAGCGCGGAGAGTTGCCCCTGTGGGCAACTGGAAGTCGCCACATCATGATGGGCAAGGGGGGGACGGAAAGGCAGTAGTGTAGTAGGACTACTGCAAGATTAGTGTGTACCATTGTTGGCAATGCTGGCACCGCCATTGGTGCTGAAACCTGGGGATCTATCTCTCTCTCTGGTGCGGGGTGCTGGGGAGCCGTCTCTGTCTCTGGATCTTGCTCTGTCTCCGGCATCACCGGATCTGGTGGAGCGCTCCAAAGACTTTGATCTCTCCCTATCCCTGGATCTCTCCCTATCTGCTCCCTTGGACTTGTCACCGCCACTGCCACCACTGGCGACTCTGAACGATGACCTGTTCTCTCTGGATCTAGAGCGGGAGCGAGACCTTCTATCTCTTGATCTCGATCTTGATCTATCTCTGTTGTTATTGTTGTTAGTAAGTATGGATGTGTCAGCGAGAGTGGATGGTATGCCTTACCTTCTACTTCTGTAGTCTCTGTCCCTGTCGCCACCTCCGCGGCTGTAGGGGTGGACTCTTCCATCTCTTCCTCCGTCTCTGTCTCTTCCTCCGTCTCTTCCGCCGTCTCTTCCTCCTTCTCTGTGGCCACCGCGTCCACCACGTCCACCGCCATCACCACCGCCGCCACCTCCCTCACGGTCGGGACATTCCTTGGCCCAGTGACCCTCTTGCTGGCAGTGGAAGCACTTGCCTTCGCCTGGCACTGGACGTCTGGTTGCAGAGCTGCTCTTCTCGACGACAATCGATCTACCTAGGAAGTTGGTTCTGTTGCTGCCATCAATGGCATTGTCTGCAGCTTCCTTGTGTGCGAATTCCTAACAGAGCGGCGCGCAAGGGATTATCAGTTTTGGTTGTTCGTGCCAACGTTGGTTCGTCGTCGTTCGTTCGTCGTCGTCGTCATCGTCGTTGTCGTTTGATTAACGCGCGCGCATTGCAGTTGTTGTTGTTGTTGATGGTGTATGAGAGGGACCCTATTAAGCACCGAGCACCGAGCAACCTAGCACCGAGCATCGAGCATCAGCAGAGAAAGCAGAGAGGGCGAGCAGCAAGACACAGAGACAGAAAGGTGAGTGACACAAGCTGGTGAGCTCTAACGTGAGCGCGCGTTCGATGGTTCTCCTAGTCCAAGTCCAAGTCGCAGCCGACTTTGTTCGTCATTAGTCCGTCGGTTCATCAGTCAGTCCGTTCAGTCAGTCAGCCTGTCAGTGGGGGAGTTCAATCGCAGATACCTCGGGGCATTCGGCGCACACGGGATCAACCCAGCAGCTTTGGACTCTGGGACACACCAGTTCATCCATACTTTTGGTTCATTCTAACCAACCAGTAACCAGCGCAGCGAGCGACCTTTGTTCAACTTTGACAGACAGAGCAATAGAGCATACGAGCGAGCGAGTGAATGAACGACTCGTCGCCGACGCTTACAGAGTGGTTGGTTGTGTTGCGATGCGTGACGTGGGGGGTGGTGCACAGGGACGCTAATCAAAGCGTTCATGTTTTGTTTGAGGAGATCATACGATAAAGGCGAATCCTCTCTTGAGTTGGATGTTCGTGATTCTGCCATATCGGTCAAAGTGTTGCTCCAAGTCTCTCTCGCGTGCATCAAATGCAAGTTGTCCAATGTAAACTTTTGACATTATTTCTTTCTTTCTTTGATTAATTGATTGATATATCTGTTGTTTGGGTTGATTAAATATTAAATATTATATGATTATATATATATTATATTGTATGTGTTAGACTAGTGATTATATAGTTGATAAATATATATATGTATATAAATATCTGATTTATTATATAAATATAATTCTATATCTATTTAATTATAATACAACAATGATGAAGATGTGAATGAATGGATCATGAGACCAACAAACCTCCATCAACAACTCAACTTCATTTCACACACTTGTTGTTGTGGAACAAACTCCAAAAAAGTCAATTGTTTGATTTTAATTAATATATTTATCACCTTGTTGGAAGTTCATTCCATTCATTCATTCCATTCTTCCAACTCCAGTCCTAGTTCATGACTACACATGTTCCCAACATTGTTGTAATGGTGGATAGTAGACGTCTGCTGAATGGTATGATGACACCTCCTTGTATCATGTGAATTCTAATGTGTTCTACATGTTTGAATATGTCTTGTTGGAGATGATGAAGTGTCGTTCCAATCTTTGTTATGTTCTGTTGTAGTTCACCTTTGATATATGATGCAATTGTAATATCAATGTCATTGATCTGAATTGTCAATGAGGTGATCGATGATGATGATGATCGTTTAGTTAATGTTGGAAGTAGTTGACTAACCATCGCAATGTTGGGAATGGACAATGTCAACGATCTTAGATTGATCGCATTGTCATAGAACTCTTGAAGTTCAATCGTACCAACATCAATATTGTTGTTGTTGTCATCTAATACAATGTGCAGTCTAACTAGATGACTTGTGAGTCTGGATAGAATTGGTATGTAGTTTGGTCCAATACGTATTGATGTTATGTGATTGAGTTGTTACAGTTGTTGCAGTTGCTGATCCTCTTGCTCTGCTATAGTGTAATCCCTCATTGTCTCGACTGTAAGGTCAACATGATATGTCTTGTGAGCAGATGGCATGACATCTTTGAATGGATTATATGTCGAGAACGATGAACATCCAATTGATTGTAATGATAATGACTCATTACTCTTCATTATACCATTGTAGAGTGATTCAAACATCATCCTGTCGCAATTAGCTTCAGTAGTTTGAACAGTTTGTTCGCATACTATTGAACCATATGCTGGAATATCGCCTTTACTTTTTAGATCTAGGAAGTAGATCATATATCCTGCTCACCTGGGTGAAGCGAACATTCTTGAGGTTGGGCATTGCCACCGTCATCATAAGGTATGAGCCGCCTGATGTTAAATCCGGATCCATAGAGTTGACCATATTATCACGAATATCGAATAGGATTGTCAAGGATTCCAAACGATTTAGACTTTGTAGTTGGTGCTCATCTGGCACATGAATGATCTCGGTGCCAAAGAGATGTAAAGGAGGTTGTTTGAACAGGCAGAACTTGGCACCAATGTCCACAAAACCTAGTAGTCTGATTGACGCTATTGGCTTGTTGGTCAAAGTCATGCCTTGTGGAAGTGTGTGGACACCGTGGCCAATGACACCAACCAAGTCTGATGCGCCACGGGAGCAAGGGTGGAATCTCCAACATGTAGCAATATTGCCAATTCCACAATATGATTGAGTACCAATGTTGTGAGTGATGACGTAGGATGTTTGTGATCATGATGATCAGTGGTGTCGTTGAATCTGATATCAATGAGTGATTGATCACTCTTGAATGTTTGATAGAGTTGCTTATGATTGATGTAATCCTGGTCTGTGAGTGTGGCCTGGAGCGTGGCCAATAGTCAAAGACAACTCATCATATATTATCTTTTGTGTGTCGTCGTTGATATTTTTGAACAATAATACGTAATCCAGGTTACCTTTGCGTATTGACGCAGCATTGTCCTTCCATGATTGGGGGCTAATAATAATTTTAGAACTGAAATGCCTGTGGATCTTCATCAACTTGGGTATTGATGGATCCTTTAGCTCGTTGCTTAGGTCATCAAAAATAATAATATATTCTGGAGCAACATACTTGGGCTTGGCAGGTTCTTTTGGAGGTGGCAGAGCGTATGGCCCGATCAGAGGATAAGACTTGATCATTGGGACAGAAGAGTCTCTCAATGGCATTTTGTTGGGATCGCCATGAGCAACTTGAGGACTAGCCGGTTGTTGTAATGAAGAAATAAATTCATCCAATAAATTTACCTTACCATCCTTGATACTTGTAAATGTTTTAAAGTCAATCCCACGTTTGGTCATGTCATCCTGGATGGCCACCCAACTGAGATCATTGTTTACAGTGGCGCAGAATATTATCACCTTGGTGTTCTTGCCTGCACACTCATCAATTATCTTCTTGATAGTCACAGTCTTACCACTGTTCTTGGGCGCGCATATCAATATGTTGGCGTAGACCTGGTTGAATAGTTTGGATCCTTTAATGTTCTTTGGTTGTTTTGGTAGTTTGATTGGCTCTACCTCTACGTCATTTATWGTWTGTAGCTTGATCATCTATATTATTTAGGTAATACTATTGTTGTCCCCCTACTTGACAAACTCTATAGCAATTGTAACAGCAACCGCCTCTTTAACTCGACCTCCTTTCTCATTTACACACTCAAAATAATAATTTCCTTGAATGTATCTTCCTGCTTTSTTCAAGAACTTGTAGTTAGGGGAAAGGAAACATATCTGCTCAGTGCTACAACACAAAATGTTGTCAGGAATTAAATTAGATCGTACCTGAATAAGATTGGTGGTATCACCTCTGTACATAACTTCATATGACTTGACAATTATTTGGTCTGGAACGAAATCAACATTTATTGGTACAGAAATTCTTTTGTCAACAGGAGGGTTCTCCCCATCAGCTGGAAAAACAAGATTGACAAACAATGTCTTTATGCACATTGCTTTTGAGTATCCCATTTATATTAACTAACATAGATTTAATTGGAGCAATCTCCAATTAAATCATGCTTGGCCTTTATTTACACCAAAACAAGGCCATTAGGTGTGATGACCAGCTTACGTTTGCACACCACAGTTGATTGATGTGTCAAGTTGGTATTTTCGCTTAGGAAACCAATGAAATCCCATTTCTGTTCACCAAGGTTGAGATCAATACCAGTGATAGCGTTGTCCTTGTTGAAGTTGGAGGTGCCGTCGCCAAACTCCTCAATCCAACACCAATTCCTGTTGTGGATTCTTGGTGTCAATAGTGATGAGTCTTTGAGGATCCATCGCAGTGCCATGTAATCATCGTTAAGGTTCAAATAATAATCATATTGCATTAACCTGTTATTGTTGATATTTGTGTAAAAGTGATCCAACTTGGTGTTTCTCCAGTTATTGTTGTAAATGGCTGTATTTGCTGCAGTTTGTGTTAGGAAAAGACTGTGATAGATCCTCTCCAACGTCATACCATTTTGTCGATTGACTCTGAGATCTCAGAGTTGGCATTGTCGCCTGTCCTCTCGTTTTGACGATAACAGTATGTATGATTGTCTGTTCTTCATATCTGATGAAGACGATGTCACCATCCAGTGATCCAAATATTGATCAACTTTGTTTCGACCAAATTTGGCGATCAAACATTGATATGCATCGACAAGTTCATTCCAATTCTTGTCTTGGGTCACTCTGTCATGCCCCATCAACATTATGAAGTGGTTGAGATAGGCGACGAACAGTCTATCCAACTGATCACCATCCTCACCGATAGCCTGGATGAGTTGTCCAAGTATTGGAGGATGGAAAAGGAATGGACCATCAGGGATACAATCAACATCTATTGTCCCAATTGATATAAATGCTGCCGCGACATCAATTACACTGACATTCGTACACCTAAGGTTTGCCTCAATCTCATTCACATTGACGCCAAATCGTGAAAATGCAGAAGATGTGCCCAACTTGATTGTTTGTAATACCTTTTTGATAAATGGCCGAATAAATATATGTTTCTGGAACATCTATAAATGGTGTCAGTGATTGGGTATGTGAATAAATGATTTATCATAAGTGTGGAAGTGATAGGAATGGCTCCAGTGAGTGATTGAGTGTTTGAGTGAGTGAATGTGAATGATTGGTATGATTCCAAAAAGTGATAGAGTGATTGATCAATGATACATACATCTGCCAGCTGAGTTATGACAGTCATGATATCTGAGAATAAGTAATATTGGTAGAAGCTCTCGACTGTAGTAGTGGGTTCATTATTCTCTATTATCTCTCTTAGTTTGGAGTTGTTGATTGCCCATGACGAAGATCTTTATTGTTGCTCTCCAGATGATCTTCGTATTTCATTCATATCTTAAATATATATATATATATATTATCTGTTGAATTATTTGTTGATGATATTTTTATAATGATCGATCTTGTCAAGATATTTGGATTGTGATTGCCATTGAACAGAAGCTTAAGATATTTTTGAATTTACCTGAAACAAATGGGTGAACCGTAAATTGAAAGTTGGGAGTACTTTGTGATTGGTTGATGTCAACTAAACTTCGCAAGACTAGTCATACATTCATCCATTCAATTATTCATCAAGTATTAGTATAACAATGTCATCTTTTGATGAAGATATTGATGAAGAACCATCCTGCTATGAATTTAGTTATATAAGAAGTAGTAGTAATAGTGATAATAGTGATAATAATGATGATGGTAGTGAAGTAGATGATGACGACGACAATGATGATAATAATGAAGAAGTTGATTATAATCATTATTATCATTTTAAGAATAATTATAACAAAAGATGTATTATACCTTTAGATGAAGAGGTGATTGAATGGAATGAGTATATCAAACAACGTCCTCGTATTGTTTACAAAGATATTAAAGATACCTTCTTTGTCCCAAACAGCGATCATCATCTACTCTCTCAGCTTCATTCAACTGTTGACATCATAAATGCATTGCCATCACTATCAAGAGTAAGTGAGTGAGAACTTGATTGATCAAATTGTTTGATTGATTGATGCTAACTAATATCTTGAAGATGTTCAATGATGTGCCACAGCTAAGATCAGTGATCATTGATATGTTGGAGGCCATCACATTTGTAACGACATGTACTCATCATGATCGTTTCAGAATCATCAATGTTGTACAACTGGCAACATTGCCTGGATTGAAGATCACTCCTTATGACATTACATCATCATTATTGGCTATTGCAACGACAAACTATGAGTGGGCAATGCGACGCCTATCATTCCTCTTCACTCCTGCATTCATCAACGCAATCATTGAGGCGTATGGATCTGATAAACCCAAGGTCGAGTCATTGATCGATCAATATTCAAACCTTTTGATCACTCTCTTTGTTGATGATAAGAACAATTATAAGAGATATCAATCAGATTTGATCAATGCTTACCATAGTGTGTCATCGACATTTGGACACTCGCGATTGGAAGAGAGGATCGATCGATGGTTCATCACAACACAGTGTATATCACCTTCACGTGACTCTGCGGCAAGGCTATTCTATTTGGCAGTGATACACGACAAGACTCAATCAAAGTTGCTTATCAATCACAAACATCTCATTCAATCATTCATCATTGCAACTCTTGGTGACAAAATATACGCTCAATTACACCGGCTGGATGGTGTAGATGTAGTCAGATCGCTAAGAGATGTGTTGGACATTGTGATGGAGGTGAACAATGATGATATACAACAACAGGTATCAACACTCTTGGAGAACGGCAATTGCCTCAGTCTGATCCTCACATTCCAGGTGTTCCTAACACATCTCCGATCAATCGAACCATACTTTGCCACTTACATCCGACGATCACTTCCAAAAGAAGACACCAACACAATGATCAAACGAATGGGATCTTCGTTCATCAAGGTAAGTGATACACTAATCAATCAAGGAACTATTCCAATCACTCACTCACTCACTCACTGTCGCCAAATCAATCAATCACACGACACGATTCAGATCTTTGAGGATGATTATGAAACACGTAGTTGGATTTTAACAAGATTCAGGAATCACTCTGATATTCAAACATTGTTTATGTTGGATGGGATCACAAGCTGTTACAAGACGTCTGGTCAAGAGATATCGCAATCACTGATCAAATATCTAAATATAATTTATAACTTTGACAATGCCACTGTGTACTACCACTACATATCCATACAATCATACAATGATATGATTGCTCGAGGCATGATCAGAGTGTTTGAAGCCACGGGCAACATCAAGAACCTCCACCTTGGCATGTCATACCTCATCAGTCACAAAGGTGACAATCAACAACAACATGACGACTGTGATATTGATATTGATTCAATCATCGACAAACATCAATCAGTAATCCAAACTGAATTGAACTATTTCCTTCGGTGCCACAATGAGTTGGTGGCAAACTTTGATCTGATCACCAAGTTCCAGCAACGATCAATGATTGACAGTGTTCATGTAGTGGATATCCTTGGCATCATGGCACGTTCATCATTGTCATCGAACTCAAACGTTGTTGTGTCTGTGTCAGCATTCATCAACTCATTCCAAAATCCAAGCGATATATGGATACAATACATTGATGTGGCGATGGATTGCCATAAAAACTGTAGAGTTGGCAAATCACGCAAATCATCAATCACAATGATCATGGCTGCCAATACATTGAGAGATCAACTCTCACACGCTGGGACAGTCCCAGTGTTCCATCTACTCAAGTATCTGTACTGCATGCAGACACTTGGTTTCAACTTCAAACGAACCAAACACATCCTGTTGGATACGCTCGACCATCATGATGAAGTGTTCATTGAGCAACGGAGACTCTTCAAGGAGTTCAAGAGATCCCAGGTGTTATTGATTGACTACAACAAGGCACACCCTTGTAGAGGCGCATCCATATCCATGTCCACTCTCCCATTGATCATAATCAACAAGATTGTTCAAGAGTGTATAATTGGATACATTGATGACAAGTTGGACCAAGCATGGTTGGTGTCATTGTCCACAGTCAACACGCAATTCCACCGTGTGTGCTCAATGACCATCACTCATCATTCACTTCCAATCAAACTCTGCGCGCCACTCTCATATTTTGGATCGAAGTTCTGTCTCTTCACAGACACACCCCCTCGAATGAATGCAATGGAGTTGGTTTACATCCCAACACAACATCTTCCACGATGTCTTGACCGCCTGGTCCATTTGTCGGTGCCATTCACAACAAATCATTGGAATTCAGACTATGAACATGAACACCGCCCATCATTCATCATGGTCAATGCGCCCAATCTCCAGCGGATCAGTTTTGTCGAGTGTGTCTTTACACAACGCTACAATCTCAAACTGATCAAGTTGCTACTCAAAGATTCAACTGATCGCAAGCAATATTACAAACTCCGCCAATACACATTCAAAACTCTGCTAAAGTCAATGTACAACAAATATGTTTGTGATGACCGGCCACATCTCAAACTGATCGACTATCACACAAACATCACTCTCGACCCATGTCCAGCAACAATCCACGAGGAACATGGTAATGATCATCTGGACATCACCACTAGACTACACTTCCATGGATACAATTGTACCCTTCATCGTTCAAATTTAGATTCGCCAATATTCCCAAAGGAGATGTACTTCCTTGAGTTGCCCCTGTTCCTCACCTCTGACTTGTTACCATTGCCTCCATTCGAATGTACATTGATTGACAACCTGCTCATCAAGATCCCCAACAAGAAATTGAGTCAAGATATTCCAGAATCCAAAGACAGACTTGGTCTAATGTATCAACACAATCAATCCAAATTATTCAAGTTGACATTGGATATTCCCGATCTATACAGGGTGGTCGACATACTTCCACATTGTCCAACAACCATCACATCATTATCAATCAAACTGAATGATTTGAGATCAGTGATCAAGAGTCAGATTAATGGATCACTAGCCCAAGACCTATCTCAATTGATCACACACCTGAATCAACGATCACTATTTGGTACCCTGACATCACTCTCAATGGTAGTGCACGATCCCATCTACATTGGAAACAGGACCATCTCGCTCAGCCATGTCCTGCCATCTATATCAATGCAAAAATAATATATGTCTCAAGCCAGGGCCAAGGCCATGGTTATTCATTGTTTTAATGTAAATATAATATATATTCGTGTTTGCGTTATGCTGTCTGAGGCTCAATAGTCGGTGCGTCAGTCAATGGAGTTTGAGTCGTCGTGGTTGTAGTTGTTGATGATGCTGTTGATGTTGATTGAATATCCTTCTTCACATCTGGCTCAGGGATTCCGAATGGTCGTGGTCCGAGGATCTTCTCGATATCCTCGGCATGAATCACTTCCTTTGACAAGAGCAAAGCGGCCACTGCCTCCAAACCCTCCTTGTGCTCCTTCAACACCTCGGTGGTCTTGTCATAGGCACGCTGCAACAGGATTCTGACCTCCTGGTCCATGATTTCGGCCGTCTCCTCACTGTATGGCTTGGTCAGGTCGGAGCTGTCCTTGCGCGGGTATGACAACGGGCCGACCTTGTCGTTCATTCCGTAGATGCCCACCTGGGAGTAGGCCATCTTGGTGATCTTCTCCAGGTCGTCCTGGGCACCAGTGGTGATCGTGCCAAATGTCATCTGCTCAGCGACACGGCCGCCAAGTGCCATGCACATCTTGTCAAAGATCTGCTCCTTAGTGTTCAGGAACTCCTCCTTGGGCATGTACTGGGCGTAGCCTAGCGCGGCTACACCACGTGGCACGATGGACACCTTGAGCAATGGGTTGCAGTGCTCCAGGAACCATGAGACGACGGCGTGTCCAGCCTCGTGGTAGGCTACCGTCTTCTTCTCCTGTGGCGACAGCACCTTGTTCTTCTTCTCCAGTCCACCAATGACACGGTCGATGGCAGCGTCAAAGTGCACCAGTCCGATCTTCTCAGCGTCGCGACGGGCGGCAATCAGGGCGCCCTCATTGCACACATTGGCAATGTCGGCACCAGAGAAACCTGGTGTGAGCCTGGCCAACTTCTCAGCATAGAACTCCACGTTGTTGTCCAGAGTCAGCGTCTTGAGATGAACGACAAAGATCTCCTCGCGCGACTTGAGGTCGGGGTTGTCGATGGTGATCTGGCGATCGAAACGACCTGGACGCAGGAGCGCCTGGTCCAGGATGTCGGGACGATTGGTGGCGGCAAACACAACGACGTTCTTGAGTGGTGTGAAGCCGTCCATCTCGACCAGCAGCTGATTGAGAGTGTTCTCACGCTCGTCGTTCGAGCCAGAGAATCCACCCTTGCCTCTTGCGCGTCCAATGGCATCAATCTCATCGATGAATACGATACATGGTGCATTCTTTCTCGCCTGCTCAAAGAGATCACGCACTCTTGCGGGTCCAACACCAACAAACATCTCGACAAAGTCCGATCCTGAAGTCGAGAAGAATGGTACATTGGCTTCGCCTGCGGTTGCCTTTGCTAGCAATGTCTGTTTGAATGGAGTTGAAGTTGAGTGAGTTAGTGATTGACTGATTGATTGATCGATGAATGATGATGAACACTAGGGTTACCTTTCCAGTTCCTGGTGGTCCAATGAGGATTGCACCTCTTGGGATCTTGGCACCAATGTCATGGTAACGCTTGGGATCCTTGAGGAAGTTGACAAACTCCTCGATCTCGACCTTGGCTTCGCCCAGGCCGGCGACATCCTTGAAGGACACCTTGGCATCGGTCTTTTTGAATTGCTTGGCGTTCATCTTGCCCGGCGAGAACATGTTCATCTTGTTCGACTTGGACGTCATGGACTTGTACATCCTGAAGGCAAAGTAGGCCAGGATGGCGTATGGGATCATCTGGATCAGCACGACGCGGTAGTCCGTGCGCTCAAAGTAGGAGACGGGAAGGAAGTTGTTCTTGGTGATTCCGCTCTGCGTCTGCGCCGCCTCGAGCTGCTCCTCAAACACCTTCTTGTCGCCAATGGGGAATGTGCCAATCACCTGTTGGTCCTGACCGAGGACGACGGCGACGTTGTTGTAAACGCGGATCTTGGTGGCGGTCTTGTCGGGCAGCACCTTTGTGATGAACTCGCTGAATGTCATGTGCGTGTCCGAGTCCTCGGGCGACTTGGGCGTGAGCAGGTACATCAGGCCGCCCGTGGCAAAGATCGCGCCCAATATGCTGGTCATTGAGGGTGAGCCGCCCTCGTCCTCGTTCTTATCGTCGTCCTTGTCCTCCTTCTTGCTGCTCTTGTCGTGTCGCCTGTCCTTGACGTTGTCCTTGTTGTCCTTGGCGTTGCCGAATGTTTCCTCTGCAGCCTTCTTGTCGTCGGACGTCTTCTTGTCCTCGCCCTCTGCGGGCTTGCTCTCGTTCTTCTTCTCAAAGTTGCCCCAGCCCTTGTTTGCCAACAGCAATGAACCATTGCCACTACTGATCGCTCTCAAGTACTCAATCGATCTCTGTTGATAGTATTGTAACATATTCCTTAATCCATTTTGTTGATTATCATCGTTGTTGTTATTGTTGTTACTATTGTTGTTTGTGTTAAAGTAATGTCTACGCAGTAGTGATGTTGATGTTGTTGTTTGATTTGTACAGGTGTAGTTGTTGTTGTTGTTGAATAGGCTGTTGTTGTTGAATAGGCTGTTGTTGTTGGCTCCACTCAGTCTGATGCCATTGCCGTTTATACTATATAATGATGATGTTGTTGATGATGATGACGAGGAAGTAGCACGTCTCAACCTATTGCTAGATTGAGCAAACAATCTAAACTGTGTAGACATCTATGTATATATGTTGTTTTGATTGATCAGTCGATTGAGTTGATTGATTGATTGAGTTGATTGAGTTACTGTCGAACGACAACCTGTGTATGTTATATTATATGTATTATATATATGTATGTATGTAGGCCTGGTTGGTTGAATGAATGAATAAGTGTTGAAAGAATGATAGAATGACATCAATCGTCATCGTTTTGTCCACACAATCATTACCATCTTCTATTTTTTCAATTATTTTTATTTTCTTTTTTGATTCCACCCTTCGAAATTGTACACCATCTCCCTTCTAGACAAGTTTATTGATCCAACTTCATCTAACAATGACACATATATACTAGCTGTCTAATGAATCACTTATTTGATTGTACAATCAATCAGTTGAAAGTATCTGTGGTGGCTTATATAAAACTCTTATCAACAATGAGCATGATAACTACCAGGCGTTTGACATCACTCACTCTGATTGATACTCAAACGATCGTCATGCTCCTTGATGTTGATAATGAGTAGAGTAGAGTAGAGCTTGGCCAGGTCCATTGCCAACAGACACCTTGATACTAGTATGTATGTCTCACTCAATTAACTCCAAGGCAATCAATCAAAAAAGGTTGCCCTTGGTCCTTCGTTCAATCAAAAAAATATCCAACAATGGGGAGAATGTGTGTGTGTTTGAGTGTGGGTATTGACTGACTTGATCGTGGGGGTGTGGACCTGGACTGTTTGGTTCAGAGTATGGACTCTGGAGCAAAAGCAATTCCTACAAGTGATCATAACTCAACTACACTCAAACATACATACACACATATATAAACATAACATTAACAGACATTCATACACATATTTATACATCACTGACGTGCCCGGCCCACGACTATTCATTCATTCACCACATCCCCAGGGCTCACTCACTTCAACTCAAGTTCGCCCCACACACTCACACCCCCCTTTACCAAAGATCATCTTTGCCGACGACACGACCTCTTGGAAACTTCATCTACTTAATCATACTTCATTCACACATTCACTCATTCACTCATACATACACACATACTTATAATATATACACTTATAATATATGAGTAGACAGTTCAACAATCGGAGAGGTGGACCACCTCCTCCGGTCAACCCTTCATCACTACCTAATGGTGCACCAGCAGCACCTCAACAATCAATGATCAACTCTGACGACAATGTTATAAGTCCATCAAAGCGCAAGGAGACCATAAGAATAGGTGAATATGTATGTTTGATTGATTGATTGATTGAATGAACGAGATGAAGTATCTAACAACATGAATACACGATGTAGGCATTGGGAGAGAAGATTGGTAAAGGTGCATATGGACAGGTGTTCAAAGGTTTGAACTCAAAGACAGGCGACTTTGTAGCAATTAAACAGATTGATCGTATAAAGATTGACTCGGCAACGTTGCAGTCGGTAAAGAGTGAGGTGGAGATACTGCAGAAGCTAAATCATAATAATATTGTAAAGGTGCTGGGCTGCGTAGAGACGCAGTCGCAACTCAACTTCATCTTGGAGTACGTCGAGAATGGCAGTCTGCGCGACGTGCTCGAGAAGTTTGGCCCGCTGAGCGAGGAGCTGGCCACGCTGTATCTCTACCAGCTGCTGCAGGGCCTGGCCTACCTGCACTCGAACCGCATCATTCACCGCGACATCAAGTGCTCCAACGTGCTGATCACCAAGGAGGGCATCATCAAGCTTGCCGACTTTGGTGTGGCCAGCCAGCTAAGCGACGAGGTGCAGCTGCGATACTCAGTCGTTGGTACCCCATACTGGATGGCGCCCGAGGCCATCCAGATCGCCGGACAATCATCGTCCAGCGACATCTGGTCCCTGGCCTGCACGCTCCTCGAGATGCTCACGGGCAGTCCTCCCTACTTCAACCTGCAGCCCATGAGCGCCATGTTCAAGATCGTGCAGGATCCACATCCTCCCTATCCTCAGCCCCTGACCAAGGACATGGAGGACTACCTCAACGTCTCATTCGAGAAGGATCCCAACAAGAGACCAACTGCGACTGATCTCCTCAAGCATCCAATATTCAAGAAGATCAATAATGTATGTTACATCATTGCTGCGATGTCTAACATGCGCCATCCTAACACGATCAATCAATCAATCAATCAACATTACACAGCAAGTTCCAACATTGTCTGAGCTACAAGATACACTCAAGTCATTGAATGGCAAGGGCAAGTCGAGGATGTCAATCAATTCGATCGATTGGAATGGCACTGGATCGCCCGGTAGCAATGGCAAGGTGGCGTCGCGACTGGACGAAGAGTTTGGCAAGTTGCAGGCGACAATAACTGAACAGGCACGGACTATTGAGCAGCTCACAAAGGATTTGGAGCAGACAAAGCGCGAAGCGACACAGGAGCGTCCATTCATGGACGAGCAGCAGTTCTACCGCGAGTTCTTCATGGCGCTGGCACTGTCGGTCAAGGTCAACCAGTGCTACTTGGGCAAGAACTTTGAACAGGTATCGCTGCAGGACCTCTATGAGCTGGCTTGCCAGAAGGACATCCCCTGGTACGGGCTAATGGAATGGATTCCCAAGCATATTGTCAAGCCCGAGGAGCATCATCAACATGGCAGCAATAGCAGCGTTAGCAGCAGTGGTAGCACCAGCAGTATCAGCAGTAACAATGGCAGCAAAGGTACCAAGCGATTTGGACTTTTCTAGTGTCAACAGACCTGCCTTACCCTTGATCAGCTGACTGCCAAACTCTGATCAGCTGACCGCCTAACGCTGATCAGCTGACATCAGTTCGATCAGCTGACTTTGACTCAAAATTATCCAAAATCCATATCACTTCATCCCTTCATCAATCCATCCTATATCCATCTATCAACCCCATCGATCCTGGATCGTATGACTCCAGTCACTCCTGTACCTTATCATATTCCTTCATCCCCTCTCCCTTCCTTTCCCTTCCCTACCCTATCCTCCCCTTATTTATTAAAAGTAACCAATAATGTTCCGACTCCTACTCCTCTGACTCCTCCCAGTCTAGACTCTAGACATGCCCAGGCAATGAAAGACAATGTTCACTGGTTGTAGACTGACCTGGGGGAGATATTGATGATCACTTTAAATGTGTTTACACCAAAAGGTGAAGTCCTTACATCAATCCACAGCCCATTAATGTCATTGGGTCAAACCCAAGATCATCTTCAGACCCCGATGATGACTGTTGACGTGTTCGGATTGATGGATGAATCATGCAACAACATTCATCCACTGCCTCCTCCTCAACACCCCCTTTCTACAACTTCCAACATCATCGATGTTTAAACTTGTCGGAGCTCAACATCCAACATACAGCCCAATGTTAAGAACTCTCCTGTGCCTCTTCCCAACACCCTCTGGAAAGTTCAAGATACTTTAACATCTATGTCTTGAATGAGTGAGTGAATGAACATTAAGTCTCTCCAGGACTCTGGCCCGACACGAGAATGTTCACTCACACATAACAGGAGTGATTCACTCCATCGCGTTTGTTAGACATGATTGTCCAAATGGTAAGGTCATTGTTTGATTCAATTGTTTACCTCATGCACCCCCATTGTTCACCTTCCTCCTTCCTCTCTTGTCTACTCATGCGTGAATGCATCGGAATTATTATGATAATATCTTTTTAAAATGATAATATTTATTTTATAGAGTATCCTAAAAAAGAAGCATGTTGTCATTGATTGAATGATTACCTATCTATCTATCAATCACACAAATCATATCATGTGAAAGTCTGTTCGATGGGCCATGCCCCCTGCCCATTCCATCAAGACAACAGCATCATCATCATTTGCAATGCCTGCAAACACGTTGTGTGTTTTTGGGAGATTTTCAAACGAAAAAATATCCGACTCGATAACAACCACCTTTTTGCAATTGCGACCTGCAAGCAGGTACCCACGAGGCCTGGTTCGGGAGCCCCGATATCCCCATCAAGGTGTTCAATTGCACATACACACAACTTGAAACTAGATCTATGTGTTCTGTTCTGTTGTTGTTTTTTTGTAGTAGTATCCTACCTGTCTATCTCTCCATCTCACTGCCTCAATACCATGTGAGGCCTCTTGGGGCTAGCGGGCATTTACTCAACTTTGTTTGATGCTAAAGGCGAAGAACATTCATTTTACATCATCTTCATCATAACAACTAACAACAACTACAAACATATATATATATTTACAAACAAGTAATAATATTGGTTTATTTGTTTATTTGTTTATTTGTATTATTATAAATTTATAACATTATAACATAATAATTAATTATTGAAATAATAATAATAATTATTTGAATTTAACTTACTATGTGGATGGCGAATCGACATAGTGTTGCGATCCAAGTGTTGATCTTGGTCGTGTTGGCCCAATGTACTTTGGGATTTATATCATCGGGATTTATTAGCACAACTGGATGGTCAGGTGGCAGCACTGGTGGATGGACAGGCAGTAGTACCACCACTGGTTCCAGTTCATCATCAACATCAAGAGGATCATCAATTGATAGTGATGGTGAGTATACATACCCCCTCCACTTCATGGGATCATTCCAAACTAACATCATATGATCAATCAATCAATCAATCATATAGCTTGGAAGGTTTTGAATGGAATTGCTAGTGACCTTGGATTCAAATGGGGTTCCTCGGGATCAGCAGCATGTGGCGTATATGGAAACAACAATGGACAAGCTCTACAATCATACATTCAATGCAGTGATGACAAGAGATCAATCATTGGTCTGTAAGTTTTAGAACTATGATGCCTGGCGGAATCATTCCAGGACACACTCACTCATACTCACACAATTCAATCATAGTACATTCCAAGCTGCACCATCTGGATCATCAAACGGATGTCCTGGATTGAAAAATAATGGCAAATACATCCTTGATGGCGACTCATGGAAGGAGTTCCCATCCTTGCAAAGACTGTATGTATCACTCAACATCAATCATTCAATCAATCAATCAATCTAACCCAACCACCCAATCAAATAATCAATTACTTCCAGTACTTTTGTGGATGTCGACTTCTCGAGCACTGTTGAGGAGAATATCTTTGATAGCTCCATGCCTAATTTGGTCAGACTGCACTTCTCCAACACTCAATATAAGTGTTATAACAATTTCGCTGCTGGCAAGACATTCTCCAAGTCCATCGTAGACTTGTACATTGAGAATGCCATTGGTACACTGCCATCATTCACATCCGACAACAGGATTCAATATTTCGGTTTGTTCCAAGGTGACAAGTCCGCCCTTGCCTACACGCTCGACACTACAATATTCACAGCAAACTTGGCTGTATAGTAAGTACATGGATTCATCACATACTCTCCATCGATCAATCATATACTTACACTCAATCAATCAATCATTTTTTAGCAATGTATACATGTACTCTACACCAACCATCAAGACGACTAACCTCGATGGTGGCAAGTTGTTCGCCGGTACTAAGCAACTGATTGACTTGTAAGTGGCCACCAGTGTCTGGAACATTATTGCCATGTCTCACTTACTAACCCATGTCCAATCAATCAAACTAATCAGCCAACTCTTTGCACCTGGCTTGTCTACTGACTTCTCAACATTCTACAATCTCCCCAAGTCCATCAAGACATTGTAAGTATTCCAACATGGAACCATCCCACTCAATCATACTCATACTCATACTCAAACTCAAAACTCAAACTCAAACATAGCAAACTGGCAAGATTGCAATTGATCAACACAGTCTTCCCAAAGATTACTGATGTGACATGGAACAATATTACAACATTTGCACTTGAGGGATTGGGCTTCACTGGCACAGTCGACTCACAGTTCTTCTTTGTTCCAGGTTTGGCCACATTATCATTGCGCGACAACCCCTTGCTAGAGATGAGCTTCCCTGCCAACATTGGCACAGCCGGCCTCGTCTCCACACTCATCCTCTCCAACACCAGCATCTCTGGTCAGATGCCCACCGACATCATCGACAAGCAGATCCTCACCCGTCTCACACTCACCAACGTGCCCAAGATGAAGGGCACCAAGCTGCCAGAGTCATTCCTCTGTCTGCCCCTGTCATACTTCACCGGCGAGACTGTGCCCGCCTACCTCTTTGACGACTCCACGTTCACCAACTACCAGGGCGCCAGCACTCCACGCAACTGTGTGCCAAGCATCACCGCCATCTCGCCAAACCCCATCCCTAGCAACGCCACATTCTTCACCATCACTGGCAAGAACTTTGGTGACAAGCCCAACATCCAGATGTCAAACGGCGACGACTACTATGTGGTCAACAGCATCCCGCTCGGTGCCAACTCTTTGATGTGCAACACCCCCGTCTTCTTGCAAGGCGCCGGCTTCCTGACACTCGCCCCCAAGTACAGCCCCAACGCCACCAGCATCGCATTCTCATTCGCCTCCCCAATGATCACGTCCATCTCGTCGCCATCCACACTTGGTGGCTGGGTCACATTGACTGGCTTTGACATGTTGCCATACATTGGCAGCCAGAACCCCCCACAGACCTACGTCAAGATTGGTGCGACCACATGCTCAGACATCAGTGTCATCAAGCCATTTGAGAAGATGATGTGTCGCGTTCCCGCCGGCACCACATCCAATGTCGAGGTGGTCATGTCGATCAAGGGCCTGTCCAACGACTTGTCCGCCACACCACGCTTCTTCTACCGCGCACCCGCCGTCCAGACATCCAACGCCGTCACCGCCGGCGCCGACACCAACATCACCCTCACCGGATCCGACTTTTGGAACGACGTCTCCATCATCAACGTGACCGTCCACTTGGGCGCCAACACATCGATCGCCTGTCCAGTGTCATACGTCAACCACTCGACCGTCGTCTGCGCCTTCCCCGCCACCGCCTTCATTCCAGGCACCCACAACATCCAGGTTACCGTGGCCGGCCTCGACTCGCCCGCCAACAACCTGTTCTCCTTCTACGACGAGCAGATCTGTCCAAATCACTGCGGTGGCGAGAGTGCTGGCGTGTGCAACGTCGGTTTTGGTCTCTGCAACTGCAAGCGCACTGCCGGACCCTCTTGCTCTGAGGGCTCCATCGACGTTGTCCTCACAAACAACGCCACTCTGCCCGGACTCAACATATCTGCGACCAACCAACCCACCTACCTCTCCGCTTACCTCGTCTCTGTCTACGAGAATGGCGCCGAGACCATCATCCCCTCGTGGAAGGTCAGCGCCAACGGCACCTACACATGGGCATCTGGCTCGCGCCAGATCAACGTGTTCATGACCGCCAACAACGCGTCGTCACCCCCCGTTCAGGTCGGCGAGGGCAGCAACCTCAACGTCTTTGACAAGACCTTCTCGTACCAAGTGCAGTACTCGTCAGCCAGCGCATACACCAGCCTTCAGTTCAAGTTTGCCCTGGAGGCCTACCCCCGCGAGTGCGCCACGCCACCCGTGGTCGTCGGCTACCCAACGATGGGCTCGAACACCTCGGCGCACTGGCTCACGCTCACCAAGTTCAACACGAGCTGGTTCGCTCGTTTCCCTCAGGTCGCGTCGGTCAATGGCGAGGGAGGCTCGCTCAGCAGCACGATCATCAATCAAGATGGCCTGGGCATGCGTGTCGTCTCGGACATCTCTGGCGCATCGGACGCCGAGCCCATCTCATCGGCATCGTTCGTCTTTGACTTTAGCGCATTGACGTCGACTGTTGGCCGCGACCTGGATGTCAAGTCGTGTCTACCCACCAGCACCGACAAGCCCGTGCAACCATCGAGCAGCGACAACAAGTGGAAGGTGACCGTTGGTGTCGTTGTCGGAGTTGTTGGCGCGGCAGTCATTGCTGGCGCCTCCATCTACATCTTCAAGCAACACCGTCGTCTCGAACAGACCAAGTCTCTTCTCGACAAGAAGCTCAGCGAACTCAATCACAACCAACTCTAATAATAACAACAACAATCACACAATCACATGATCAATGTCATGACATCCGAACCGAACCATCGGACATCCCATGTTCCCACCCATTCCGCATCTCATCAAATCGCCCACCAACACACCGCCATCAATTACACACACGCACAACATGGTCCACGAGGACTCAACCATGAATGTACCATTAATTAAACCAAACAAATACACATGATCATACACTCACTCCACTCAATTATAAGTACCCTATGAACATGTTGGTCTTGATTTACACAGTTGTCCACACACACACATGGTCAATGATACCATTCATTGAACATCCCGTGAATGGAAGAAGTAGCCCATCATTCTATCGAATGTAAACATTGGGATAAATTTAATCATAAGTATCTTAAAAAGTACTACCGACCCGAGGTAATTCAGATCACATCAATTCCGTTCAAAGAAGGATATGTTGGTCATAGACACGATCAGATTGATCAAAATAATCAATCAAGGGGGTACCCTTATTCCAGAATAGAAGCCAATGATTGTGTGTGTTCCCGTGAGGACCGCGAAAAACCCCACCAAAGGGCCTAGGCCCACCCATTCGCAATTTTTGCTGACCTTTGATCAACCTTACAGCCCACCTAGTTATGTGGGCCACTGATCCATCCATCGAAATATCTCATGGTTGTTGCTAGTAAACAACTGCCATTGTTCGACCTCCGATGATTATGCCCATCATAAACATTGGGGAGTGTAGTTGACCAAGGCCTAGGCCATTCATCAAACATATTCATTGATCATTAATCATAACCATTTAGTTGTAAACAATACTTTGTTGTAATATTATATATATATTTAATAAATTGTACACTATCTATTCAATCAATTCAATCAATCAATCAAATTAATTAAACAATGGCGCCAAAGTTGACTATGTTGACTTTGTTCATTGTGTTGTGTGCGATGACAACAACAATGATTGTGGTGTCAGCAGATGACTTTGGATCATTGGAGATACTATGCTTTGGTCTGAACATTATACCATTCCATCGTGCACCATCATGTTCTGATCAGAACAACAGGAACAATGCCAATTCATACTGGTCTATAACATGCAAGGATGGATCAGCCATTGCAATGTAAGTGTTCATGATCATGCCTGTACTGCACTACACTATTCATATCTCTAACCATGCCATACCATACAGGGAGCTTGGTTGTAACAATCAATTTGCAAGTGGCAATGAGGAATCTGATTGGACAAAGCATTTCCCCAATCTAAAGTCATTGTAAGTGGCCTTGTTGATCACTCAATGTCACTCGATCACTGACCCAATCAATCAAATGATCAAACTAGGTCCATAACATTCAAGAACAACAAGTTCATCCTTCCAACATCTTTGTCAACTCATCCAACTTTGTCCAATATGTAAGTTCCAACAATGATCTGATTGCCTGGAATCACTCCATGCTGATACCCCACCCTCCATCAATTCCCTCCACCAAACAAGTGACTTGTCAACAGATGGAATCATATCTATTGTTGGAGGTGATTGGAGGAATATGAAGAATCTTCAGGCAGTGTCATTGGAGAATGCACAATTGATACCAATACTTCCAAACTCAACAGAGACAGTATACATTGAGATCAAGGATGGCACTCCAAGCAGTCTATCACTAGACACAACAGTGTTTAGTAGCAATCTTCAATCATAGTATGTTTCACTCACTCAATCACACCGTCTCATTCACTCAACCATTACTTACATACTTTAATATCACCTCTTAGTTATTTGGATACCAATGGCAAGGCAATCACTGCACCAAGTTTGTTGCCCATCACCTTCCTTCAGGGCGCCACTAAACTTCAACAGTTTACACTCTACGCTGATGGCACACCAATGGATCTCAGAGCATTCTTCAATCCAACTCCAACATTGACTGAACTGTATGTTAGATCCTTGGACACACTGTTGATGTTCACTCACTCACACAATCACTCAATCACTCAATCAATGTAGTACTCTTGGTGGACTGGCACTTGTGAACAATACTTGCCCAACTCTTCAAGAGCTTGGATGGTCAAACATCATAACTCTGTAAGTTGGTAACTCATTCATTCATTGGAACCATTCCTTGAACATTACTAACACGAATCACTTCATTCATGTATACAGAGAGTTGGATGAAGTTGGACTCACAGGATACTTTGGAGACATGTTTAACCTCCCTGCCATTCGCTCATTGTAAGTCTCATGTCCAGGAACAAGCTGTGCCAGCGCCATACTCATCACCCACTCACTTAGGTCGCTGCCCAACAACCCAAAGGCTTGGACAACTTTGACTGATGGTATTGGACAATCAAATATTCAGACTTTGAACGTCCAGAATACAAATACAAGTGGTACTGTTCCATTCAATATATTGAGCAAGTCAATCACTCAGTTGGATATCAGAACAACTTCATTGAGTGGATACCTTCCCCCATCATTCCTCTGTCTCCCACCCGAAGCAACCGATCCAAACTCCAAGTCCAACAGGAAATACCTCTTTGACAAAGTCTTCCTCAACTACAACGCAACCTACATTGGCAAGTGTGGTATGTATCCCATCTGCACATCACTGGCTGGAACTATTCCACTCACTCACTTACAATCAATCACTCGTCCTTCACTTTAGCCCCCGTCATCACATCAATTGTACCATATCCAGTTCAGGTCAACTCGACAATCACTATATTTGGCGAGAGTCTGGCTATTGTGCCAGGATATTATGAGCTCAAGATGAACAACTCGCAGGGAGATGTTGCCTCACTCAACTGTGTGGCCTCGGGAACAACATCTATCGCTTGTACCAATGGCCAGATCCAAGGCGCCGGCATGATATCCCTGGCAATCAAGGTCGACCCCATCGCCTACGCCTACGCCAACTACACCTACCAGTCCCCTCTCATCACCTCGGCTACCCCATGCCCTACCCTGGGTGGCTACATCACCCTATCGGGTTACGATCTAATGGACCCAGTCGGACTGAACTCTGACGACACTGGCATCACTGTTGCTGGCAAGCGATGCATCCACGTCCGTGTCCTCGATCCATTCCGCAAGATCACTTGCTACTTCCCCGCTGGCATCATCTCGGACGTCCCCTTCAACTTCCGTGTCAAGGGACTCGGTAACACAGATCAGAGTGTCAACTTCTTTTATAATCGCCCACTTGTGTCGGCATCCCGCGCTGTGTTGCCCAACACCGACACTGTGTTCACCATCTACGGCTCTGACTTTTGGAAGGATCCATCGGTGGTCAGCGTGCAGATTGGCGCGTCACCAAACCCCATACCATGTCCAGTGCAGTCGGCCAATCACTCGATCATCGTCTGTGCATTCCCGGCCACTCCATTCCAATCCGGAACACTGAATATCCAAGTGACTGTCAATGGACAAGTGTCTCCACCCAATAAGCTATTCCAGTTTGTTGATGAGAACATCTGTCCAAATGCATGCAGCAACAATGGCTACTGTGACGTCGGTGTCGGATACTGTACATGCAGCAGCAACACCTTTGGTGCCGACTGTTCCAAGGGTATGTTATCAAACCCTCGCCCTTACCCTAACTCCAACCCTTACCCTAACCCTCGCCCTCCCACGAATTAGAACCCATCGCGTCAGACTCCGCATTCGAGACTGGCACTCCAATGTTGACTTTGTCATCATCGAATAATAGGACAAGATTACAGGCATACTTGTTGTCTGTTATTGAGAATGGAGCTGAGACTTTGGCACCAGCCAATTGGGGCCTGGTCCAGGACAGCAACATTGCCACATACAATTGGTCGTCCAAGATGAATGTTGTCATTCGCCGTAACAACGCCACGGGCTTCGACCTGCTCGGCGGCTCCAACAACTCATTCCCCGCCCACAGCTACACATACCAAGTACAGTACCAGAACACCATCTACGTGTCGTCCTCGGTGCAGTTCCGACTCGCCGTCAAGGTCGTGCCCGATGAGTGCAGCACCAATGTCAACTCCAAGCTGGCCTTCCCCATGCCATCCAACAGCACTCAAGACAAGTATGTTCACTGGTCCCAGCTGACCCAGTTCGACACAGAGTGGATGGCGCGCTACCCACAGGCAGGCGCAATCAACGGTCAGTACGGCCAGGTGTTCTCGTCGGTCGCCGATGCCAGCCACGGAAGCTACCTCGAGCTGCTTGTCGATGTCATTCCAAGCACGCCCAAGCAAGATGGAATACGCACGGCTGTAGTATCATTCGACTTTGCCGCCTACACTGCCAAGAATAACAGAGACCCAGTAACCTCTTGCACATCTGGTGGCGGATCATCAAGCAATGGATGGAAGATTGCCGTCGGTCTTGTCGTTGGCATTGTTGGCCTAGTCGTCATTGGAGGTCTAGCATACCTGAGCTTCCGTCAACATCGCAAACTCGAGGCCACCAAGAGTTTGCTCGATAAGAAGCTCGCCGAGATCAACTCCAACTTGTAATACTCCCCCCCTCCCTACCTCCCACCCTCTGGAATCATTCCATTCACTCAATCAATCACCTGATCACACCCATGCCTTTGGTGTTTGTCCGTCCCATAAGTTGATCAACTTCCTCGAGCTAGCAACACCCAAAGCAGCTTCCTTGCACGCAAGGCGCGACACCAAAGGCAAGCCATGTCATTAATAATAAACAAACAAACATACCGATGTGCACTCATTCACAATCAAACAATCAATCAAGGTAATAATATTATATATATATGTTTATTTGTCTCGGGACTTGAGGACAAGGCCTTGGCCTCGCACACACTCACACATTGATCAATCAATCAATCAATCAATCACTTTCTGCGACGAGTACCAAAGCTCTCATCCATGGCGCGTGTCTTGGCGGTCTTGACCTCTTGACGCAACTTGGTCAACTTGTCGACGAGGACTGCATTGTCCTTCTTGGCCAACTCCTCGGTGATGGTGGGTGCGACATTCTTGACGGGCGCGTACTGGATGGTGGACGTCTTGATGCCCACATCGGCCTTGCTCAGCGGGATGTTGAAGAACTTCTTGACGGACACCTTGCGGAACAGCCAGTTCTGTAGGATGAAGATCAGCGAGTTGACGCACCAGTAGATGTTGAGGCCCGCGGGGAAGGTCAGTGTGAAGAACAGCGGGATCAGACACAGGCCGCCCATCAGCGTCTTCATCACGATGTTGGTGCCCTCGGTGAAGGTCATGCGCACACTGATGAACTGGAAAAATGACGAGAGCACGGGCAGCATGTATGTGGGATCCATCGCCGACAGGTCCCTGAACCAGAGCATGCCGCCCTGGCTCAGGTACTGCGGGAATTCCATGCAGGCGTTCCTGATCAGCACAAAGAAGTATATGTAGAAGGGCGCCTGGGCGATGGCCAGACCCATCATGGAGAGGGGCGACACGCCGTTCTTGGCCGACAGCTCCTGCTGCAGCGCCATCAGCTTCATGCGGCCCTCCATCGTGCCGTCGTTCAGGTATGAGTTCTTCTCCATCTCCTCGCGCACGGCCATCATCTTGACCTGGTTGCGCTGTGTCTTGACCGTGAAGGGCAGAAGCAGCGTGCGCAGTATGATGGTGCCCGTGACGATGCACAGCCACCACGGGGTGCCGGTGGACACGGCGAACTGATTGACCGCCTCGACGATCGAGTCGTTAAAGTTGGTGACGGCTTCGATGATGGGGTTGGGTGGGGGTGGTGGCAAAGAGGTCGTGATCGCGTCCACCAACTGATGTGACACATTGACCTCGGCCACCGAGTTGATTCCCTCAGTGTTGATAGGGTTTCCAAGTGAAAGGTCTGATGTTGTGGTTGTGTTTCCAGTGGTGTTGCTGTTGCCTGTGTTGCTGGGCGTGGAGTAGTATCTCACGCCAAACTTTGAGTTTGAGTTTGTGTTTATGTTTGAGTTTGAGATGTTTGTGAGACCAGTGATCAAGATGAACTGTTGTTGTTGATGTGATGCTGATGATGATGCACCTCTGAATATCGATGAAATATTTGCTTTAGTCTTGAGTGATGGTCTATGATTGAAGTGTGCAGCAGCTACAACTGTTGCCACAGGGTTGTTCTTTTGGAACAATGCTGATCTGAGTATGGACCTATTAAGTGATTGCATGTTATATATATGTTGTAGTAGTAGTCGATCGTTTCATTCATACAATCAGATGATGATTATTATTATTATCAAACACACACACGAAGGCCTCGGTTGGGGTCTTTCAAAACTCTGTCAAGTCCCAAATTAATTCAAAATAAAATGAATCAAAATTCAATTTTGACACTTCACACTGATGTGGGATCTACTTAATTTATGGGATTGATCATATTCGAATATTTGTCATCGCATTGCTTGGTTGAATGAATATAAGTAGATACAACTATGATAAACTATACAACTTGTAGCTTGCTACAATATACCAAACATCTTAGATTATTACCTCATTCAAACATTATACATACTCGACGACAACATCATCAATATTCAAGTAACAGCACAAGTCAACAACAACAGAAGAAGTATGAACTTGTTGTAGGTGTAGAGATACATGCTCAGATAAAGTCAAAGGAGAAGTTGTTCTCAGGTATGTAGTACATATCTCAACTCGACTCAACTTAACACGTTCAAACTAACTAACATTGGTTGTAAAGATAGTTTAAATGTAGGCAGTCTAGATGGATGTATAGCAAATAGTAGAGTGTCTTATGTTGATGCTGCATTCCCTGGAACACTACCAGTGCTCAATCAGAGATGTGTAGAACAATCTATAAGGACAGGACTTGCCATTGGTGCCAGGATCAATAAGCGATCATCATTCGATCGCAAGCATTACTTCTATCAAGACCTGCCACAAGGATATCAGATCACTCAGTACTATCGTAAGTCGGTTAATTGTAGCCAATCCATGTTCATCAAGCTTACATTGATCAATCAATCACTTCCTGGATCATCCCAATCACTCATTGATCTCTCAATCAATCAAAGAACCAATTGCTACTGAAGGAATTATGATGTTGAATATGAAGGATGGCTCAAAGGTACCAATCAATATATCACATATACAGATAGAACAGGACAGTGGCAAGTCGATACATGATCAGAGTCCCAGTCATACATTGGTCGATCTGAATCGTGCTGGTATCGGATTGATGGAGGTGGTCAGTGCCGCCGACTTTAGGTCCAGCGAACAGGTGGGCCAGTACATCAAGCAGTTGCAGCAGTTGATGAAACACATTGGCAGCAGCGACGCGAATATGCAGTTGGGCGAGATGCGTGCCGACATCAATATAAGTGTGCGACCAAATCGCCCGAATGAGCCATTCGGCACTCGTGTCGAGCTCAAGAACATGATATCAATCAAGGCGATCACTGGCGCCATCGACGCCGAGGCTGCGCGCCAGATCGACGTGCTGGAAGCGGGTGGCCGCGTCCTTCGCGAGACAAGGGGCTTCGACCAGGCAAGTGGCCAGACATTCCACATGAGGACAAAGGAGGACGAGGTTGACTACAGGTTCTTCCCCGAGCCCGACCTGCCACCCCTCATCCTCAGCGACGATTACATCGATTCCATTCGCAACAAGATGGTTGAGCTGCCCGACGCTCTCAAGAGTCGACTGATGCGCGATTATCAGATTGCCGAGCACGAGGTTGACGTCTTGGTCGAGGACCGCGATGTGGCACAGTACTTTGAAGCAGTTGTCGCACATGGAGGCAAGCAACGAGCGTCAAAGAAGGTGCTGCCGTGGATCCTCAAGGAGATGTTTGAGTGGCTAAACTCACGCAATGAGACCATTGTGCAGAGTCCCGTGTCGGTTGGCCAACTGGCAGAGTTGGTCGATCTGATCGATCAGGGATACATGTCGTCGAGGACTGGCAAGGAGATCTTTGCGCGACTACTGAATGACAACAAGCAACAACAGAGTGTAAAGGCGTTGGTTGAAAGTCTGGGACTGTCACAAATATCCGATGATTCGACATTGGATCAATTGTGCAAGACCTTGGTGGAGGCCAATCCTAAAGAGGCGCAAGACTATCGGTCTGGCAAGCAGCGCGTGTTCAAATTCTTTGTTGGCGAGATCATGAAGCAGACCAAAGGCAGATCGAATCCAGAGAAAGTTAATCAATACCTCAAGAAGTACCTGGACATATAATATAATATAATATAATTATTGGAGCGAGATTGATTGATTGATTTTATTGATTGCTCAACTGGATGGTTTGGCGATGTTTGTCCTCAATGGTCCACTCTGAGTATGTGTGTAGAGACGAGGTGATGACTTTTTGTTGAGTTGCATCTCTTGAATATGCCTCCACTTAAACTCTGGCAACAGGTTGAACAATCCAACTTCATCAATCTTTCCAACTCTCCATGCTTCGATAGAATAATCACTTTCTTCATGGAATAAAGGTAATAGATGCCAGCTATTCCGATTAGTTATCACTTGATACATGAGACCTTGAATTTTTAAAGCCAGTTCCAGGTAATTGGTTCCTTCAATATCATCAAACATCGGTATCATGCTTGCTCGGAAATATTCCAATACCATTGACAGCATCCTCTGGTCTCCAATGGCAATGGCAAAACTGGCGATTATTTGAATGTTTCGCCAATAGTAGATTTTAACTTTTCCACTATCATCACATGTCATTGTCTGTAGGAAGGTCACTGGATTGTAGCCAACTAGCCTGTCAAAGAGGAAGGGAGGTCGGCAAATACCGAACTCATCGGACATTATGAACTTGAACATCTCCTCACTGCCAGTGAATGGATAAGAATCTTCAGGTCTTAGTCGGTTCTCTATATTATTGACGAACCTAAGAATTCTTAAACCCTCTGCTCGATCGGCATGTGACATGCAGTGATAGACTTTGCTTGATAAATGGCTACTAGGATTGTGTGTCATGATAATGATCTGCTCCAGTGTTCCTCGTTCACTGAGTATAGTCTCGTTTCCTCCAGATCCAAGCAAGCACAACATTGAATAGTTTTGGGTCTGAATGATATACTCGATGAACGACCCTGTGGCCAAACCGTACCCATTGTAAAGAATGGCAAACATCTCTAGCATTTGGGACATCGATGCGGATGCTTCATCGTCTTGTGCGAGTATCTTGGCCCGTTCATCATCAGTCCGTACACTCATCCAATAATAACTGCTCTCCAGAATGGTCCTGGCCTCTATTCGACACTTGGCAATCTTTTCCAAAGTCCTCTTGTGAATTAGGTTGATATCCTTTGACCTGTGCAATTCCCTCTGATCCTCACCGATGTCCAAGAATTCTTCGACTTTGTGCAATAGCCTTAACAACTGTTGGGTGTCCTTCAGTCGGTCAAGCATCGATTCAACATTGGTCAACTCTAAAATCGTCAATGGATAATGATCGATCGAGTATCTTGGCATCTTCACTTTGGAGTTGCCACGCATAAGTTCATCGATCAGGTCAATGTCGCCCGTGGATATCAATGCCGAGAAGTTGGGCCATTCCAAGACTGCTACCCGCATGGCTGCCAGTGACTGATCTGACAACTTGATGAAGCGGCGGATAAGGGCAATATTGTTTCTCTTCAGGTACATTTGTGCATGGGGTAGTAGCTCAGACTTGGACACATATCCATGTTCAGCCAAAAGGAGAGCAAGTCCAATATTAAAATTGGAATGACGTGAGATTATATTGGTGATCAGACCAGTGCGGTCGAAGCAGTGAGGCTCCTTCTGGTCCAATAACGTACAGATCACATCGGTATGGCCGCCACGCAATGCACCTAACATCAAACCATCCTTGCAAAAGATGTGACGGTAGTTGTTGTAGATTAATTTGAACACGTCCATGTCGTCCAGTGTCGTGACCACATACTCTGCGGCGTGATAATCAAAGTGCAATGGCAGGCCACATTTGATACGGTCGCGCAACAATCCAAAGAGTCGTCGTTCACAGATGAACCGCACTTGGTCAAAGTGATTGTAACGATAGCGCCATGCATTGCCTGGAGTAAATTGACTTGGTAGTTTATGTTGTAGTAATTGTTGTTTAATACATTCAAATTGTTTGAATCTTTGTTGTAGTTGTTCATCAAAGTAGTTGTCAATCACATAATATGTTGTGTCAACTCTACTTATATCAATTATATATTTGATCAATGTACGATTCCTCAACACCTCAAGTATAGGTGCTTCATCATCAATCAAACATTGATGTTTCCTTTTGATACTATTCATTATTATCTGTATCAATATATATATATATATTATATGTTTATGTAGTTATACTAGTAATGAACTGACTTCATACCAAACAAATACAAGAGAGAGTGTCACTCATTTCCACTAAGTAAGGTGTGTGTTCACTTCAATGACTGAGTGTCACACTTATCTTCGTTTATTGACAGTGTATAAGTGTGTGTGTAGATGAGGTGATGTCTTGTCTTTGAGTTGCATCTCTGGTATGTGTCTCCACTTGAACTCTGGCAACTTGTTGAATAATCTAATGTCATCAATCATTCCAATAGCGCCATGCCTCACCAGTATAATCACCTTCACGGAACAAAGACAATAGATCCCAGTTGTTGGGTTTCTCAATCACTTGCATCAAGAGTACTTGAACTCTTATGGAAATATAGTCAAAGATATCCGAGCTGCTAAGAGGTACAATACTTGCTCGTAGATGTTCCAACACCATTGCGAGTATCCTCTGATCTCCATTGACTCAATCGCAAAGCTGGCTGTGATACATAAGTTGCGACAATAGGTTGTATGTCGATTGGCATCTGCACATGTTATCGTCTGTTTGAGTATCAGATTGTAGCCAACAAGTATTTTAAAGATGAGCGGCCTGAACTGATTGGACATGATGAACTGGAACATCTCCTCACTGCCAGGTGGTCAGGTGTTCGTCAAAGTAATTGTCAATCACACAGGACTTTGCTCTACTTATATCAATTATATATTTGATCAATGTACGATTCCTCAGTACCTCAAGTATCGGTGCTTCATCATCAATCAACAATGATGCATCCGTTTGATACTATCCATTATTATTATTATCTCTTTGTGTCAATGAATGAATGAATAAAGTGGTGCGAGTTGGCTCAACTCAAAGTTCAAGAAGTGAGCACCTTCCAATTTTTCAATTTATTTTGTTTGTTGTGTTTTGTGAAGATCACTCTCACACAAACTAAATTGAACATCACTTGATGATCACTTCACACATTCACTTTAATCATTCATACAGATACATATTATATATTAATATTACTTTTTATTTATATATACATACATATACATATATTGAAACAGTTGTTTGTACCATACCCTTGCAACTATTCATACATAAAAGATATATAAATGGTATTAATCAAAGATATAATATTAGATTGATTGATTGAATGATCGATGATGATGGGACAGTCGAGTCGAGTCAATCAAGAGTCTCAAAGATATCAAACAAGTAATTCTAACATATAGTTTAATCACAAACACAAACATATATATTGAATGAATGAAATGATTGAATGAATGAAATGATTGAATGAATGATATATTTAGGCAAGAAGATACGATCAGAGAACAACTATATTCTCACCAGAGGGTAGAATTTATCAGGTAGAGTATGCAATGACTGCAATTAGACATGCAGGAGCAACAGTTGGTATTCTGGCAAAAGATGGAATTGTGTTGGCCGCTGAGAAGAAGACCGTGGCAAAGCTGCTCGACACCTCCAGCACTCAATGCGAGAAGATGTTCAAGATTGACGATCACGTGGTGTGTGCAGTGGCCGGCATCACCTCGGACGCCAACATCCTCATCAACTATGCGCGCCTCTCCTCACAGCGCTACTACTACACATATCAGGAGCCGATGCCCGTCGAGCAGCTCGTCAGCCAGATCTGCGACACCAAGCAGGGCTACACGCAATACGGAGGTCTGCGTCCGTTTGGCGTGTCGTTTCTCTACGCCGGCTGGGACAAGCAGTACGGCTTCCAGCTGTACCAGTCGGACCCCTCTGGCAACTTTGCCGGTTGGAAGGCCACCTCAATTGGAGGCGAGAACAGCCAGGTCGCTCAGTCTGTTCTCCGTTCCAGCTACAAGCCCGACATCTCGCTGAAGGATGCCCTGCAGCTGGCCCTCAAGGTGCTGACAAAGACCATGGACCGCTCCAACATCAACTCGGACAAGCTGGAGTTTTCATACATCACCAGAAAGGACGACCGACTCGTCTACCACGTCTTTGACGCCAAGGAGCTCGATCAATTCATCAAGGATACAGACTTGGAGCAAGAGACCGATGAGTCATAATCATGAATCTTCATCCTTCCATTCCATTATTCGTTCAATCAACAAACTAATGTCAGCAACAGCAACAGGCATCGCGCGCTTGCGGTCCACTTGCCAACAACTTCAAAGGCATCATCGACTATGCGTATGTAGATTTAATAAACTGATATCCAGCAGGGGATGCTTGTTAACTCTCTGACTTCGTCGTCGTCGTCGATGTCGTAGTCGTTGTCGTAGTCGTTGGTATGTCTGTCGATGTGGAGGGATATGACACCTCTTCGTATTCACTCCAGGACTTCTCCTTCTCCTTGTGATCCTTCCTCTTCTTTTTCTTATGATGCTCATTGCCATCATCCTCCTTCTTTATACTCTCACGCTCTTTCCTCTTCAGTTTCTTCTTCTCCTGCTTCTTCCTATCACTCTCCTCTGCCCTTGCCAACAGCTCGCGCAATTGTTGTAGCTTATCCTCGCGTCTCTTCATCTTTTCGATCATCAACTGTCTGTCAACGTTCACTCCATTCTTATTGCTGTTGCTGTTGTTGTGGCTATCACGAGTGTTTGGTTCGCCATCTTGTTCATTGAACTTTAGCATTGGGTCCTCTCGCAACTGTGATTGATTGATTGATTGATTGAGTGAGTATCATTCCTTCAATATCTGATTGATGGATAAACATACACGCCTGTTATTCTCTTGCGCTTGTTGACCACTTAGGAAGAGTGGACATTCTTTGTCAGCAGCTCTGTGACCATAGGACTTGCACTTCCAGCATTGCATCACTTTGACCTCTTTGCCGAGTGGCATCCAGAGACCCTTTGATGGAGCATTCTTTAAGAATTCCCTTGCCTCTCTATTCTCTGGACGATCCGGTATACTATCCTCTGGTCTCTTTATATATATATTCTCCTCATTCTCCCTTTGTCTCCTTCTCTCAATATCCCTATCCCTTTCTCTTTCCTTCTCTCTATCTCTTTCTCTTAAATAATCTCTATTCCTTTCTCTATTATCTCTATCTCTGTGGCTGTCTCTATTTACATAACTATATCCATCTCTATCTCTATCCCTATCTCTGTCCCTATCTCTGTCCCTATCTCTATCTCTATCTCTGTATCTATCCCTGTCTCTATCTCTATCTCTATCTCTGTCTCTGTCTCTCTCGCTCATTATGTGTTGAAGTCGCCAACTTCAAAGGAATCGAAAGAATCGCGAATGAATCCAAGTCCATAACTTTAAAGTGTGCCACTCACTTCACGCTACTCACTCATTCATTCAACTCAACTCGCGAGAGTGATACAGTACAGATAATAATACCATGGAGTACTCTACTTCTTCATTATTCAAGTTAATTATAAATAACAAATGGTTGTCAACATGTATATTCAAAGCTGTGAAGCATATCCATCATGTTATATATACCGCCAATAATGTTAAGCCACTGGGTTGGGTCGATCATTCAAGTAGATGGTTGACTATGATAGTTCGATCAGTGGACGATCATGATGACGAATATGATAGGAATCCTCTCAACTTTATAGAGGTCCCAAGAGCTTTGTATCCAGGTCATGCATATATGATACGAGCAATGTACTATCTTCATCCAGACCTGATGCGCACAGTATCACATGTCTTTGATGCCATGGCAGCCTTTGGCAACATTGAACTAGTACGCTACCTACATGATATTGGCGCGCCTGCTTCCTACTTCGCAATGAATCTCGCGTCTACACTCTCCATCGTTCAATTCCTTCATGATAATCGCACAGAGGGATGCACAACTGATGCCATGGACAACGCTGCAGCCGATGGACGTCTGGATATTGTTCTGTTCCTACATCAGCATCGTACAGAGGGCTGCACGACCGGTGCCATGGACACCGCTGCGGCCAATGGACATCTTGACGTGGTCAAGTTCCTTCATCGCAACAGGACTGAGGGCTGCTCAAACAAGGCACTCATACTGGCAGCTGGAAATGGTCATCTGGATGTGGTCCAGTTCTTACATCACAACAGGACTGAAGAGTCATCGATGTTCCAGGCGATGAACAACGCAGCATCGAATGGACATCTTGAGGTGGTCACATTCCTACATCACAACCGAGACGAAGGCTGCACGACCAAGGCTGGCGACAATGCTGCGGCTAATGGACACTTGGATGTACTCACATTCCTGTTTGAGAACAGGGATGAGGGGTGCACGGGCGAAGCATTCAGTATGGCTGCTCGCAACGGAAATCTAGCCATCGTACAGTATCTCAATCACATGCCTCGTGATGAGCTGGTTAGCACACTCGCATCAAGCGCGATGAACCAGGCGGCAGCCGAGGGACATCTGGACGTGGTCGAGTACCTTCACAATCATTCAACATTCGGCTGCACTGCCTATGCCATGGTGATGGCTGCGACAAATGGGCATCTGAGCGTTGTTGAATGGCTACATACCAACAGGACTGAGGTCTGTGGTCCAAAGGCCATGGACATGGCCGCGACCAATGGACATATGTCCGTGGTGAAGTACCTCCACGAGCACAGGACAGAGGGATGCACGGTCGACGCGATGAACGGTGCTGCAAAGAATGGCCATCTCGATATCATCCGCTTCCTCCACCACAACAGGACGGAAGGGTGTACGACCAAAGCGATGGACCTGGCCGCGCGACTAGGTCGTCTGGACATTGTACAGTACCTCCATCATAACAGGACAGAGGGGTGTACAGACGATGCCATGCGATTTGCCGCGGCTGCAGGATCAGGGGATGTCGTTCAGTTTCTTGCATTACAATCGAACAGAGAAGTGTGGACCAACAGTGATGGACTGCGCAGCAGTCGGTGGCAGCTTGGAAGTTGTGCGATTCCTACACGAGCACAGGACCGAGGGCTGCACTGTGTGGGCCATGCATCGAGCGGCTGACCAAGGACATCTCGACGTGGTCAAGTTCTTACACGAGCATCGCACTGAAGGATGCACAAATACCACTATCGAGCGTGCAGCTGCCAATGGACATCTATCAATGGTTCAATTCCTTTGTAAGAATAGGAAGGAAGGATTCACAGACAGAGCCATCGACGAATCCTTACACAATGGACATGTAGCGATCGCTCACTATTTGGGACAACAACAACAACAATACCTCCATTGATCAGTTTGATGGCACAACTGGAAATGATGTATGTATCAATCCATCACTCATTCACTCATTCAATCAATCAATCGATCACCCACTCACTCACTCATTCAATCAATCAATGTTAAGTCATGCGTTATGCAATTCAAAGGAAGGATTCACGGACAAATCAATCGACGTATCTTAATACAATGGACATGTAACGATCGCTTTCTAATTGGGACAACACCATCTTCATTGTTGGATTTAAAACCCATCAACAACAACACTCAGAAACCAAAGAACTGATTCGAATCATATCTATGTCTTTGAAGCCAATGTAATATAACCCTAAAGAGTGATTTAGGCCAACAAGGGGGCTGATCCGCAACGAAACAACAACAATTCATGGCAAGTTCCATCAACGAATCTGCGAAAAGGAAATGGAAAATGAATCAAAAGTGACACTTGGGGTGTCCAAACACTGAAGAGGTGTTTGACCAATTTCGAAAACCGACACCTGATTTATTATTTAATCAACAACAACCGATAATTATCAGATTCATTCAAACAATTAATAATCTGTCATATTTATTATTCTATATATAAACAATAATGTATAAATTATGTTTAATGATCGTGGTTGTCCTTCTGATGTCGTCTCCAATGACATCAGCAGAGACACTTTATGGCTTGCTCACCATACCACAAGATAATTATAACTGTACTCAACAGATCCAAATACTAAACCCTGCCAATGGTATGCTATATATATATATATTCATTCCAACTCTATCATCACTTCACCAACCACACTACATTCACACGGATACTGATACTTAGCAAACTTCACTGTATTGATGGAGTTTAATGAGGCCGTGCCAGAGGATGGTGGTAGTAAATGTACCACAGTCGACAACAAGAACAACATTATGTATTCCATCTTTACTACAAATGGTGGAGGTCTTGGTCCTATCTTGGTACGTCTCTCATCAGTCTCGTTCAATCCACTTCGATCCATTAACATACTACATTCAAACATTTATATAGAAGTCATATCTCTACACTATTGACTTGAAGACACAGAAAGTGATAAGTCGTAGGGTCATCTCGAAGGCACCGCTCACCTACATGTTTGTTGAGGTGGACTACAACACCAACACTGGTAACCTAAACCTTGTGGTCTACAACTATCTAACCTCCGAACTCACTACTGGTCACCTGACCTTGACAGGCCTTGATATTGTCGTCTATGATGTAAGTATAGTCCATTCAATCAATCATTCTATTCAATCAAACATTGTACTTACTTCTCAAACATAGAAAGTTCACTTTGATAGCAGCAATATAATCAATGTTGCCGCTGGATACTACCCACCTGAGAACCTCTACATGGTATACTATCAATCCGATACCAACCCAACCAAGACCAATCCACTCAAGATGTATAATGCAACATCTGGAAAGGTAGTACGCTCAGTCACTCAGAAAGATTGTGTGTATCATATCCATCACAGACTCATTCAATCAATCACTCAATCACTAACCCTATCAATCATTTATTAGTCATCACTACCATGCAGTACATGCCGTACTACCCTGGAACAATGGTACTTGGAGCATCGGGAGAGATTAGTTTGATGGATGTTGTCACTGGAAATGCCAAGCCTTTGGTATGGACTGATACCCTCTTGTTGTACACCAACCAAGCAGTAGGCGAGTCAACCATCTACCTCTCTGCCCAATCAGCCGATGTCTACTCTATCGATTATCTGATCACAGTTGACGTGACTACAACCCCACCCACCATTGTCCACAACGTGACCTCAGCCGGCTACTACTATGACCAACTGATCGTCTCACTCAACTAATCACAGGTCCATTAAATCAATCAATTGACATGATAATTGATCACTCTGATTGATCACTGTAGTTGGTCCACTACATTCATTCGTTTTATTTGATTGATTGAAGGACGTGGACTAGGTGGCAGATACTTGTTGATACTTGCAATCCTCGATGGACATTCCAACTTCATCAAGATTGATCATGTGACCCCCACTAATTCATCAAGTGATCATCACCCAGCCTCACACACTCACTCAATCAACACAATAACTCATTCAATCATATCATTCAATCAATCAATCCATCATAGTTATAATAGTAATAGCAATAAACTATGACATCAACATCAACATCAACGACAACACAAACACAGAGAGGATATAGTGGACGCGATTACTTCCAGCAGGATGCGCCACACTTGGGCAATCAATACTTAGAGGACAGTTATTTGTTGCAGGCGCTACAGAGGGTGATGCCACAGCCAGTGTTGGCAGAGATCGAACCGGACTTGATCAACTACGGTCGTCGTGTAGTCACCGATATATTGCAATGGGGTCGCGCCGCAGAGAACAACCCACCAAAGCACATCGCCTATGATTCATGGGGTCGTCGTGTCGATCGCATCGTAGTTGACGAGGCTTGGAACATATTGAAGGATGACAGTGCACGTGAGGGATTGGTTAGCATTGGCTATGAACGCAAGCAAGGCGCCTACAGCAGACTATACCAATACCTCAAGGTCTACCTTCAAGCATGCTCAAGTGCCGTCTTTGACTGTCCACTCTCAATGACCGATGGTGCAGCACGTCTCATCGAGCTCTACGGTGGCATTGACATGCAAGAAGTATATCAACACTTCATCACTCGTGATCCTGATCAGTTCTGGACTTCTGGTCAATGGGTAAGGCATATGATCTATCAATCACTACACTCATTCAATCACTCGATCTCTGGAACTATTCCAATCACTCGCTCGATCACCATCATTCGATCTCTCGTCACTCAAACCTGGAACTATCACTTGGTCAATCACAATCATTCGATCGCTCACTTATCCACCATCACTGGAACTAATCCAATCAATCACTCAATCATTCAATCACTGGAACATGATGACATTAACTCATACTCGCACTCCAACATCCATAGATGACAGAGAAGACTGGAGGATCAGACATTGCCAACTCTGAGACATTGGCTGTGGAGAGAGCTGATGTACCAGACACCTATGATATATCAGGATACAAGTACTTTACAAGTGCCACAACAGCCAACTGCGCAATATTGTTGGCTCGTGACAAGGGTTGCGACAAGGACAGCAAGTTTGTAAAGGGCTCAAGAGGTCTATCAGCCTTCTTCATCAAGATACGCAAGGAGGACGGCGAGTTGAACAATATGCTCATTCACAAGCTGAAGAACAAGTTTGGTACCAAGGCCGTGCCCACCACAGAGATCGAGCTGTTGGGCACACCCGGCAAGATGATTGGACCCAAGGGCCGCGGTGTCCCCGTCATCGCCTCAATCCTGAACGTCACGAGGATTCATAACGTGTTGCACTCTGTTGCCACGATGAGACGTGGCGTAGCGTTGGCGCGCGACTTCTCGCACAGACGTAGAGTCAATGACGCCAAGCTCGCCGACAACCCGCTGTACCAGTCCACTCTTGCCGAGATGGAGATTGAGTACCGTGCCGGTCTGCAGTTCCTGCTCGACGTGTGTCTTCTGCTGGGCAAGTCCGAGCTCGCCGAGAGCAAGAAGCAGGACTCGTTGCTTCGCATCCTCACCCCGCTGTCCAAGCTCTACACGGCCAAGCAGAGCATAATGGTGGCATCCGAGACGATTGAGTGCATGGGTGGCACTGGCTACATGGAGGACTCAGATGTCCCTCGTCTACTTCGCGACACCCAGGTCACCTCGATCTGGGAGGGCACCACCAATGTGCTCTCAATGGATGTTTGGCGTGCGATCAAGTCCCACAACTCATTGGAAGTTTTTGTCGAGTATGTCGGAGAGAAGATCAACAGCTCCTCCAAGGACATGTCCTATGCCAAGGGTATCATCGCCAAGGCCTTGACCCAATGTGTCCAAGTCTACGATCGCCACAAGGCCAACAGCGAGCTTGATTTGGCCATGGCCAATGCCAAGAAGTTCAGCTATCTGTAAGTCGCGACTCACTCACTCATTCAATCAATCAATCAAACATGGAACTATTCCTGACCATCTCCCCCACATACCAATAGCCTCTCGCAGACCTACATGGCAGCACTATTGTTTGAGCATGCAGCTTGGAGCAAGAAGAGCACTGATGTGTTGGTGTGCAATAGATGGTGCTTCACCAAGTTGCAGGCATCAAAGATTGATGGCGCATCAATCGCTTTTGCCGGTGCCGACAAGGAGTGGAAGGATCTAGACAGGGTCCTCGCACTGGATCTAGATGAGAAGGGTGAGCCCAGAGGCTATGGTAACAAGTCTACCACAAGCCGTGACTTTGGAGTTCCAAGAGCCAGATACTAATCATGTCATCATGTTATAAAAGGTTTATGTCGATGATCCGCCTGTTGGGTTGGTGTTCGCATTGTTGTTGTCCTTGCTATCCTTGTTGTCCTTGTTGTTGTTGGCGTCGTCACCTGAAGGAGTAGGAGTTGGAGATGGAGGAACAATACCATTCGCAGCATTCTTGGCTGCAATCATCGTTGCCTTGAGTAACTTCCTTTGCTCGAGTCTGGGATCGGGTGGCATGATCTTGCCCAAGTGTGGATTGTACTCGCCAGGTCTGTATCGCTTCTTTGGAGTGCACTTCTTCTGCTCGGGTCGCAATGTGAACTCTCTGAACTTGGACTGATCCAACAGTGTCTGACGCTGTACATTCAATCGCTCCTCCGAGATGAGTGGCGAGCGCAATGAAGAGATGAACACAATGTTCTTGGTGGAGGGGATGCGCATGGCATCTCTGATCACCTGGAATCCACACTGATTGGACACCTTCTCAATGTAGTTCAAATAGGTGGTGTACTGGCCCAGCTTAGGATCGTTGTCCTGGAACTTGGTCATAAAGTTAAAGAAGCAACATGGCAACAAGAAGAACCTCTGGTTCGTCGATTTGGATGCAATGTAAGGCACCCAAGGTGTGAGTTCATCGGAGCTGTGAAGGGTGCGAGACGTGCGTGTTAGTCCATGGCCTCATCTCACTCAATCACTCAATCAATCAATCAATCAATTACTTACTGGTTTCCAATGATCCAGTCGTACTCTGGGAATGCTTGGTCCTTGGGATAGATACCGCGCTCAAAGAGGTTGGCGCGTACCTCTGGACTGTACTTCTCCCAGACCTTTCTTGAACGGAGGTCGATTCCAATACCTGGATATCCTTCCATGTTCAGGAGGTTGACGAGAAATCCATTGCCACATCCAATATCAACGAATGATTGCTTCTTCTCTGGTGTACCACGATCAGCATTCTCCATATGGAACAACGATATAATATACGCTGCGATGGCAATATCCTCAAACACAAACTTTTGTGGATCAGTCTTTGTAACGTCCTCCCAACCTACGGCCCAGTTCCTAGAGTGCGAGCGCAATGTTAGCATCTGCGACTTCGAGTGCACTGACATGCGATCAAACATACTTATACTTCATCTTGAGCTTCTCGTAGCAGTCGAGATAGGTGTCCTTTGGAATGATGCGGTCGTGGAACATTCTCTTCTTGTAGCCATTGTCGTGACCGATGCCCCATTTGTTCAACTTCTCGAGGAGTTGCATTGATATCTTTCGCAACTTCTCCTTGTACTCTGTCTGATCAATGTTGGGGAAGTACAATGCCTCCATCACCAAGTTGGCCTGAGGTTCTTGTGGCTCCTGAGGCTCATTATGATCATGATCATGATGTCCATGCCCACTTGGTGGTGCAGTCTTAGTAGTCGTCGTCGTCGTCGAAGTAGTCGTAGTCGTAGTCGCGGCAGTGGCAGTGGCAGTGGCAGCAGCGGCAGTTGATTTATCGATTGGAATATATCTGAATCTGAATTGGATCACTTTGGGATAATAGAATGGGAGGTATTCAATGACGTTGGTGGTGGGCGATGGTAGGACAGGCTTGAATGTACAAGAGTTGTTGTCTTTGGTGTGTACGACAATGTCATCGATTGGGTTGTCCTTCTGAGTGAGTCTTGGAATGAGATGACGTCTAAACGATATCATCCTCACCGAATCATCATGATAATCCTCCGATTCCACACTATCATCATCCAACTCTTTCAACATTGGTGCAGAGTCTGTTGAATAAACTGATGAATGATCACCCAAGTCTTCATGTTGATCAGTTGTTGTCGATGTAGTTGTTGTCGTTGTTGATGTTGGTGTAGATTCAAATACATTGTTGTTATAGATCATATGTGTTAATTGTTCATTGGCAGCATTGTATGTCGACCTTGATTGTACATGATAACGTTTGATTGGCTTCATTATGTGTTGAGGGTCTAATGTCCATTTCTCCATGCAGTACCAGAATGTTGTGAGTGACATTGTTGATGGCAATATATTAACCTGCTCCCATTGTTGCCCTTCTTCTTGTTGTTGTTGTTCATTATTATTATCTACCTCCATCATATATTATATATTTGATTGGTTAATTATAAGTATGACTTTTAAATGAATGAACGAATCAAACTAAAAGTTGGGAAAACAAACGAAATCCAAGTTTTGTTGTAAAACGAAGTGGTGTGGTGAGTGACAACATGAACTCAAGATGTATTAATTGGGTTAAATTTCAATTTGAATCGCGATGTTCACCTCATTCATTCATTCACTTATTCATTCAAATACTAATACATAAACATATACAACTTATAAATACATATAAACACAATCAATCAATCAAACAATCAATAGTAATGTCTTATAATAATAATAATGAACAGTCATGCTCACCATGCGGTGTAGTGGTTGGCTGCTATGAAGATATGAAGGAATGGTCCACTCTGGGTAGTGAGATCAATTCAAAGACAAATGATGCATTGATTAATGCTTTCCGTTTGTCTGATAATAAGGGAAAGTCTGGTGATAGCCTTTTAGTGTATAATGTCACACCGGAATTCCCCCGTGTGGCCATCGTCGGCCTTGGCAAGTTTGGAAACACCTGCTCGATCTATGAGCAGGGCGAGAACATCAGACGTGCAGTTGGCAAGGGTGTCAAGTCGCTCAAGGCTGCTGGCGCCACCAAGATCGCCGTCGACACCTCCATCGGCGAGCTGAGAGCTTGCTCCGAGGGCGCTCACCTCAGTGTCTTCAAGTACGAGATCAAGTCCACCTCAAAGAACATCACCTACGACATCCAGCCATACCAGCCCGAGAAGCTGGCCTCCCTGCAGGCGTGGGAGGACGGCAAGGTGTTGGCCGACGCACAGAACTTTGCCCGCAGACTGGCCGACACACCAGCCAACCTTATGACACCAACCATCTTTGTCCAGCAGGTCAAGGAGAAGTTCCAGGCACTCGAGTCATCGGGCAAGGTGGAGATCATTGCTCACGACCGCAAATGGGCTGAGGAGAAGAAGATGGGCATGTTCTTGGGTGTGGCCGTTGGAAGTGACGAGCCACCCATCTTTTTGGAGATCAACTACCGCGCCGCACAGGACAAAACCGCTCCACCCGTCGTCTACGTCGGCAAGGGTGTGACCTTTGACACTGGTGGCATCAGTTTGAAGCCCCCCGCAGCAATGGGTCTGATGCGTGGCGATATGCAGGGTGCCGCTGTCACTGTGTCCTCGATCTACGCCGCTGCCACTCTCGGTCTCAACGTCAACCTGACCGTTCTCACACCACTCACCGAGAACATGCCATCGGGCAAGGCCACCAAGCCAGGCGATGTCCTGATCGCTGCCAATGGAATGACCATCGAGGTGGACAACACCGATGCTGAGGGTCGCCTCATCCTTGGTGACGCCCTTCACTATGCTCACACCTTCAACCCAGTCACCATCGTGGACGTTGCCACACTCACTGGCGCCATGGACATTGCCTTGGGCGCTCACCTCTACGGCTGCTTCGCCGGCTCCGACGAGCTCTGGCAAGAGATTGACAGCTGTGGACAGTACACTGGCGAGCGTCCATGGCGCATGCCACTCCTCAAGGAGTACAGAAAGCAGCTCGACTCAAAGTACGCCGACATGGTCAACTCTGCCGGCCGCTCTGGAGGCGCCTGTGCTGCCGCCATGTTCCTGAAGGAGTTTGTTCAAATTGACCGTTGGGCTCATCTCGACATTGCCGGTGTGTCCTACACCACCGAGGATGGTCCCTACATCGTCAAGGGTATGACTGGCAAGCCAGTGCGCACTCTTGTCGAGTTGGCTAGAAGACACTTCAACAAATAAGATCACAGGTTTATGTTAATTGACAATCGTTTTATTGGTTGATTGAATGTTTGATTGATTGATTGAATGGGCGACTACGAATGGACGTGTGCTCCAACAATGTTCAACCAACTACATGTCACCCTCGCTATCTGTATATGGAAGTTCTGAATTGACGATGTTGATGTTGTCATAATCTGCATCATCTTCATCCTGATGTTCTGTCTCCTCGGCCATACTGACATCGTGACTCTCGTTGACGGACTTGCGACGCTTTGGTGTCGCCTCAGCCTTGGCTCCATACTTTCCCTTGTACATGTTCTCCAGCCTAGTGGACTTGGCCGCAAACTCCTCATCGGTCAGGAGGGATTGCTGGTTGAGTGTGTTGTACAAGTGCTCCAGGAGCACCAGGCCACAGACGCCTTCATCGCTCTTGGCACCAAAGAACCGGAGATGGTTCTCCACCATCACTTCAAAGTCCATGCAGATGCAGCCTGGCAAGTTCTGCGTGTTGTAATGGCCCTTCAACATTCTGTTCTTGATGATACACAACGACAGTGGATTGGTGATCTTCTCGTAGTAGCGCGTCAGGTTGGCATCCTCGCCCTGGACCAGGCGTCGGTAGTGGCCGACGATGACACACGACTTGTTGTCATACTTGACGCTCTTCATGCCGTCGAGGATCTTGAGCAAACTCTCCTTGCTCTCGGATTGCTTGACTGACCGGTCTGGCTCGCTATCGTAGTACTGGCGATGCATCTTGAGTGCAGCCTCCAGACTCTTTCCTTGTGCGGGCTTGGGAATGAATATGTTGGCCGTCTTCCATGAGATCGCTCCCTCTGGAATATTGACTTTACCATCCTCATCTGAATCGTCCTCATCTGACTCCTCTGTCTCCGCATCGACATATATACTCCTCTGCCTTCCAGGAGTGGTCTTCTTGGTTCGAGGTGTCGTTTGTTTCTTTGGTGTCTTTTGTTGTACCTTCTTCTTTGGTGGTGGTTTGATTGGTGATATGTCCGATACGTCATCATCATCATCATCATCATCAACATCGTCGTCCTCCTGTTCCTCATCGTCCATATCCAAATCACTATGTACCTCTTCCTTGACTTTAGGATGTGTCTTTCTCACCATCTTCACTATCCTCCTCACTATCTTCTTCTTTTTCTCCACTACCTCCTCCTCCTCTTCCTCGACTTGCTCCTCGACGTCGTCTTCCTCTTCCTCTTCCTCTTGCTCCACTTCCTCATCCTCATCCTCAACCTCAACTTCCTCGTCCTTTTTAACTTTCACTCTCTCTACCATCTCGTCCTCAATCCTGCTCTTCTTGACACTGGCACGTTTCTTGGACGATGGTACCTGGCGATATCCAACATCGAGAGTTCTCTTTGATCCAAGTGAAATAACAATGTCATTCTTGTGTTTGTCCTCTGGCTCGCCACAATCACTTCCACTCTCATCTGTGACTGTGCTCGTATTCAATGTCTTGGTCTTTGCCTTAATCTTGGGGTTGGATGTCTTGGTAGGAGTAGCAGGAGTAGCAGCAGCAGTAGCAGCAGCATTGTCTGGCTTGCTAACAGTGGATGGCTGTTGTTTGATTGACTTGTGCAATGGCAGCCTGACAAATGGCTTCTCCTTGTTGTCCAACATATCTTGATCTTGATCTTGATCGCTCTCCTCATCATTCTTCGCTTCATCCTTCTCCTTCTTCTCGTCCTGATGTTTCTTCCAAATGGTCTCGTGCACATTCATTGATTTGTCATTCAAGGGCTCGCTGGTCATGATACCAGCAAACGAAGTCCTGGGAGTTGGTTTCTTGATGAGTGGCTTCTTCTTTGTGAATGCCAGAAGTGGGTCAGCACTCGTGTTGTGCGTTGAAGTCGAGGCGGAGGTGGCGATTGGACGCTCACCATAATGAGGCAGGGGGTCCAATGCCATTGGAAATGAAGATATGGGCTTGGAAATGGCGGTGGTAGTGCCAGGGAGGAATGGTGAGTCGAAGAATGAGTTGGGAATGTCCACGCCACCAACGTCCATGTTAAAGACAACCTTGAATGAACGGAATGCCACCGAGACAATGTCATTATTGCAAAGAATGACCTTTTTGTAAATGCCAGGAATGAAGTTGAGTCTAATCGTGTCACTCTTTGACATTGAACACAATGGATTCAGTATAAATTGTTTGATCACATTGTCATAGTATATCTCCAAATGGAATGGTTCCACGCCAGGTCTGTCCAAGACAAAGTTGCATGTATTGTCTCTGTTTTGGATCATGATCACGTGATTCCCCGCGGAATGATGGAGAGTTAGTGATTGGATGGAGAGGACCTGGACGACATGACATGTCATGGACATACCTTCCAAAGCGAAGTGGATTGTCAAACATTTTGACTTTGTTTTGTTTGCTAAAGGTACCATCTCTGTTGAAGAGTACGATTATGGCAAAGTATGGTGGACTTGTGTTGAAGTGATCATGCTTGGCCTTGGCCAATCTACTACTACTTGTGTTGTTGTTGTTGTCGTTGGTTTTGTTGTTGACGTACATACTTGTATTCAAGCTTGTGTCTAATACGCTCGTGTCATTGATTACGCTTGTGTTGACGCTAGTGTCACCACCTTTGTTGGCAACATTAGCATTGACTACACTTGTGTCCTCAGCCAGGATACTTGTATTGGCATCCATGGATGATGATGATGTATGTTGTAGTTATGGTAAAAGGTGATAAAATTTATAACTTAATGATACGGATGGTATAAAGAAAGTTAACCTTTGGTGATCAACAATATGGGAATATGTGTGGCGCCTTAGTTCTAATCAGAGACCATCACCAAAGTGATGTTTGAATTGAAAATAAATCGATTCTGATTGGACCCACCCAATTGAATTTTGGCGCCAATTATTGATGGATAATGAGGGCTTTATTGAGGCTCAATAGAACTGCAGTGGCATGTCCTTCATCTCGGTGACGGATAGACTCTTCTTGGCCTTCTTGAGTATGTCCAGTTTGTGAATGCATTCATTGCGACGGGCAACGACCACCTCATTCTCTCGCAACAGTACATCAACCATTGACTCGTCATAGAGTATCGTCGACAACTCTCTTTGCAGTATGTCCTTTGATCGGTCGATCAAAAAGTGTGAGATGATCTTAATAGTGTTCTCCTGTACATTGAACTGTGCAATCTCGTAGTAGCTGTGAAGTAGACGCTCTGTTTGTTGGATTGATTGAGTGTGAGTTAGTGATTGAACGATTGAATGTGGACTATGGTACATACTCAACAAATGGATCTGCTTCCTCTCCTCATCGGTGTAGTTCTCGTCCATGCCATACAAGAGGTTGCGCTGTTGTGTTTGAGAGTTGCTCTTGTTGTTGGTCTGGACTGGCTGTGGCGTGTCTTGCTTCTTGCCAAAGATGAAGCCAAACAGTCCGCCACCAGACTGTTGTTGCTGTTGTTGTTGCTGTTGCTGTTGTTGCATACGGTACGACGAGTCGTCGTCCATGGATGGCTTGGTGTTGGAGTGAAGCAGCTTGTTCAACTCGGCCGTGTACACTGGATGCGATGTATTGATGTAGCTGCACTCGGCGTCGACCATGTCCGAGATCATCTTGTTGGTGGGGCTCAGTAGCTTCCTCAGCACGTTGTTGGCCACCTCCACAATCCTCTCGCGCAACACTGGGAAGCGGGAGAAGACGTGTGAGTCCACCTGTGTCAGTATCCTTAGCATCTCGTCCAGGACCAAGTCGGCGCAGTGCACTGCTGGATCCTTCAATCGCTCAATCTGGATCTTAATCAACGCGTCAAATGTCTTCTGTGGGATGAACATTGTTGGGCGTATTCCAGATGAGTTCCTCAATGCCAGTCGCAGTTGCTGATCAGTCAGCCACTCGAATGGGCGCTCCTTGTTTGACTTGAATGCTTGTGAGAATATGTATCTGATCCTGGCTCCACCATTACTATTTGATTGATTGATTGTGTTTGAGTGAGTATGGGATCATTCCAGGGATGTTTGAGGATTTGAGACTTACATGTGATCGGTCAATTGATCATCGTTGACACCTTCGAGGTCTGCTCTGAACTGCATTGCGAATCGGTTCATGATGTCGATCAGGAGACGCGACTTCTCGGATGGACGATCGGGAGTTGGCTCTCCATAGTTCTCGAGCTCCTCACGGTACTTCTTGATGAGGGCGCGGATTTGGTTCTTGACGCCTGGCATCGACTCGCGGATGTGCTTGGTGAGTATCTTGTTGCACTTCTGTCCCAAGTAGATTGATCCACATTGATTGACTATCCTGTTGTACACCAGATGATTCTGGAACCATCGCTCCTCGTCCTTGAGCATCTGGGAGATGGGCTTCTTGTTCTGGATATCGCGCTGTGATCTGTTGATGATGCCAACGAAGCCCAGCTTCAGTGGCACGGTGTGGCCGAGCAGGATCTCCATGGCATCGGTGCCCATGTCCATCAGGTCCAGCTTGGTGAGCACACCGATCGTACGCTTGCCCTCGGGGTCGACCTCCTTGGACAACTTGAGAGCGTCGGATGTGACAATGTCCTGGTTGGCCGAAGAGATGGCCAGGATGATTGAGTTGGGGTTGGAGATGTAGTCAAGGACCATCTCGCGGATCTTCTCCTCGATGTTGGTGGGCTGGTCGCCGATTGGAATACGCGTGATGCCTGGTGTGTCGACCAGGGTCAGTGGGATGACGTTGGGTGAGAAGATCTTGAGGATGATGGGGTCGCTCGAGATGGCCTTGTTGGAACCGGCCACTCTGTTTGTCTCGGCTTCGATCTCATTTCGGATTCCATCAAAGTTGAACTTGACGTCGCCCGTGTGTCCAAACTCGCCCCACTCAGCCTCTGAGTGCTCGATGCGGTTCAGCTGGAGGACGAGTGGGCGTCGTGTCACCAGGCCCGAGCCACGAGGCAGGAAGTCGCGTCCGACCAAGTTCTCCAACACCGATGACTTGCCACTGGACTGTGATCCAATTACAACAATCTGTGGCAACTTGATCTCTGTTCCAATGAGTGATGTTATCTCTTGTAGCTTGTTGATCACTGGTAGCAGGCTGTATCCGACTGTCTCAAACTGGCTGGCTGAGGGTGTGGGCATCTCGATGGGTCTGGACGGCTCGACCGTCACAGGAATGTTTGTGGGAGATGAGTTTGTCGAATACATTCTTCTCAACTGATTGTTGGCTGCATCAATATCAGCAACAGTGGACATCATGTGATTGTATGACATCAACTTGACTTCATTGTTGCTGTTGTTGAATAACAATCCACTTCTTTTGTTTGATTGAGTTGATGATCTTCCTATATGTTGTTGTTTATGTTTGATTGTTGATGTACTATAATATCTTGCAGCGATCAACAATGCACATATGTGAGTGGCTGATGTTAAACTGCCACTTGAGGTCACGGCACTACTGGCGACCTTTGTTAAAGTGTTCATGACTTATTATCTATTATTATTGTTACAATATTTAAAGCAATATACAGTGTTTTTTTTATGTTATAAATATATATATTATATCTGTGTATATAGTTATTATTACTACTATCTATCTATCAATTTATGATTAATCATTGAACATGCATCAAGCTGATATTTAGGTGAATCAAGACAGGAACTCACTTTCCAAACAAAAAATGACATGCAATGGAGGAGGTCGCGAAAGACCCACCTGGTGGGTGTCTGACAAACCCAAGTCAGTCAAGGTCAAATCACGATGATGTGTCGAATCATTGACAAACTGATGGTGTACACCTATGATCTATGTGTATGTCAATGCAATTGAATTGACCAATCACTAATCCTAAGTCATCTTTGTTGTATAAGCCTTGGAATGACGCATCGATTATCCAGGCATGTATTGTTTAATGATATCTTGAAATGTCGGGGAGAGGAAGAGGTTGCGGGGACTCATCAGAGTCCTCATGTGCAGTGTATATATATCTCGATTGATTGATTGAAATGTTGACTCTAACTAACTAACTATTACTAACTACTACTGTTGTTGTTGTTTGGTGATTGAACTAAAGAGAAACCACTCATATCTTGACTCTTGATTAACTTGAGTTGACGCTGTCCTTTGAGTATCATCATTTCTATCTTTGATATATCTCTTCTTGATACTGACTTTGACTTTGTTCTAAACTGTCCTCTAATATAACTTGTCAATGATGATGATGCTGTTGATGAACTTGATGCTGGTGTATCTGTTGTTATATTATTCTTTGAATCATTCAATCTTGATTGTCTTATAAATCCACGATATAGAGACAATACTTGTTTCTGAATACCACTATATCTTGGTGCTGTAGTCGCTGTTGCTGTTGCTGCCGCTGATACAACTGCTGCTGCTGCTGCTGTCGAAGCCATTATCTGTTGATGTGGAGCGAGACAATTGTTTTGAATGAAAAGCATGAATGCATGCTTTGGAACCCTTCAAAAGTTGAATCTGAGCTCAAAGTACATGCTTTATTCTTCAAGTCGCGAACAAATACATGATGTACATGTACATGTATAACTCACTCTCACTCACTCACTGCGTTGAACTGTTTGAACAATACTTTCCAATGCTACTGGACATGAAGAGTAGCGGCAGAAGATCAAGCATCTCTTGTTTGGTGGCAGCGGCCACGATGAATGGATGTTGTAACAGTTGACTGGCAGTACTTCTTTGTCGTGGTTCCATTTGGAGACAGGCCGTGAGGAAGCTTATCAACTCATTCGACCAATGTGCACTGTACTTCTTATCGCGCGATACTGTCACACCAATCGTTGCCGCCAAGAACATCGACTTGATCTTTGAGCGTCTGCGCGGCACACTGCCACGCATCATCTCCAGCGTCATAATGCCCAGACTCCAAATGTCCACCGACACACCATGTGGCTTCTCCTGTATCTGCTCTGGCGACATCCAGAATGGCGAGCCACACATATGAATGTCCGCCTGCAACAACGTCAAGTCGATCGCGAATCCAAAGTCAACTGTGTCGCGAGAGAATGGTGAGTGAGTGAGCGCGAGAGTGTAGCCAACCGCAAGATATACATACTCAGTTTCACTTCAGCCTTGCTGTTGATCATGACATTGGCAGACTTGAGATCGCGATGTGCGATGTTGAGTGAGTGGAGATATTCGAGCCCTTGGAGCGTCTGTTTGATAATGTAGGCCACGTACTTTTCGCTAAAGGTGGAAGCTTTGGATGGCCTCGCGAATGGTCCCACCGTCCATATACTCCATCAGCATCCAGAGCTCTTCGTCGCGGTTCTCATACGCGTTGACAAAGCCCACGACATTGGGATGCTTGAGGTATCGCAGCATGGCTATTTCGTTCAGGTTGTAGCGTCGATTGCGCTCGGACTTGTGGTCCATCTTCTTGAGCGCCACCTCGAGGTTGTTGAACGGACTCAGGCTGTTGCTGTAGAGCATGTGGTGCACTGCGCCAAACGCACCCTTGATCACCGTGCTCTGCTCGCACGGCTTGAATGAGCGCGATGGCTCCTCTTCCTCGATCACCAGTCGCGCCATCGCCAGACTCTCCTGCTCGGGGAACGAGTGGTAGCGGCCAGGCTCGATGAAGATGCGATTGTAGTCGCCGCGACGACGCGGCTGAAGCGTGAGTACGTCGGACGAGGGCACGGCCGACACGGCCACCGCCAGCCCGCTGCCGCCACTGCACTTGAGATTGATCGATGGGCCGTATGAATGGAGTGATGGCGAAGTCGACGCCGGCGTGCTCGAGGTGGATGGTGTGCGCGAGCGACTTGATGTGAACATGCGTGATATTGAGTGTCTGCGACGTTGTTCCTCGGGGATCAAGCAGTAGAACACGCCTTGTTTGCGCGACAGGTAGTTGAGCACGTTCAGCAACACGGCCAAGTGTGTCTCGATCAGCTGTGGCGGTATCTTGAGTGTGGTAGTTAGCCACCGACGCTCTGATGTGGACAGGTCGGCCACCTGTGAGATGGACCTGATCTCTTCGGGGATCAAGTCGTCCGATGCTTCATCCGATGAGTGATATCGATGCCCACTATTTCCACCATGTCCATTATTATTATGATTATTATTATGATGATTATGATTATTATTATTTGTACTTGTACATCTATCCAAATGTATCCATGCCAATTTATCCTTCTTCTTTCTTGTCAATATACTCTTTATCCTGTCCATATATGAATGATTGAATGATTGATTGATTGAATGATATTATCTTTCTATCTATATTATGTTATGTCTGTCTTTGAGTCCAAAGAGAGTGAGAGAGAGAAAGAGAGAAGGTGGATAAGATAGAAGATGGAGTTGGAGATGTGTAGTGAGCAAGTGTAACAAGAACAGCGAGCGCTGGCCCAACAAGTGATAAGTAAGTATGTGTTTGAATGATTGATTGTTTGTTTGTTTGATGGGATCACACATCCCATCACTACCTCCCTCCTCTTCCATCAATACTACTATCACTCTCCATTTATTAATGTGTTAAGAGATACACACACTTGATGTGTATTAAGCATGTGATCACCATCAATCAGCTGATCACTCACTCACCCACATTCACACACGCACAGAGTTAACTCTGATCTTGTGGTGTGGAGGACCATCAAACACAACCCCATGGACCATTCTACCAAGGTCCGAGATAAGATGATCGTCCAATTTGACCAACCATTGATGATTGTGACCATTGCAATATTCAATCAATCAAGTGATTGTACCCAACATCTGATCAGATCGTTTGAGTATTACTTGATGAAGCAAGCCATGCAACCAAGGCCGTTCATGAATGTTGTTTATTGGGCAACAATGTATGTATGTATTATTGGAGAGGTAGTGAGAGATAGAGTGAGAGTGAGAGAGCGTGCACCCCACGGGAAATGTCATGACTGTGGCTGTGGCTGTGATGATGTAGAGTCCACATTACCACCATTACCACCACTTCCATAGGCTTGATGCGCCCTTCTCGATGTTGGAGACTGATGTTGTTGTTGTAATAGTTGTTGCTGTTGTTGATCAAACATACTGGTATTGAAGTAAGGATACTGCTGAGGCTGATGCTGTTGTTGTCCTACAAAGGGCTGCGGTTGATACCCCAGACCTGATGTGTTTGAGTACGGTGCTCCATAAGGTTGTGGCTGTTGTTGTTGTTGATGTAGTTGTTGCTTTACAGGTATATAGTTTGTTTGTTGTTTTACATTTATATAAGGTTGCTGTGGCTGTGGCTGAAGCTGTGGCTGTATCTGTAGCTGTGGCTGTGGCTGTGCTCGGTAGTTGTAAAGAGGAGGAGGAGTAGGGTATTGATTGTTCATGATTGGTAGTTTGTTCAAAGGATCATCAATTGGGTATGGCTGTTGATCCTTGTATCCATTTGCTGTTTGACCTGTTGTTGCTTGAACTTCCGTTGCCATACGGTCGCCCATTATACTGTTGTGTAGTCAATGGTGGCGAGATAGTCCCGCTCGATGGTACACCATTGCCATTGATGTTATTGATGTTGTTGATGTTGTTGATG